AAATCAGGAAATACGAGCGACGTACGTAATTATAGACCTATTTCCTTATTATCTAGTTTTCCTAAACTGTTTGAAAAATTAGTGTACCCATATTTTACAAATCATCTTGGATCCATCCTCGTTCCTCAGCAGCACGGTTTTCGTCAAAAGATGTCTACAATTACAAATCTGACATGCTATGTAAATGAATTAAGTTTTGAACTGGATCAGGGTCGACAGGTGGATGCGGTGTACACCGATATAAGTAAAGCATTCGATAAGGTTAATCACTCTATAATGCTGAAGAAATTATGCTTGGCAGGTGTTCACGGCTCTTTGTTAGACTGGTGTCATTCTTATCTTTCTGAGAGATATCAAAAAGTAGTTACTTGTGGATATGAATCTAATTATATTCTGGTTTACTCAGGAGTTCCTCAGGGATCACATTTGGGACCTCTCTTTTTTCTAGCATTTATAAACGATCTGGTTCGAGTTATTAGGTACTCAAGTTGTTTATTGTTTGCCGACGATCTTAAAATATACAAAACTGTCCAAAATTCCAATGATGCTGAGCTTTTACAAAAAGATCTGGACCAAATAGCGGCTTGGTCACACGCAAATATGCTTCCTTTTAATCCTGACAAATGTAAGCATATAAAATTCACTAAGAAACGATTTCCGGTTAAGTCTACATATTCTATAAATTCCCAAGTTCTTGAAGAGGTATCGTCCATTCAAGATCTCGGTATTGTTTTGGATAAAAAATTACTTTTCACTCATCATTTTGACCATATTATATCTAAGAGTTTAAAAATGCTGGGATTTCTTTGGCGTAGTTGTAAGCGGTTTAAAAAAGTTGAAGCATTGAAACTTCTATACTTTGCTTTGGTACGCAGTTCCTTGGAGTATTGTTCTGCTATTTGGAATCCTCTTTATGAGTGTCATAAAAGCAGAATTGAAAGAATCCAAAAAAAGTTTTTGTCTTTTCTAACTAGACACCAGGGAAAAAGATATGAACTCATCTCATATAAGGATAAATTGGAGTATTTCGAGTTGGTTTCATTGCGGAAACGCAGATGGGTTGCTGATCAGATTTTACTTTATAGAATTCTGAGAGGTAACATTGATTGTCCTCAACTTCTTAGTGAAATTAGTTTTAATATACCACGACCAAATTTCAGACCAGCTAACTATAAATTATTTAATTTAAAAACTTATAGAACCAACCTGGGTACGCAGAGTGTTTTAAATAGGATTTGTGAAGAACATAATAAAATCTGTACTGGGTCCTTGGTAGGCGTTGATTTGTTCGCTGCGTCATTGATTGCATTTAGGAGGGCTTTGCTATCGAGCATTGATTGTGGCACTTGATTATAGTTTAGTTTTATGTATGTTTTTTTTATACCTAGTTTAGTTTTATATCATTAATTTTGATAGAAATAAGAGTTATGTATGCCTGTAACTGTTTTTGCACAACTTTATGTATAACGTATGTTTTTTTTAATTATGTTGGGTGTAAAAATGTTGGCATGCCTGATAAATAAATAAAAAAATAACGGACCCAGTGCGGATTGGAGGGTGATAACGGACCCAGCGCGGGTTGGTGGTTTTTTTTTCTATCAACAAATCTTCTGGTTAAGTTGATGTATTTCAGATCATTGGAGCTAAAGAAGTTTAACTTTAATCGTGTGGTCATAAGCACACTCACTTATTCTTTGATTGTACTTGGGATAGTATTGCTCCATTAGCCAAGTTAGGAACAGCCATGGTTAGAAGAAATTCTTTATTAAAATCACGATATTGTAAGATGGGGTCGTACACACATCAAAAAAAGTTTGAGATCACTTGCAAATTTTACTTAAAAGAAAATGTTTACGTTATATCTATTTTTACATAAAAAAAATGGGTGCGTGTACCTATGTAGGCGCGTGAGAAGTTATCCTTCTTTCGCATCGTTTAAAATTAGTTTTTAATTGCATGCAAATAATTAATTACAATAAATTAATAAAAAGTCTGGAAAAGGACACAGTCAATAAAGTTCAGTTTTAATTTGAAAAAATAAATAAATAATCAAAATATTCAATTAAATCGCTACTGAATATAATTTATTAGAACATATATGTGATTTGCACTTGTATGAAACTCAAACACGTATTCCGAATATACAAACTAGAAACATGTGGATAAATATTATAAATACACACATCAAAAGTGTCTAGGGATCAACATATATTTTTGCAATAACTTTTCTCCTGATTGATATTAATTAAAATTTTCTTTAAGGATTCATCAAATAAAGTGTTTTCGTTTGTCACAGTAACGATAAACCAAGTCACCTTTGCATTAATAAAGAAATTTGCCATTTTCCTAATAAAGGGATTTTTGACATTTGAACCACTAACACAAAAGTTCGAAAAAAAGACTGAAATAACAGTTTTCTCTAAAATTTTATTGGGTAACTTAAACAATTAATAATCCGTATTTCTACCGCGAACACTAACAACACAAGAACATCGGTTTGGCATACTCAAAATGAGTTCATCCAAATCACGCTGTGGAATGGCCGCCCATGTTCGTTGCAACAACAAAAAAAGGTCTTCTTGCGACTGGATACCCTCCATATTCGGCAGAGCTCTTCTCTGTAGCATATCCCATGCATGCTCAATCGGGTTCAAGTCTGGCGACTGAGCAGGCCAGGGCAGGACATTGATGTTAGCTGCGGCGAGAGTCTGTCTTACAACTCTTGCGGTGTGCGGTCGTGCATTATCATGCATTAACTGAAATAAGGGACCGATTTGCACTTGTAGAGGAACGATGACGTCTGATACAATCGTCTCAGCATAAATTTGAGCGTTGAGGTTGCCTCTGATCCAAATCAACTCAGTTCTTCCGCCGATCCAAATACCCGCCCATACCATGATGGTTCCACCACTATAAGGATGGACTTCCTGGCAGGATTTTAATCGCTGTTGGCGTCCAGGGGTTCTCCAGTGTCGTATACGTCTTGTATCCGGTCTCATACCAAAACGAGACTCATCAGAAAAGCACACGAAACGCCATTGTTCTTCTGCCCAATTTCTGTGTTCAAGAGCCCATTGATATCGAATCCTACGATTGTGCATTGCTATAGGTGGTACCCGTAGCGGTCTTCGGGAATGAAGGTTCACTTCATGCAAGCGGTTTCTGACTGTTTGGTCGCTAATTAAGTTCCCTGAAGAGTGATGAAGCCTCACGGCTAACATCATGGCGGTTATTGTTGGAGCTCTTCGAGTTAAGATTTGAATGTATCGGTCTTGTCTCCGTGTGGTGCAGCGATACCGTCCTCCATGGCGCTCAGCCACGGTACCAGTGCTTCGGTATCGTGTCCAAAGTCGACTGATAACACTCTGACTTGTATTCAGAGCTAAAGCCACAGTACGTTGCCGGGAACCAGCTTCTATCATTCCCACGGCTCTGAGCATTTCTTCCCTGCTTAAATGACGTCGCCGCTCCATAATAACGTTGGTTTTAATCAGTAGTAGGGAAACAGTAGCACTAATAATGTCTTCAATGCGTTGTATGTTTTTATAGGGAAAATATTGACAGCTGATTTTCATCTTTTACTCGAATTTGATTCACAGTTCCTGATTCAAATTATGAAATGCACCAAAAAGGATCCATATATATTTATAAAATCATAAATTTATTACAAAGCCACATCTCAATCTCAAGAAATCCGCATAAAAATGCTTGATCCCTAGACACTTTTGATGTGTGTATGAATAACTGTTACTTTATTACAAAAAATAAAGATGTGGTTTTTGGTTCTACTACACCAATGGTGAAGAGATGGCGCTGTAGTCTCCTGAATCGCGCTTTGGTTCCGTTGTTCCAGATTAATAAATACTTTTGATAGGCCTTCACAATGCAGTCGTTAGCACCCACTAAATAGAGATTCTTTTTCTATTTTGTTGGTAGATTTTCTTAATGTGCGGTAAACACTAAAGTAACGCATGAAGTTGGTCGCTAAAGCAACGACCAACTTCATGCTGTTAAAATTTTGTGTTACAGTGTTGCGCGCGCATCTTAAAATTTCACTCTCATCATTTTTTCATAACGCGCCTAAAGAAGTATAACTTCAAAAACATTCTGAAATTTAAAAACAAAACTAATTTTATTTTTTAGTATAAAAAATTAATAATTCAATCCTTAGGCGATTGTAATAGAACTTTGATAGAAATAAAAAAAAGGTAAATTTAAAAAATCAAAAAACCCGACTGCTTAATTATACTTCAAATAAAAACTGAAGTGAAAAAAACAAGTCCAGTAATCTATAATTCTGTTAATAAGGAACAAAGCTACTTTAACAGTCGGGACCCATTAGATATTCAAGAATACATAATATTTTTCAATAATGGGTTTTGTTTACTTAGGTATCTAACCTATGTAAACAGGTCCACTGCCGTTGACATTGCTACAGTCATAGATCTATTATTGGTCTATGTCATAGTAGTAGTTTTGGGAGCTCTGTATTGCAACACAATTGTCACAAACGTCAAAGGCAGTGACGGAATGTCATTAGAAAGAGATTTCCGGTTCACTATTCAGTCTCTTTCAGACCAACTTTTTTGAACAGTGGGCATTCCTGTTACCGTTACGTATTTAACTTTCTTGTGCTTGTCATTCATCGTTGTACTCTTATGTTTCATAGATAAAAAAATGTTGTTCCAATTAATATCAAAAGATGTCGCTACAGCCCGTTAGCAATTATTATTATTATTGTTATGATCAGGGGGTCTACTCTCTTTCCCCGAAACGAACTTTCGAAACTTGAAAACCGAAACGATCTTGAAACGAAGTTCAAACGAAATTTAATTTCGTCAATTTAAGGTAATACTTAATTTGAACGATAAACTATCAAATTGAAGCTTTCTTTGAGTGGGATTGGAAAATCAACACTTCAATCCATATTCCGACGACGAATATTATTATAATTAAAAACGAACCAGAAACATAGTAAAGAAAAATGCAAAGTTTCAATCGAAATTTCGTTTTTCGTTGAATTAGAGTAGGCCTCCAGTCTTTGCATATTTGTCTTTTGAAAATAAAATAACACGCATATCTTAAAATATCGTCATGTTTTAATACAACAATACAACAGAATTGCCAAAATCGGAACGTCTCCGATCGAGCAGGTGATATACACAGCGATCCTTATATAACTATAACTAGGGAACGTATCACACATTCGCGGCGAACACTTCGCAACATGTAATGAACATCGTCCGGTGGGGCGGCGACAACGAAGCGCGGCTCAGGGGCGCCACAGCTTCAGCAGCCCGTCCTCACTGTACGTGGCCAGCAGGTTCTGGTGCGGGTGGTGGGTCAGCCCTATCACCGCTTTCTCGTGGATCTGAACACAACGAGGATAACAAGTTAAAGTAATAGGTGACCACCGGGGACGTAATAAATGGAGACGGAAAAGTAACTCCGTTCCCAAATAGTTCTAGAGACGAGCGAGGGAGATGTCGCAATCTGTATGATGCGCGACGACTGGAGAGACAGTCGGCGCCCCCTCACGCTGGGGGGCGTCGCCGCGCATGTCGGGGCGAGGGGGGGACGACTGGAGAGACAGTCGGCGCAGGGCGCGACCACCCGCGCCCCCTCACGCTGGGGGGCGTCGCCGCGCATGTCGGGGCGAGGGGGGGACGACTGGAGAGACAGTCGGCGCAGGGCGCGACCACCCGCGCCCCCTCACGCTGGGGGGCGTCGCCGCGCATGTCGGGGCGAGGGGGGGACGACTGGAGAGACAGTCGGCGCAGGGCGCGATCACCCGCGCCCCCTCACGCTGGGGGGCGTCGCCGCGCATGTCGGGGCGAGGGGGGACGACTGGAGAGACAGTCGGCGCAGGGCGCGACCACCCGCGCCCCCTCACGCTGGGGGGCGTCGCCGCGCATGTCGGGGCGAGGGGGGGACGACTGGAGAGACAGTCGGCGCAGGGCGCGACCACCCGCGCCCCCTCACGCTGGGGGGCGTCGCCGCGCATGTCGGGGCGAGGGGGGGACGACTGGAGAGACAGTCGGCGCAGGGCGCGACCACCCGCGCCCCCTCACGCTGGGGGGCGTCGCCGCGCATGTCGGGGCGAGGGGGGGACGACTGGAGAGACAGTCGGCGCAGGGCGCGATCACCCGCGCCCCCTCACGCTGGGGGGCGTCGCCGCGCATGTCGGGGCGAGGGGGGGACGACTGGAGAGACAGTCGGCGCAGGGCGCGACCACCCGCGCCCCCTCACGCTGGGGGGCGTCGCCGCGCATGTCGGGGCGAGGGGGGGACGACTGGAGAGACAGTCGGCGCAGGGCGCGATCACCCGCGCCCCCTCACGCTGGGGGGCGTCGCCGCGCATGTCGGGGCGAGGGGGGGACGACTGGAGAGACAGTCGGCGCAGGGCGCGACCACCCGCGCCCCCTCACGCTGGGGGGCGTCGCCGCGCATGTCGGGGCGAGGGGGGGGACGACTGGAGAGACAGTCGGCGCAGGGCGCGATCACCCGCGCCCCCTCACGCTGGGGGGCGTCGCCGCGCATGTCGGGGCGAGGGGGGGACGACTGGAGAGACAGTCGGCGCAGGGCGCGACCACCCGCGCCCCCTCACGCTGGGGGGCGTCGCCGCGCATGTCGGGGCGAGGGGGGGACGACTGGAGAGACAGTCGGCGCAGGGCGCGATCACCCGCGCCCCCTCACGCTGGGGGGCGTCGCGTTCGGCTGCGATCGTTGAAGTTAAGCAACTTTCGTTGTAGTCGGTCCTGGCAGCATCTGCAGTCGTTAGCACCACCTGCACTGCCTCGGTGGGTCGTCGGCCCGCATTCCCTATTCCATTCATGGGTTCAGACCCGGGCCTGGCCCGCCAGCAGGGGAGACGTTAACAGGCCTCGGATGGTGACACTCACGGTGATGGTCCGCTCCAGCTTGCCGGTGCTGGTGCTGAAGGCGTAGAGCACGAGGTCCTCGGCGGCCGCGTACAGCAGGTGCCCGCGCGCGCTGAGGGCCGCGGCCACGAGCGCGCCGCCCTCCTGCTCGCGGCGACCGCTCGAGAACGAGCGCACGATCTGACCCTGATCACCGTAACGTTATTATTCAGTACGAGCTTAGGGAACATATATTTTGAAGCGAAACTTCTTTTCGGACGGGATGTAAATCCTATGGAAAATATAAAACGGAACGGACGCGTCCCGAGCGTCACGCGACTATTATATTTATATATGTATACTAGCTGACCCGGTGAACTTCGTACAGCCATAAAAAAATAGGGGTTGGTGGTAGTAGGGTGAAAATTCAGGGTTATATGTATTTACTAATGCTGTATCATAAAAAAAATAAAAAAAAAATCTAAAATTGAAAAAAAAAAATTTGGGGTGGATTACCCTAAACATTTGAAGGTTCAATGTGGTTGAAGCGCGCGACCGGAACGCACCCGGTGAACTTGTCAAAGTGTATCAGCTGTTTTGTAATTTAATTTTAATACAATTTTTCGTGGTTTATAATAGTAAAAGTTATTTCACAGTGTAGATTAGGCTATAAATATTATGAAGTATCGTTTTCCAAAAGATAGGATCCTAGATATTTAAATTATTGCACCATCAAAATCGTAACGAACGACCGCCTTGTCAAAACTATACTTGTGAAGAAAAAATTTCGAAGTTCAAGAATTATTCATAAGAAAAACTGAAGGATAAAGGATAAAAGTGTGAACTGCTGCATCATAAACCGGGGGAGTACATTTGTTCCTTATTTTAAATAAGCTAATAAGTAATATTGATGTTTAAATAACTTATGTGTATTGTCATTGTTTTGCTAAGTATCATTTCTTTCATAGCAATTAAGTTTCTCTATAGTTCACACTCAAATAAACGTATGACATTCCACAAACTACTTATCAAAACTCACATACTTAGTGAGTAACGTCACATTACAAAACGAAAAGCCACAGTATACCTCTCTTTGCTTGACAAAAGTGGAAGTAAAGTTTGATGGTGACTTATTTGCTCCAGTCATTCATTGTACTATTACTCTTCACAATCACTACCACTACAAACACAATTACCTACTTTTTTTTTATATATAAGAGAAACTTATTTGTTGTGTAGCCATTTATAACAAATAAGCAACGGGGCCATATTAGTAGAATACATAATTAATAACTTTTAATTCTTGAATGAGCTTTCAATAAGTGAATTTGATTAAAGTATAATTTCATTTCAATTAACCCTTGTAACTTAGACAATATTTTTTGAGTTTTGTTGGTGTTTAATGAGTGTATAGTTTTAATTTTATAGGTAAACAGACCACCAATAATAGTATCTACCCACCAATAATAGTTCATTTAATTATAATTTGCTGTGAAAAAGTACTAAATCTAAAAAAATAGTGATAACATTGCCTAATAGCATATAAAACATTTTAGGTATTTATCACCATCATCATGCTGACCCGCAAAGCTGTTGCACAAAACACAGAGATGAAGTTGAGGCAGGTCCTGCTGGAGCTAAAGGAATCGAAGAATACATGTGATCAGCTTCTACGGGAACGTGAAGATAGCGAAATGGAAATCAAAGCTGTTGTTAGTCGAAACTCACAGCTGAAGATTGAATTAGCTGAACTGCATTCACAACATGTAGATGTCATTCAGGAAAGAGACCAACTGAAAAGCACACTTAGTACCTTCGACCAGCAATGCAACACATATGAGAGGGCCCTGGACCGCATCACCGAGCTGGAACGGGAACTCATAGATGCCAACCACCATATTAGTCAACTCGTTCAGCAGCAACAACAGCAAGAAACGGAACATACACTCAGTCTTTTTGAAGAACTGATGGAATCTTCAGAAATACAGTCAGCAAGACAGTCACTATCCAGTAGCAATAGTATTAACATACCTAGACCTCTAAATTTAGGCAGTAGGAAATTAAAGAAATATATAAAAATTCATAAATTTATTAAGAAAACTGATAGACTAATTAAGAAAAATAATAGCTTCTACAAAAATATTGCCTTAAGGAAGGAACGCATGAATCTTTTGGATTCCATAGAAATTTATAGTAATAAGTTAATTGAAAGCAGGGAGTTGTATGACCGGGATACTAAAGAATTGCAGTCTAAAATCATACAATTGCATGAATCAATGGGATCTTTAGAAAATAAATATTTCAATGCTCAGAGGCAGATTGATGAGCACATCAAATCTGCATCAGAGTTGGTGGAGTTATGCAACTATAATGCTGAGCGCTATGACTCATTAATAAATAACCAAATGTTAAATATAGTTAATTGCCCAGTGGACATCTCAAATGAAGACCTTAGAAAAGACAAAGAAATTGTAATCACACAGAATTCCTGTCATTCATCAGCCCATACAGAAAAAATACAAACCACAGTGAAAAATTGTTTGAACCAGCGCTTTCACAGAACCTTAATTCACCAAAGACTGTCATGCTTTCTGACAAATTAGGTCAGGGACTTTCATCTATTATGAGTAATAAATATAATAATAAATTTTACAATTTATGCTTTCCTGGGCAATCATTTAAAGAAATTGTAAATAATGTTACAATGCATAAAGTAGATAGTTTTACCAATTTAATCATTTTATGTGGTGACAGCTCTGACATTAGAAAAAGGGACATATTGAATAGTTTTAATGTATTATTAAAGTTACAAGGAGAAACTAACTGCAAATTAATAATCAGCGCTTTCCCTTATGCTAAAAATTTGACGTGGGATGAAAATAAGCGCATCTTTGATTTAAATACATACTTGTATAATTTGATTAATCGTCATAGTGACGTCATTTTGTTTTTTGACATTAATAAATTTATTAGTAATTTTAAACTGACTTCAGATACTATGTATCTTTCAAAGAAATCTCGGACACAATTAGCTAATTTGTTAGCTTTTAATTTACAAATTGTAATTACTTCTTTTAAAACTGACATTAGTACTTGTTCTAATTCAAATCTTTTGATAAATTGTAGTTCTACAATAAACTCTTTAGATTTAAACTGAAGCGTATGACAAAAGCTAAGCCCCATTATGTCAATATTATTCACCAAAATATCCAGGGCTTGGCCGGCAAAGACTTAGAGTTAGAATTATTAGCTAAAAGTCATGAAACTCATCATATCATGTGCATAACTGAACACTGGCTGCAACAACATGAAATGTCATTTTATTTAAACAATTTTCAACTATCCAGTGCATTTGTACGCAGGACAGCTATTCATGGAGGGTCTTTAATTTTTGTAAAACATCATGTAAAATGTAAGGAAAGAAAGGACATTGTAAGCCTTTCAGTGGAACGCCATGTTGAGCTGTCGTGTGTAGAGTTAGTAAATTTTTATATAGTATGTGTATACCGGCCCCCCTCAGGAAACTTTGGTACATTTGAATCAGTCATGGAGGACTCTCTCAATAAATGGAAGTTTATCGCTAATGTTATTTTTAAAATTATTAACGCGCTCATTTGTTATAGGTCTACACTCTATTATGTTCGGCTCAGTACTGACATTGAAACTATATGCTGTCTTTAAACCGAGATGATCGGAAGTAATATCACTAAAGACTGACTTTTCAATTGCATCCAATTCAGAAAAAAAGTTATCTAAACAAGTGGCTGAGTGAGATGTTACTCTGGTTGGTTCAGTAAACTGGAAATTTAAATTAAAACATTTAAACAAAGTAATTAACCGAAGACTCAAAGAGCTATTTTCAAGTAGATTGACATTAAAATCACCACATACTATTACAGATTTATTAAAAAATAAATATAATAATTTTAAAAATAACATTAGCGATAAACTTCCTTTAATGCCTTGGACGCATGATGATCCGGATATTTTGAACAAAAATCTTTTTAATTTAATAAATAATGAATTTCAGAATACGTTCAGACTGAAAACCATTAAATGTACACAGAAGTTGCAGTTCTGTGACTGGGCGACAAGTGGTATATATAAGAGTAGAACAAGGCTGTATGAGCTTTATAGAATCAAAGAATATAACCAGGATCCTGAGTTCATTAACTATGTTAGAAAATATTCCAAATTGTTCAAAAGCATATGTAATACTGCAAAGTCCAATTTTATTAGGGATAAAATTAAAAAATCTAGTAATAAAATAAAGACCACTTGGGATATCATTAAGCGCGAAAGTGGCAAGTGTAAGCCTCGTGAAAATAGCATGGTTCTTAAAATCAATAATAATCTCGTAAAATCGAAACATGAAGTCGCAGATATTTTCGATAATTTTTTTATGAATATACCATTAGAAACTACTTCCAACTTGGACTCATCGTCTGATACTGCTACAGCTCTGTTACAAAAATATGTACCTACTTGTGGTTTATTATTTAATTTCAAGCACGTTAGTTCTTTTAAAATAATTAAAGTTTTCCATTCATTAAAAATGAAAAATGCATCTGATTTATGGGGTATATCTGTCAAAGTCATAAATAATATTATACATTCTATAGCCCCTTACCTAGCTGATATTTTTAATTCATGTATAGATCAGGGAGTATTCCCTGATCTTATGAAATTCAGTAAAATCATACCTTTATTTAAGTCTGGAAATTGTAAAGATCCTAGCAACTATAGGCCAATATCTATATTACCAGCATTGAGTAAAATCTTTGAAAAAATAATGTTAGAACAATTGTTGACTCATTTTAACATTAATAAACTTTTACACAGAGCGCAGTACGGTTTCACTAAAAACCGTTCCACGACTGATGCTGGGGCCACTATGCTAAAATATATATTTAATGCTTGGGAAAAGTCGCAGAATGCTCTTGGGGTTTTCTGCGATTTATCTAAAGCGTTTGATTGCGTTAATCATCAAACTTTGTTACGGAAATTAAATCATTACGGCATAAAAGATTCCGCACAAAAATTAGTGCAATCATATTTAACAGAAAGGACACAAATAGTTGATATTAACGGTACAAAATCAGCCGGATCTCATGTGAAAATAGGCGTTCCTCAGGGTTCAATTTTAGGTCCATTTCTTTTTTTAATTTACATTAATGATTTACCTTTCTTTGTAGAAAATTTTTGTGAAATTGTTTTGTTTGCAGATGACACCTCGCTAATTTTTAACGTTGACAGGTGTAAAACAAATTATGACGATGTAAACAATGCACTTTCCAAGGTACTTCACTGGTTCTCTTCTAATAATCTTAAACTGAATGCGAGCAAAACTAAATGTGTGAAATTTACTTTGCCGAATGTAAAGCATGTTGAAATGGGGGATATAATTCTAAATGGTGAAAAACTAATTTTAGTTGATACAACCGTTTTCTTAGGCGTAACACTAGACCACAAACTTCAATGGAACCCTCACATTACAACACTAGCCGGTAAACTAAGTTCTGCTGCTTATGCAATTTATAAAATAAGACGGCTTACAGATGTCGACACTGCTAGGACAATATACTTCAGCTACTTTCACAGTATTATGTCGTATGGCATTCTATTATGGGGCACGGCCGCAGACATTGAAACAGTTTTTATTCTTCAAAAACGAGCTATAAGAGCTATTTACCGCTTGGGATCTCGAACTTCTCTTAGGGATAAATTTAAAGAAATAGGTATAATGACTGTTGCCTCTCAATACATTTACAATTGTATATTGTTTGTGCGTCAGAACATAAATTTATATACGAGGCGCGATGATGTACATAATTTCAATACCAGAAATAAAGACAAACTCAAATTGCCACCATTGAGACTCCAAAAGGTTCTTGGTTCATTTGTGGGTCAAGGTGTATGTTACTATAATAAAATACCAAAAGAAATAATTAATTTACCTTTTAATAAGTTTAGTGTGTATAAAAACATGTCTCCTTAAGAAAGGTTACTATACTGTAAAAGATTTCATAAATGATAAGTCACCTTGGGCTTAACATAATAGACTGTCGTTTTACTTTGCTAATTTGGTTGAAAATTGTTTAATCGCCACTTCTAAATTTAAAAATAGTACCTAGTTATACTTAACTTTTGTTAATAAATAATATTAATGTGATGGAAGTTGACATCAACACATGTATTCAATTTTTGATGTCATCTTTCAATTGACGACACTGTGTGAAACAAAACAGGGAGAAAAAAATAGCCCTTGCTGAGTTTCTTGCCGGTTCTTCTCAGTACAAGGTCTCCCGCCGTAGATTTACGAACCGATGGCGTAGCGTTTGACTTTCACAAGAGCTTGTAACAGCCTAGACTGAATAAATGAGTTTGAATTTGAATTTGAATTTAGGGGGATGAAAAATAGATGTTGTCCGATTCTCAGACCTACCCAATATGCACACAAAATTTCATGAGAATCGGGAAAACCGTTTCGGAGAATTTTATATATTAGATAGTCGTATGATGCTCGAAGGATATGATCGATGTGTGTGAGGAAAAAATTATAAAGTAGTACTATTTTTATCATTGCATTTTTTTTTTTCAATTATTTCATTTAGTATTAAGTTTATTATGAATAAGTAACTTACTAATTAATATATACTAGCAAACCAGTGAACCAAATGTTCATAAAAAAAAATGTATTTAATTAATTGAGAACTTCGGAGATTTTGTGTGGTTTCGTTTGAAATAGAAATCACGTGATTTCTCGAAAACCGGAAGTGCTACGTTACTCACATCCGGTTTGTAGTCTTATCAGACTATTCTCAACTTATAACTTAAACATTCTCTTTATCTATCTCTTACGGTTTGGCCGCTGAAACAGCACCACGGACGGACGGACGGACTTGTCTAATAGATAAGAGATAATACTTAAGTTTGCAGTAATAGAGCCTGCAAAGGATACGTCTACGCCCTAGAAAGCCGTATCGTTATATAACGCTACGTGGAGTGTATCGAGACCAACCATTTATCACTTACTAATGATTTTCTATAATACAAAAAGTAATGATATTTCATCAATAAAATAAAAGTGAAACGACAGCCAAGTTGAATATTACGCTCGCCCCCCCCCTCTTGGCGCGTGCGTCGCTATACACTCGCCCGTGCGATATAGTATACCTGCATGTTCATCACCACCACCGTGTTGGTGCGGTTGCACACCACGTAGTGGTCGGGGTTGTTGGGGGTCAGCAGCAGCGTGTTGACGGGGGGCTCGCCTCCCCCTCTTGGCGCGTGCGTCGCTATACACTCGCCCGTGCGATATAGTATACCTGCATGTTCATCACCACCACCGTGTTGGTGCGGTTGCACACCACGTAGTGATCGGGGTTGTTGGGGGTCAGCAGCAGCGTGTTGACGGGGGGCTCGCCTCCCCCGAGTGGCGCGTGCGTCGCTATACACTCGCCCGTGCGATATAGTATACCTGCATGTTCATCACCACCACCGTGTTGGTGCGGTTGCACACCACGTAGTGGTCGGGGTTGTTGGGGGTCAGCAGCAGCGTGTTGACGGGGGGCTCGCCTCCCCCTCTTGGCGCGTGCGTCGCTATACACTCGCCCGTGCGATATAGTATACCTGCATGTTCATCACCACCACCGTGTTGGTGCGGTTGCACACCACGTAGTGGTCGGGGTTGTTGGGGGTCAGCAGCAGCGTGTTGACGGGGGGCTCGCCTCCCCCTCTTGGCGCGTGCGTCGCTATACACTCGCCCGTGCGATATAGTATACCTGCATGTTCATCACCACCACCGTGTTGGTGCGGTTGCACACCACGTAGTGGTCGGGGTTGTTGGGGGTCAGCAGCAGCGTGTTGACGGGGGGCTCGCCTCCCCCTCTTGGCGCGTGCGTCGCTATACACTCGCCCGTGCGATATAGTATACCTGCATGTTCATCACCACCACCGTGTTGGTGCGGTTGCACACCACGTAGTGGTCGGGGTTGTTGGGGGTCAGCAGCAGCGTGTTGACGGGGGGCTCGCCTCCCCCTCTTGGCGCGTGCGTCGCTATACACTCGCCCGTGCGATATAGTATACCTGCATGTTCATCACCACCACCGTGTTGGTGCGGTTGCACACCACGTAGTGATCGGGGTTGTTGGGGGTCAGCAGCAGCGTGTTGACGGGGGGCTCGCCTCCCCCGAGTGGCGCGTGCGTCGCTATACACTCGCCCGTGCGATATAGTATACCTGCATGTTCATCACCACCACCGTGTTGGTGCGGTTGCACACCACGTAGTGGTCGGGGTTGTTGGGGGTCAGCAGCAGCGTGTTGACGGGGGGCTCGCCTCCCCCGAGTGGCGCGTGCGTCGCTATACACTCGCCCGTGCGATATAGTATACCTGCATGTTCATCACCACCACCGTGTTGGTGCGGTTGCACACCACGTAGTGGTCGGGGTTGTTGGGGGTCAGCAGCAGCGTGTTGACGGGGGGCTCGCCTCCCCCTCTTGGCGCGTGCGTCGCTATACACTCGCCCGTGCGATATAGTATACCTGCATGTTCATCACCACCACCGTGTTGGTGCGGTTGCACACCACGTAGTGGTCGGGGTTGTTGGGGGTCAGCAGCAGCGTGTTGACGGGGGGCTCGCCTCCCCCTCTTGGCGCGTGCGTCGCTATACACTCGCCCGTGCGATATAGTATACCTGCATGTTCATCACCACCACCGTGTTGGTGCGGTTGCACACCACGTAGTGGTCGGGGTTGTTGGGGGTCAGCAGCAGCGTGTTGACGGGGGGCTCGCCTCCCCCTCTTGGCGCGTGCGTCGCTATACACTCGCCCGTGCGATATAGTATACCTGCATGTTCATCACCACCACCGTGTTGGTGCGGTTGCACACCACGTAGTGGTCGGGGTTGTTGGGGGTCAGCAGCAGCGTGTTGACGGGGGGCTCGCCTCCCCCTCTTGGCGCGTGCGTCGCTATACACTCGCCCGTGCGATATAGTATACCTGCATGTTCATCACCACCACCGTGTTGGTGCGGTTGCACACCACGTAGTGGTCGGGGTTGTTGGGGGTCAGCAGCAGCGTGTTGACGGGGGGCTCGCCTCCCCCTCTTGGCGCGTGCGTCGCTATACACTCGCCCGTGCGATATAGTATACCTGCATGTTCATCACCACCACCGTGTTGGTGCGGTTGCACACCACGTAGTGGTCGGGGTTGTTGGGGGTCAGCAGCAGCGTGTTGACGGGGGGCTCCCCCCCTCCGAGCGGCGCGTGCGTCGCTATACACTCGCCCGTGCGGACCGACCACACCTACAGGAACAAAACACACTATAGTCGGATGATATCGTTGAGGATCCGTTTCATTGAAATGTTGTTTAAACATTCGCATTGCAATAAGGTTGAAATGTTCAGATGAATATGGCATGTCAACGTCGAGTAGAAATCTTTTCGAATTTATTGACATTTCTGAATAATATCCTTCCCAATAATAAAATTCCCAATATCCTTTGGGTATCGATTCATATTTATTTCTTAAACGATAACTTGTTATGGAAGGGTAAAACACTTGGTTATGTGATATGATATGTAACAATGTATGATATGCACCTTGACGGTGCCGTCGGAGGAGCCGGACAGCACGCCGTGTCCGTCGGGCGTGAACACGGCCTCGTTCACGAAGGACGCGTGCCCGCGGAACTCTTTTAGGATCTTGCCAGACTTCAGTCCGTGGATCCTGCCACCAAACACAGTGTGTTACTTCCATAAACAATGACTTTTAAAAAATTATACCAAAAAAAAATTTGCTTGGTAAGAAGAATAGTAAGAATATGTATGTATTTCACTTTATATAAGCACGCTCGGCGGTCACGTTAGGATTATCAACATTGGTTTATTCACAAAAAATATATATAGTATCTTGTTTTTTTTTTTATTTATTGTTGAGAATGAAACAAAAAGTACGGAAATATAAAACATTAATTAATTATAAAACATTTACAATTTGAATGTTACTGTTATAATTATAATTTAAAGAAACGACAATCCACCGTTTAAATTGAATTTAAACAACCGTGTATAGGACAGCACCCTTAGCACGCACCATTATCGAATTCGTATCGTATGCGACTACAAAATAATGTCCTTGTCAAATGTGTACTGAAATTTGACAATGACATTTCGGACTCGCAAACTATTCGAATTTGATATTGGTTCGTGCTAAGAGTACAGTACCCTTAACACGAACCAATATCGTATTCGTATCGTTATTACGTTATTATTCTAGAGCAATATTTTTATTTACATCGTCAAAGTTATTCTTGTATAGGTCAACCTTAAAAAATAAAGAGGCAACATCAGCAAATAATATGATCTCACACAATTTTTCCACAAAAATGGCAAATGATTTATGGATAATAAAAATAGACACAGACCTACAATCGATCCCTGGAGAACGCACATTTATACATAAGATGCAGGTGCTTACCGCAGTCAAACGCCTTGGATAAGTCAGAGAATACGCTACGAACATTCTGCGACTTCTTATAAAGATCCTTGCCGCACTATACCGTAGACGCGGACAGTAGTTGTGATCTGTCTCGCGAGAACTACGCGGGTGACGCTTGCATGACATACGATACCATAAAAAACATCGTTTATTCAGTCTAGGCTGTTACAAGCACGTGTAAATGTCGAAAAGCTACGCCATCGGTCCGCAAATCTACGGCGGGAGACTTTGTACTGAGAAGAAGCGGCAAGAAACTCAGCAAGGGCTGTTTTTTGTCTCTGTATTATATACAGAGTCATCAAATTGAAAAATGACTCCAATATGAGATAACACATGAAGTCGCTTTCCATAACAAATGTTAATGTAAAAAAAAATTGACTATAGAATAAAACAAATAAAAAAAATACATGTGGCACTCGGGGACTGCCGCGGTAAAGCTATTGCATAGCATTTTTATCAACTTATGGAATTTTAATTATTTAATTTATGCAGCATTTTTTTTTTTTTGAGTGCGGGATTTGAACCAACGACCGCGGTGATGCGTCGAACGTTGGTCCCATGGCAAAAACTAAACACACTGCGCCATCAAGATCGATACTGGAATGGCGAAAATTGTGTTCATATACACTATCGGTTTTTTCATGACGGATTTTTTTGATTCGGTCGCCGCGCTCAAAGCCCGCGATAAAAGCTATACAATAGCTTAAAAACCGATTTAACGAAGTTTAGCAATGCCGTGTCCTACTGTTACGTACAGGGCATACATTCGGGTGTTACCTGATGGTGCGGTCGAAGGAGGCGGACAGCAGCTGTGAGCTGTCCCTTGTGAACTGTACGCAGGTGACTCCCTTCGAGTGCGCGCGGTCCAGCTTGCGCTGCGTCTGACCCGTGGATACCTTCCACACCTGCACATACCAGTACCGACCATACCACACATTCAATCATAATAAAACTCATTATTTGTCTTTTTAATAAAACATCGTTAATGCAATAAGGTATTTGACAAGTTTTAGGCAACGATCTCACGTTATTGACTATTGTTTTTGGAGTCCGTAAAAAGTAGATATTCATCATTCTGTCGTGTATTTCAGTAAAAATAACCAAATCAAAAACTCCATTTTCAGTTGCCTCGAAAACGTTTCTCTGGACAATATGGCGTCTTACTAGTGTGTGACGTCACACGACTGTTATTAAAACGTCAAACGATACAATGTAATGTCACTTGAACCGGAAGTTTACTTGCGAGTGACGTCATTTTAGGCTCCGCCAATACCTAGCGTTTTGGGTCACGTGACAATAGATAAGAAAACTATTATCTTTTTCGTGGGTTTTTAGTAAAATTATGAATATTTTTTTTGTAAAAATAGTGAAAACCCTTGCCAATATTCAATCTAAACACAGATGCTAACAATTGGCACTTTATTTTTAATACTGTCAAATACCCTATTGTGCATGTAAGACAGTTTCAAGCAAATTATTTAGAAATACAGTCAAAAATTAATTTGTTCGGAAAGTATCTAAAATCGGTTATGAGCACAGTGCCTACGATGCAGGATGCCATTGCTGCAATAATGCCAAACACGTCAATAGACTAAGAAGCAGATTGCCTTCAATGTATATTCCGTGTATTGTAGGCAGTCTGCTTTTTATTCAAAATGACGTGTTAGGCATTATTGCAGCAATGGCATCTTGCCTTTCAGGCACTGTGCTCATAACCGTCTAAAATTCAACAATAAATAGAAATGATAGCCGCGTGATGTCGGATGCATAACCGTAGAGGCAGAGTGATGCCTGAATCATACTATTATGTCGTATTGTACCGACGTGTGACGCAACAAAAGCAACAGACTTTACTTCATACGTTTACGATGATTTGAAATACGTTAGAAAGGAAGAAAGAAGAAGAATAGGCCAACGACATCTAAGGCACTCAACTATGTTCAATAAATTGACAAGAAACTAAAATTGGTGTGGATTTATGAAACCACGATGCAAGTAAAACTATTAAAATCATTAATAAAAACTCTTCCACGGCTGGGATTCGAACCAGGGCCGCCACTATAGCAAGCGCGTTTTTAATCACTGAAGCTCCAATACTTGCTGATTGAGTTTGAATTTGTAAATACTAATCAAAAATTTAGTGCAACATGCTAAAGATAAACGAAAAAAAATGTTGAGATGTAATAGGGAAGAGAAATACTAGCATTAGTAGTAGATACCATATAGTGTTACAGCGTTAACCATAAAATGTATGAAACCGATACTCTGACGCGTCATGTCGCATCATGAGTCGACGTCATTCGCGAGCTTGTTGTGTCGACACACAACAGCTCGCGAATGACCTTGATCTTGCCGTCGTTGGCGCCGGCCGCGAGCGTGTCGGAGTGGCGCGCCTGGTAGCGCGGGTCCTAGTGTCGCTCACCTTGATCTTGCCGTCGTTGGCGCCGGCCGCGAGCGTGTCGGAGTGGCGCGCCTGGTAGCGCGGGTCCTAGTGTCGCTCACCTTGATCTTGCCGTCGTTGGCGCCGGCCGCGAGCGTGTCGGAGTGGCGCGCCTGGTAGCGCGGGTCCTAGTGTCGCTCACCTTGATCTTGCCGTCGTTGGCGCCGGCCGCGAGCGTGTCGGAGTGGCGCGCCTGGTAGCGCGGGTCCTAGTGTCGCTCACCTTGATCTTGCCGTCGTTGGCGCCGGCCGCGAGCGTGTCGGAGTGGCGCGCCTGGTAGCGCGGGTCCTAGTGTCGCTCACCTTGATCTTGCCGTCGTTGGCGCCGGCCGCGAGCGTGTCGGAGTGGCGCGCCTGGTAGCGCGGGTCCTAGTGTCGCTCACCTTGATCTTGCCGTCGTTGGCGCCGGCCGCGAGCGTGTCGGAGTGGCGCGCCTGGTAGCGCGGGTCCTAGTGTCGCTCACCTTGATCTTGCCGTCGTTGGCGCCGGCCGCGAGCGTGTCGGAGTGGCGCGCCTGGTAGCGCGGGTCCTAGTGTCGCTCACCTTGATCTTGCCGTCGTTGGCGCCGGCCGCGAGCGTGTCGGAGTGGCGCGCCTGGTAGCGCGGGTCCTAGTGTCGCTCACCTTGATCTTGCCGTCGTTGGCGCCGGCCGCGAGCGTGTCGGAGTGGCGCGCCTGGTAGCGCGGGTCCTAGTGTCGCTCACCTTGATCTTGCCGTCGTTGGCGCCGGCCGCGAGCGTGTCGGAGTGGCGCGCCTGGTAGCGCGGGTCCTAGTGTCGCTCACCTTGATCTTGCCGTCGTTGGCGCCGGCCGCGAGCGTGTCGGAGTCGCGCGCGAAGGCGAGGCAGAGCACGGCCTCGTCCATGCTCATGTAGTCGTCGTGGGCCTGGTAGCGCAGGTCCTTGCGGATCTTGCCCGTGGTGAAGTTCCACACCTCCAGCAGGCCGTCCACCGACCCGGTCACCAGGTACTGCCCGTCCGGCGAGAACCTGACGAGTGTTCACATAATGTATATAATAACTAAAATTCAAACATTGCTAGACAAGTATAAGGTGATTAAGATAAATTAATCTGTTCTTAATTTCAATAACAAGAAAATATTAAGCAGTGATTACCGAAAATCAAATACCCAATCGAACCAAAGAGTTCGAATAAATTACAAAAGAATCATTAATATCTATATATAGAGTAGTATTTGTTACCTGGCGCACTCGACGTGCGACTTCTGTCCGAACTTGATCATCTTGGAGAGCTGCGTGGGGCACTGGTCGTCCTCCTCGTCTCTGATGGCAGCCTTACCGCGGAACAGATCGATCGTGGTGCCTGCACGCAACATTTACATTAAAAAAACAACAGTACACTAATGACAGACGTCAAAGTAGAATGCAGCCCCTGGTGCTGCTGCCACTTGAGCGCCTGCCCCAGCAGCGCCAGCAGGCGGGAGCTCCCTGTGTGTGTGTGTGTGTGTGTGTGTGTGTGTGTGTGTGTGTGTGTGTGTGTGTGTGTGTGATGCGGCCGCGTGTGTACACACCTGGCGGCAGCAGCCCCTGGTGCTGCTGCCACTTGAGCGCCTGCCCCAGCAGCGCCAGCAGGCGGGAGCTCCCTGTGTGTGTGTGTGTGTGTGTGTGTGTGTGTGTGTGTGTGTGTGTGTGTGTGTGTGTGTGTGTGTGTGTGTGATGCGGCCGCGTGTGTACACACCTGGCGGCAGCAGCCCCTGGTGCTGCTGCCACTTGAGCGCCTGCCCCAGCAGCGCCAGCAGGCGGGAGCTGGGCACGACGGAGAGCTCCCTGTGTGTGTGTGTGTGTGTGTGTGTGTGTGTATGTGTGTGTGTGTGTGTGATGCGGCCGCGTGTGTACACACCTGGCGGCAGCAGCCCCTGGTGCTGCTGCCACTTGAGCGCCTGCCCCAGCAGCGCCAGCAGGCGGGAGCTGGGCACGACGGAGAGCTCCCTGTGTGTGTGTGTGTGTGTGTGTATGTGTGTGTGTGTGTGTGATGCGGCCGCGTGTGTACACACCTGGCGGCAGCAGCCCCTGGTGCTGCTGCCACTTGAGCGCCTGCCCCAGCAGCGCCAGCAGGCGGGAGCTGGGCACGACGGAGAGCTCCCTGTGTGTGTGTGTGTGTGTATGTGTGTGTGTGTGTGTGATGCGGCCGCGTGTGTACACACCTGGCGGCAGCAGCCCCTGGTGCTGCTGCCACTTGAGCGCCTGCCCCAGCAGCGCCAGCAGGCGGGAGCTGGGCACGACGGAGAGCTCCCTGTGTGTGTGTGTGTGTGTATGTGTGTGTGTGTGTGTGATGCGGCCGCGTGTGTACACACCTGGCGGCAGCAGCCCCTGGTGCTGCTGCCACTTGAGCGCCTGCCCCAGCAGCGCCAGCAGGCGGGAGCTGGGCACGACGGAGAGCTCCCTGTGTGTGTGTGTGTGTGTATGTGTGTGTGTGTGTGTGATGCGGCCGCGTGTGTACACACCTGGCGGCAGCAGCCCCTGGTGCTGCTGCCACTTGAGCGCCTGCCCCAGCAGCGCCAGCAGGCGGGAGCTGGGCACGACGGAGAGCTCCCTGTGTGTGTGTGTGTGTGTATGTGTGTGTGTGTGTGTGATGCGGCCGCGTGTGTACACACCTGGCGGCAGCAGCCCCTGGTGCTGCTGCCACTTGAGCGCCTGCCCCAGCAGCGCCAGCAGGCGGGAGCTGGGCACGACGGAGAGCTCGCCGGCCAGTGAGGCGGCGACTGCAGCCCGGCGCCGCTCCTTGCCGCCGCCGCTGCCGTAGGCCTCGCGCGGGTCGAAGTACGACCGCGCCACCAGGTTCTCTGCACAGAACACACCCCACATCTTTTCTTTTGACACAACATTATTTCGAAATATGTTCTACGAGCCATTGTTTCGAGTGAGTTTGAAATTAATTCGACTAGAAAAATCATTAAAATTCTTTCTATGAGTCAATTCCAAGCATTTTTCATTTCGCTCATTGGCACTTCAAAGAAAATTTTCATTTTAAACATTTTAACTATTTTCTTTTTTGTCTAACAATTATTTTATTGAATAACATTTTACTTTCCCTGCATGAAAAAGTTTATTTATCAGAGAATATTTTTTATTAAAAATAGAACCAACTTAAAAAACAATGTGAAAAAATAAGACTTATCATACCATAGATACAAAATCATGTGTTTAGCAAGGAGATCATGACAATTGGTTTCAACTTCAAATATATCAGTTGGTAAATCTTAATTTATCATTTTCTGTTATTTTTTTAGTCAATTCTATTTTTATGAAACTGAAATACTCGTATATAAAAAAAATATTATTAAAAATACAATATTATAATCTATTATTATTGTATTTGTAAGAATTTTTGAGTCTTTTTTCTCTCTCATTGGCTCATTTACTTTAGCGTCGTGATTTCTCCACTTGCCCGATGATTGACTGGTAAAGAATGTCTTATGGCATTAAGTCCGCGATTTTTTGAATGACAATAAAGAGTAAAATAAATAAATAATTCTTATATCATAAGATTGTGCTGATTGATATCTACTATAAAAATTTACATCACGAAATGGTTTTCATTTCCTAGTTACTGTTTAGTTTAGCTGTTTAAACTTTTTATTTTTATGGATAAAATATCGTAAATACTCGTGGAATAGGTTTATGGATTAAGTATTTTACTATACTCGTACTTCTTAAACTATGTATGTGTTTTACCTAGTATGACTCATCTCTAGTGAGTAAGTATCGATGCTTTGCAATCGACAGACACCTAATAAGTATCGATACTTTACGACACTGTATCGTTTTATCCCTATCCCCTATCCGTAAATCTGTACGTACCGCATGTAGTAGTCATTTGGTAGTTTCACCTGGAAAGTTTTCCGGGAGTTTTGAAAATTGGTAATTGTATAGATTGTGAGGTGCTCTTTCCGAATTTCGACTTTGATACCTCGTATTTTTGCCGCTCGCGCCGCCATATTGGAAAAGTGGCGCCTAAAAGCAGTTTTTTGACAAATTTTCCTTTCCGACCCGTTTTACGATAAAAACAGTTATATACAAAATTAAACTAGAGACAATTGCCTACAATTTATGTAACTACCTTTTTTTTTCATAAAGTCAATAGTTTTGGCGTACGACCGCCTCAAAGTGTACTCCAGCCCGCGTTTTGGTCATTACTCATTATTGTGGATGCTTGTGGATATTAAGCTTGTGGATGCAGAAAAGCTGGGTTAAAGTGCTCTGTTATATGCACGAATTGTAGCGGTACCTGTGGTAACTCGCAAGTGCCGTCACCAGATAGCGATGATGAAGACGAAACGGAGACTATAATTGAGCAAACATATGATCAAATCGAGAACGAAGAGGATTGAGATGAAATTGATACTCCCATCGCGGATGATGTAGATGAAATACCGGTCTGTGACGTTTCGATTGGTACTACAGACGATGAATTTGAAACACCTGGTCCATCGAGAATAACAAAGCGAAGGAGAATACGCTAAATTCTAGCACATTGAATTGCATGTGGCTAAGGCCTATTGGAGTTACCACATTTCAAAATACGCGCCACTTACTCTACCTAAAGGTGGTGTGGAAATGAGTTTTTTTGGCTCGGAAATGAGTTTTTTGGCGCTCGTACGCCAAAAGACTAACTTTATGAAAAAAAGGTACATACATAATTGTAGGCAATTGTCTCTAGTTTCATTTTGTATATAACTGTATTTATCGTAAAATGAGTCGGAAAGGAGATATTGTCAAAAAACTGGCGCCATTTTTCCAATATGGCGGCGCGAGCTGCAAAAATACGAGGTGGCAAAGTCGAAATTCGGAAAGAGCATCTCAAAATTTCTAATATTACCAATTTTCAAAACTCCCTGAAAACTTTGTTTAGTAATGAGGGTATGTTCCAAAAATTTTAGAAATTACATGACTATTATAAGAACGATATCGACAATTAGCAAAGGTCTTAATCTAACGCTGAGAAGCAAACCCATGCGCGATGTATCTGACGGATAGTTACGAAATTTTTTCGAAAAAACCAAGATGTGATCTTTAAGAGGTTCCTTTTTATTAGGTTTCGAATCAATAAGAAGCTAACATGTTGTCTTTAAAAACCTTTTTTAACAAAGACACACAAACACTAAAAATTTAGAAATAATACATTTTCTTTAGTCAAATTAATATTTGGAGTGGGTGCCATGCATGTCAGATAGATCTGTGTTCCCCTTTTCTACTTGGGTTGGCATGGCACCGACTCCAAATATTAATTGGACTAAAGAAAATGTATTATTCATTAATATTTTGTGGTTTTGTTTTTAATGAAGTAATTTTTTTATTTTTGTAAAAAAAGATTTTATTGATTTTATTTTCACTTTTTATAAGTTAGAGTAACATCGACTTACTAAAGGTGAGTGACCTGCAATCCCTCTTACATATTTCGTAAAATAACCAAACAAAAATATATATCTCTGAAAGTATTTATCTATCTTCGCTTAATGAATATGGGACCATAGCGCTAACAAACTCTTCCAAACAAAAAATAATTATCAGAATCGGTCCACCAACCTCAGAGATATTCATGAACAACAATAAAAGAAACTATACCGACGAATCGAGAACCTCCTCCTTTTGGAAGTCGGTTAAAAAAGCACAAAGGGGCTTCAAAGCAGGACCCATTTTTTTACAATGTGGTGTGGTACATAATTGCGTCTTTTCACTAAACACAGGGGCTTTACTCAGTAGTAAACATCTGATTATTGTACGGTACATACCCAAATGGATATATCGATCAGGCTCCTGCTGCTTCATGAGCAGGCAGGGATGCGTCTGTCGCAGCAGCGAGCGCGCGGCGCCGAGCTCGCGCAGCTCAATCAGCTCCAGCACCACCTGCTCGTACAGATCCATCAACTTCTTATCGGGCAGCTTCAGCGACGCCGTCGCCTTCAGCACTGTGTCCCAGTGGCCATTGTTAATTTCCGCACAGAACCCGTCCACACTGTCCACTGTATTCAATGTCACACCAGTTTCCTCCTTCGAAAATAACATTACATATCAATTTCAATGGTCAAAATGCCTTCAAAAGTTATGCTTCGCTATTAAGGTACAAGTTGGTAGCGGACGACATGTAGCTGCAGCAAACGAAGTGTCGCAGCGACACTACTGGTTTCTATATATTTCTATGAAATCCCCTTCGTACTAAGCGACATCGACAGCGACGACAAGCTTGCTATGCGTCGCCGAGGGGCAGACGGCAGTGTCGCCCGACCGCAGATCAGTAGTGCCGCTGACACCGGAGCAACGATACGTCGAGCGAGTTTCTTCGCAAAATGATTTTTTCCGATTGTGATCAATAAAAACTCTAAAAAAATACTAACAAAAGATTTTAAAAATTGCAAACACTATTCTCAAACACGTCAGACATCTTGTTTCACGAAACACCGGATAACATCTGCTGTTGCCGTCTGCAGCCGAGTTCGAAATCATAACTGCAGCGACAGGACGCAACGACGTATCGAGGCTACATGAAGCGACAACATGTCGTCTGCTGCTGCTGCGTGTCGGCTACCAACTCGTACCTTTACTTGTAGCTCATTGAAACTAATTATTAACAATGCTAAAATAACATTAATCAAGGAACAAATTCAGGTTTACTCACTTGTAGAGTCTGTAATGTCTTTGTAAGATTGGACTCTTTCAGGTACTGCTGAATCAATCTGATAACACTGAAACAACATAGGTTCGATTGCATTAAGAAAGTTGTTGGTAATGAGTTCTGATACAACCTTACGTATAGTCCATTTGAAATGTTTGGAGAGCAAAAGTATACAAACTTGTAATTAGGACCGACTAGACAGTTCAGTAATGGGAATTTGTGGATGAGCCTCATCAAAATAAATTTATCTATTGATTAGACTTCTACAAACCGCCGCCCTCGACGAACAAAGCCAATCCCCTCAACATCATCCAGATCAATCTCCAGCATAGCCAGACTGCCACGGCTTGCTTATGCAAGGCGCTGGAGGTGAAACCCCGAACTATCGCTCTGTTCAAAAAGCCGTGGATCAGAAACAACAGAATATGGGGCCTCAGGAACATCGGCGGTTGACACACTGGACATAGATAAATCGCGCACCTGTGCTTATATATTAAAAGATGTATCTACCACGACACTCACAAAATTCTGTTCCTGAAACCAAACCGCCGTCAGGATAAAGACTGAAGGCGAGTCAACCGACTTCGTCCTGGCCTCAGTATACATGCCAGGCGAGGATGAAGACTGCCCACCAAAGGTGACGACCAACCTGGTGAAGTACTGTGAGACTCAAATGCCCATTGAACGAACATTGGGGCTGTAACATATGTAACCCTAAAGGTGAGATATAACGCACATATCTTTTCTCCATTAACCTTAGCATTGTAAATCGAGACGCTGAACCTACTTGGGTCACAGGCTCACAGCTCACAGACAAACAATTATCGATTTAATGATAGCTTCACAAAGAGTGACAAATCTCATCTCAAACTGGCACGTCCCTTCAATCAGCTGAGAAGCTTTCAAGGGACTATGACACGTGAATGGTGGACCACGACACCAGAATGTAGGCAATCCAAGGAGGCTATGATATCCCACACAAAGCTAACCAGGCACCTTCTGCGCCTGGACAGGAATAGCTGGAGATTGTTGACAGGGATCACCACAGGACACTGCTCACTGAACAAAGACTTTCACATTCTAGGTATCACTGCTATATGCAGAGTATACATGGAGGTTAAAGTAACGTTGGCACATGTGCACAGGTGTCGCCCAGATCTGCAGAGACTCTCAGTACAATGGAATCCTTCGCAGGTGCCCTGTGAAGACTGGGAAGATTGATCTGCTTCTGGTTTTCTTCGCTCGCTTTTCTCTGCAGCTAAAAAATAGGTCCAACAAGTGGTAGAGAAAATATATTTTGTATGATTCTAAAAAGTTGTACTATGCATCCAATTTGAATAAAGATTTTTTTTTATTTTTAGTTAGATTTTCAGTTACAATAATACACATTGTAATTCTGTCTTAATTGTTAACAACACATTTATCATTTCATTGTCTGTTCTGAATTGCTTCCATACTAATGGTCTGCGGAAATATTGGATCAAAATCTAATAAATAACTGCAAGTACATCTTGCAGTGGCAGGGTTTAGGACGAAGTAGACAAAGAATATGAGCAGAGTTTCTCAAACCTATTAGTGATTTAGTAGCTTGCTAAACTATAAGTTGGAAACACCAACAGCATGGAACAATCCTTGCCATGGAGGAAGGATATTTATCTTATGTATAATGGAATGCCACTAACTTCCAGTCCATCTATAGGAGGTCATTCATAAGATATATTTTTATTATTCAAGCATTCAACTTCTAGATGTATAGATATATTTTTGTAATAGGATTTCTTTACTTTCAATGTAATATAGGTATCACTGGTAATACAAAATAAATGTATTTATTTAAATATGTATCAGCTTTACAAATTGGACATCTGAGCAAGTCACGACATAGTAAGCTTTTTTAGTGTCAGCTTAGAGCAGTTCCAACATAATTATTTAATAAATTTACTTCCATATGACGAAAATTGTACTAGTTATTGTCTTGTGGGAATATATCGATTAATAAAAAGTCATCTTGTCAGTAACATTAATGGGAAACAAATCTATTAAATATAATTAACTTACTCTGCTGACTCAATTTCTATCGACATTATAAATTATGATACAATGTCAGCGTTTCCCTTTAAAAGCGTCTCTTGGTTTTCACGGCTATAATAGAATTAATTTATATTATATTACACGTTTTTTAACTAAATTAATTGAAAAATAACCAAGATTCAAGATTTTCTTTCAGGTTATCGAATTTTCTTTATTTACAATCAAAGCACCATAGAGTAATGTTAAAAAATCACCACCACAGGGTTGCGTTCAGTAACCACACTCCGGTAATCATGTTCAAATCAACCGCATTAATCGGTTTTCCTGTAGCGGTATGTGCGCATGTGAAAAGTCCGCTTTATGTTAGAAAAGAATATTTAAAAAAACAAAAGTCAAAATAGAAAGAAAAAAGTTTGAGCAGCGGTTTAGTGGTGAAAATGTGCATACTTAATACGTAGGTAATTTATTTAAAAAAACACAGTAATAGAAATTTAATGGAATGGATAGATACCCAAATGTTGAAAAAATTGGCGAGGGAACGTATGGTGTAGTTTATAAAGCAAGAGATGTTGAAACTGGCAAGGAAATCGCATTGAAGAAGATCAAACTTGAGAAGTAAGTTTTGGCGCGAACAAATGTCATTGTGCGCATTCACCATATCTTTTCTTGTTCATTAAGATTTGTCTAAATATGTCCTTGTATGAACACCGATTACCTAAGTTACGGTTAATTTACTTTCGAACAGCCTAAATATAGGCAGAGCATTACAAATTAATGAGACTATCAGGTGCAGTTTTCACTAGAATGAACCCTGGAATTGAGATGATTTTAAGTTTAATACATTTACTTTTATCAATAAAAATTACCATATGATTTGCTCCATACATTTTTGCATTATTTCCCACTTCCAAATACATCTATAGTAGTTATCAATTATTTGACATTATGATTTCTGGTTTCATTAGTTAATGACCTTTATTTAGGTTTGAAAAACCTTTATTTTGGCATGTTTTAATTATTCTTGTGACTTCAGTTGTTTTTTGAATGAAAACCAAATTGATCTTTTTATAGCTGTAGTATTTTTTTTAATGTTGTGGATTTAATACCAATCTGAAAATATTGGAATGTGATACATAATATAGAACATTAATTAAGACATCAACAAATCTCTTGCATATTATAGTGAACCAGAGGGAGTCCCATCCACAGCTCTGCGTGAGATCTCGGTCCTACGCGAGCTGTGCCATCCCGCTGTGGTGCAGCTGCTGGACGTGCTGCTCACTGAAAACAAACTGTTCCTTGTCTTTGAATTCTTACACATGGACCTCAAGAGGCTTATGGACATTTACAAGGGCCCCATGCCACATGACCTTGTTAAGGTACAATTCATTATTAGATATAAAAAAAAACTAGGTATGTTGAAAATCTCCTTATTGAAGTCAGTTAAAAAGAACTAATTTTATTGTTTTAATTTTCGACTAGGATGACTAATTCATCAATATTGGTAGATTAAAAGTTAAATTTAATTATGAAGCTTAAGTTTGAAAATGTCACAATAAAAAGTTTAGTTCAGCTATGTGTGTACATTTATAATAACACAAGTGGAATTCTTCAAAGAGGATGCCATCTTTGTTCTGTACCAACCAGTATGATCGTATCATCTCTTAATTTTCTCTGAGTGATCGTCTAATTACGGAGTGATCAATATGTTATTTGAATGGTGATTAAGTAAATATTAAGTAAATCTAAACATAATCACTGAGTACTATTAATGTACTTAAAAATTATGATTAACCTTTTACCACCTTATGATGGGTAATACTGATAATTAAAAAAAATGATTTGGAATAAATTACATTTTCGTACCTCATACAAACTTTTTAGTTATTTACTCCCTATGGTTTCGGTTGTATGTTGACCGATCACATCACATTAGCACTGCTCGCTTCCAAATTTACCATTCCAGGTATTCACTTAAACGGCAATCGAATGTTAATATCGCGTCGCATTTGGCATACAGAGCTACTTAGCGCAGCTGCTAGAGGGCATCGCGTACTGCCACTCGATGCGCGTGCTGCACCGCGACCTGAAGCCGCAAAACCTGCTGGTGGACGGCGAGGGCCGCGTCAAGCTCGCGGACTTCGGCCTCGCGCGCGCCTTCGGCATCCCTCTGAGAGCCTACACGCACGAGGTCGTCACTCTCTGGTACCGCGCGCCGGAGATCCTGCTCGGTGCCAAGTTCTACTCCACCGCTGTAGACGTGTGGAGCCTCGCCTGCATCTACGCGGAGATGGTGAGTCCCCATACCCTCCCCTACACGAGAACATCGGTAACGTTCTCGTTTTAGTGAAAGCTTTTTAGTTGAAGTCGATGAGAAACCCTAACTGTCTTTTTCATTAACGTAGACTAAAGCGGGAGCAACTGAGTATTAAGTTATTGCTATCAAAATTTTATAAGAATCAGGCAAGCATTAGGGGAGTTTTGTTACAAACACTGATACGATAATTTTAATATATACAGATAGTAGTATACTACTCCATCTCTATACTCGGAGTAAACTTAGGTTTATTGATAGACTAAGGATGATAAATATCCCCCTTGTGGCGACTTTCCGCCGCATAAACATTGGTCCATGTCGCCATACAGCCAGTGCCTATGGAATGTCCATTAGAAAATAAGTTTTTAATTGTTTTTATATTTTCGGTTTGATTTATAGTAGTCATTGTAAAATGGACTTCAAGAGAAACTTTTGTTCGTACATGTTGTATTATTCTAATGTTACTGTTTGTTGTGATATTTCTGAATGTAGTGCTCATTTAAGTTGACCAAGTATTGCTGTATTATTATTCCACTAGTGGGGAACAGCGGTAAAACATCCCCAAACCCTTATTAATTAAACAAAGAATAAGCTTGGATTAGTTACTCCATGCTTTGTGTCTGTTCAATGAGTTATAAATGGCATTTGAGTGATAATATAAACTTATTCCTCGTTTATGAATAAGTGAGTATAGGTTTAATCCAAGTGTAGGTATGGACTATTATACTCCTACATTACTTCATCTCTAATAAATGACATTCTCGCATCACAGTGTTTGTAACAAAAGTCCCCTGAAATGGCTTTTCCGATTCTTAAGAAATAATATGTGTATATTCTTATATTCTGTTTGTTACATTTTATGTTGGGAAAAACTTTCTTCGTATTTTATATGAAAAAACAAATCATTTTTAATAAAGTTCATTTACTTTTAACTAAAGTACATACTTTGTCATTTTGTACAATAACTTTTTGTCATCTTGTAGGTAGGAACATAATCCCATTGCTATAGAAACTTTGGGGCTTCTGCCTGCCTGCTGGTAAGTGGCCACCATAGCCTATAGGCATAGACGCTTGCGATACCAAAAATATCACTCGCACCCTGATCCAAAACCCTACCCCATGGAGCCCTGAAACCCTACTCACCACAACACCAACAGAAAGGTAGTGTTTTTTTTTTGTTTCTCGGTTTACTACAATCTGTCTCCTTCGTGGGACATTGAGCAGTATGTTGGTTGGTGCTATTGCTGGCGCGCTCAGTATGTGACCTGTGTCACAACGTCATTATTTAGACAGTATGTTCTACTGTGATTGGGCTACATTATCTTGTGGTATTTTACGCTTTAATCGTCGCGCTTTGATGTGGTTCTCCATTAATGGCCGAGCTAGAGCATTTGGATGTTTTTTGATGCGTTCTTTATAGGACTTAGTATGGTGGACAGTTTCTTGCTTTACAGTAGATATGCTTAGGTCACGATGTAGTAGTTCGTTGGGAACAAACCAGGCTGCGTTGGTTATCAAACGCAGGGATTTATTTTGAAACCTTTGTAGGATTTCAATGTTTGAGTTAGATACGGTGCCCCATAATTGGATCTCATGCGTCAAGACGGGCTTTAGTATTGCCTTGTACAGGAGTATTTTGTTCTCAAGTGAAAGTTGAGATTTTCGTCCAATAAGCCAGTAGAGTTTTCGTGTTTGGATACCAAATTGCTTCCTCTTAGTAAAAATATGTTTTTGCCAGGTAAGTCTTTTGTCTAAGAGCAATCCAAGATATTTCACATGATCTGCCTGTGAACTTCAATGTAATTTAATTTGACTGGAGAACAAGATCCTCTTCTTAAAATAAACGTTACAGTGACTGATTTTGTTTCGTTCGCTTCTATCCGCCACTTTTTGAGCCAGTGGAATATGCTATTTAGCCCTTTTTGGAGAGTTTGTGAGGCTATTTTCGGGTCGCTATGCTCAGAGAGATCAATAGAGATCACAGATCAATATATCTTTATTCAAATTGGATGTATAGTACAACTCTTTTGAATCGTCCATATTTTTTTTCCCTACCACTCGTTAATAGACATATTTTTAAGCTGTAGAGAAAAACGAGCGAAAAAACTCCACAACATTAAAATAGCTATAGCTATAGACAGTCACCCCCTTATTGTTAAATGAGGAATAAGCCTCAGACCAGCTACGCCACGCCTTGTACATATCACTCGAATGCTATTTGGCATTCAATGAACAGAGACAAAACACAAAGTAACCAATCCAAGCCTAGTCCTCGTCTATCATCAAGGGTTAATTAAACAAGTTTACTATATTAAGCGATCGCCTACCCAATCCTACCCTCACTAATCACAGGAGAAAAAAACGATCATTGGTGCTAATACCTATGCGCAGCTAGCTAGTATGGCAGTATCGTCATCAAAAGTTCCAGTAGTTAAGGATTCAGATGTCGGCAAATCTGTAGTTAACAGTAAGTAGAGCACAGCGCTCAGTATGCTACCCTGTGGAACTCCTGCTTTTATTGGACGCAGTTCAGATAGAGCTTCCCCATTTTGTACTATGAAATGGCGCTGCTGTAGAAATGATTTCAGTATTCCGTACAGGTAGTCTGGCAGAGCAATTTAAAAAGCAATCCCTCATGCCACACGCTGTTAAACGCTTGGGATATCTCCAGGAATGCACTAGCACAGTAATATTTTGCCTCCAGTGATTCCATGATCTTTTTAGTTAGTCTGTGCATTTGGTCGATAGTGGCATGTTTACTGAACTGATCCCAAACTAGTGTTCAGGGATTAACTCTTTTTCTTTGAGTATAGGTAGGATTCGTTGTAGCAGTAGAGATTCGTAAATTTTGGATGGAATAGGTAATAGGCTTATGGGCCTATATGATTTTGCTTCTTCAGGTTGTTTGTCTGGTTTCAGCAGCATTATAATTTGTGCGACTTTCCACTCCGGGGGAAAAACTGCAGTCTGGTCATGGCGTTGAAAAGTGACGTCAGGAAAGTTATGCCAGATTCTGGTAGTTCTTGTAGTATACGATTCCTTATAAGGTCGTATCCTGGTGACTTTTGGATCCGATTTTTTTATAATTCGGGCAACTTCAGCCTTTGTTAATTTAAAGGGCACTTCCTCCATGTTTGTAGGAGGAGTATGTAAATGGGCAGTAATTTCTGCTGCATCTTCTGGAGAGCCTTCATATGGGTGAGGAACAAAGACGTTTGAAAGATGTTCCGAGAACGATTGAGCTTTCTCTTGGTCTGTCCGTGCCCATATACCGTCAGATTTTCTTAAGGGGAGATACACTAATAGGTCGTTTTAGTTTTCTGGTGGCTTTCCATAAAGAATAATCTGAGGAAGCAGTAGCATCCAGGCCAGTGATATAACTGTGAAAGCCGTCATTACGATCTTTGTCTAGAATGTGCTTCAGCTGTCTGGTGGCGTGATTGAGCCGTTTCTTCGCCATAGGGTCTCTGGTTTGTTGCCAGTGTTTCCGTATATTCCTTTTTTGGGTTACTTTATAAATAAATAAATAACACCAGGCTGCATCTTGCACCTTTTTATTGAAGTATAGGACCGCTTCTGTTATTTCTTTATTTGATTTTAGTCTAACAGGTTCCTGGAATGCTTTATCTAGGTGCTCTCGAAATAGGGGCTCTATTTTATTAATTAGTTCTTTTGGTATGTAGAACGCATTTTTTGACGCTTTCTTGGGCGGTAGTGTGTAGTTCTACAATGATTGGAGAGTGGTCTGAGGATCGATCCCAGCAACTCTGGCACGATACATTGTTATTTGCGATTCCTTTGCTGAGGCAAAAATCGATAACATCTGGGATTTTTCTATTGTCTATTGGCCAATAAATCGGTTCACCAGACGATATCACGTTCATGTTTTTTTGCTTGGATGCATTTAAGAAGTTCTCGCCCTCTGGGTAGGACAAGTCTCGAACCCCGAAAATGTTATTTGACTGTGATCTTCTGTAGGGTCCAGGTTACTGCCACAGACAGGCACTCTAATTAGAACCGAAAATCCGCTTTGCCGTACCTTTCTTAAAGTGTGATAACTCACAACTCGTTTCTTAGTCGCAATTTATGTTTATGATTATGATGACATCATCATCGTCAATAAATGTTACATTGTAATCACAAATTGCTACCATTGACAACGTTTATTATTTAAGTAAAAAAAACATTGGTACCTATCTACTTTTAAAATATTTTTGTTTTATTTATTAATAATCTTCCTTGGACCAATTAATCTTATTAATTCTGTTTTTTTGCGCTTCGTAATTTTTCTTCGGTAATTTGATACTCTAATTTTAATATTTTCATTTCCATTTCATGCTTTTCTTCTATACATTTATGCTTAAATTTTAAAATTTCCATTTCCATGGCATGTTTTTCTTCGGCAATCTCCATTCGTCTGACGGATTCTTTATCTTTAAATTCTTCTGAATCGTCATTACTATCCTGTAAGTTATTATCGTCATTTAATTATTGTTATTTTTATAACTGTAATTGGATATGAGGACTAAGAATAAAAGTTGATTGTGGTATTTAAAAAGCAAGATTTTCTACCGATATATTAATATTCTATGTATCTTGCACTGTTACCAAAATATTTTATTTTATTTGGGATAAATAAATATTAAACAATATCCCAAACAAGGCATTTGAACCGATGTAATTAAATGATGCCCCTTGTTTTTTTAAAGATTTCTAACGAAGTTACCACAAACACCCAGACTAGGTGAATAAAGAAAAGTACAACATAGTTAAAAACTAAATATTAACATAACATACAAACCTTTCTGGCCTGGAAACCACTATTTCTGATGTTGTTAAGTACCATCGGCGCAGGTATCTGTAATCGAATACCAAAAATCTATTATAGTTTCCAATAAATAATGGTGTTTAAAAATATTCAATTTATTTATTCAATAAACATATCATCTACCTTTAAACAAAAATATATTCATTATAGTCAAATAAACTTATTTAATGGTTAGGTCGTAAATTATAATTTGCTATTAGCAAAGAAATGGTTACGGTTAAAATAAGAGGGCACCTAAAGAAACAATGCAGTTTCATTTAATAACGTTTAAAAAGTTATTTCCTTGAAAACTTGATAATTATAAAGCAAAATATTATGCGCGAGTACAACACTAGTTTAAAATAAAACTTTTCAACTATTAAAAATATGTAAATATGCATAATTATTCACTATTATTCTTTGTTAAGTCAATTTCTTATAGCAGTTTAAAAATATTTATAACATGAAATATAATAATATTCATACTCGTACAATCCCATCTGAATCATGTCTATTTCTGTCCATTGTTAATTCTGGGATTAGCATTTCGTTCAGGGCGACATCGGGAGTAGAGGGCCTTTCTCCTCCTACCGTTTTATTTATTTCTTTAAATGTACCACGTGACTTACGGACATTAATTTTCATACCCTTCCATTGTATCTTAAGCTGGATCAATTCTCTTTGTCGTCTATTCAAGCTATTAAACCTAGTTAAACAAAAGAACATGGATGATTAAATACAGCTCAGTTTAAATAAATAAATAATAAATAAATATTAAAAATAATAAGTAAGCACTATAAGCCTTGTGTTATGGTATGCTAGGGTAACGGATAGAATACATTTACTGTACATATATAAGTATATTTATATAAATACATATTAAACATCCATGACTGGAGTACAAATGCTCGTATTCATCACACAAACATCTGCCCCCACCGGGATTCGAACCCGGGACCTCTCGAGTCGGCGACAGCCATGAAACCCGGCGTACAAACCACTCGGCCACGGAGGTCGTCAATGATTCGTTTATAACATAAACCTCAATTATCTTCACGAATAATGTGGACAAACACTATACTTAGGTACTATTTGCTGTACCAAATGATTCGTGTACACAGAAATATTAAGATGCGTGCGGATAGCGCTTTCCTGTGTTATGCGTAGTGGGGATGCGCTTACAGCTCCTGTGTGGCCCGCCGCGAACTTGAAGGCGAGGTTTATTGATTCATAGAGCTACACGAGCCCCGCCAACAATGATCCGCCATTTCTCCGAGGATATTCCAACAAGATGAACACGCGTGACGATCTATTTTGCTGTCCCAACTATGGCGTACCCAGGCGTTGGACATGGTGTTCCAGGATACCGTACCAATGAACAGCTCCTGTACGGACAGCCGCGAACCTGAACTCGAGGTCAATCGATCCTTAACGCTTTCGCGAACCCTACTAGTCATCCGCCATGTCTCCGGGAAACACAGAAAACTCGATGAACACACGTGACTTTGCATCAAAATATAGCATACCCGGGCATACTCATCTCCTTCGCGACCAGAAACCAACTTTCGCCGACGAGTAGTCCCCCAAGTATGTACGCGTAGCTACAAGTACGGCCATGTCGTTCCAGGATATGTAGCTGCTAGCTGTACGAGTATCCAATGTACGCGCCGACAGAGTATCCAGACTGCGCATAATACAGGAATGCGCTATCCGTCAGCTGCAAGCTTACAGTAATGAATATTATGAAACGTTTGATATTACTTTTGGCAAACTTCCTCCCATGCTTTGGCTTTAAGTTTATTCATGTTTGTACTGAGCGTTTTATCCTCTATAATTTGCGTGTAATCTTTCAATATATTACGAAACAAGTCCTGAAAAAGTAAACAAACGTTTAAAGTATGTAAATCAAAATACAATACCATAAAGATGAACAAAAATAATATTTTTTAACCTTTTCTTCGTCATCCCAATTAACAGAGCGATTCCGTTTAGTAGACATACTGTTTTTTATATATAAAATTGAAATTCTTGTCTAGAACACAAAACAGAAGACAGAACAAATTACCCAGGTACCTCCGGCGTAAAGGTTTTCACTAATATGTTATGAATAACAACGACTTACTCCTACCTTAATGCGAACTTAAATTAAATCTAGTTAGCTTAGTAGTAGTAGTAGCTTTGCGTTTACAGCGAATAAACATCAAAGATAAACATGAAGTAAGCTTGGACTAAAGCACAGATTAAGTACTAGTTACTACGTAGACTAACGCCACAGATTAAATATTTCTAAGGAAGCATAATGACACGTTCACACTACGCTTTAATTTAAACATGGATTTTAAAGTATGGGCCACAGGTTACAGAGATTAGACATGTCTAATGGCAGAACTACAGTTATCTGTTGCGTTGTGTCTTTCAGAGAGCTGACCGTTTCATACATTTAGTATAGTTATAGTGGTTGCTTTCCAATTACAGCATTATTGCGCATTATGCGGCATAATGCTTAACGTTGAGTGTTCCAACTACAGCAACGCTTGGCACAATTGAGCACTCTCAAAAGTGATGCTTTCGTGTGATGCGTGCAATGGAACCAACTTAGAGAAAGAAAATTAACAAGTGTTTTTTCTTTAAGTTGGCATTGATCGAAATGTTTTATTTATATGTTATCGTTAGTAATATTATTTATTGTTGAAAAATTATTAAAGCTTTCGTTTCATTAAATGGTTTTTTTTAAATAATCAAAGTTCATTCAAACTGTTAAAAAATAAATACAAGTATGGATGAAGGTACAAACATTGACTTTTTTTTTTCAACACTGAACTTAGCGCACTCTGCTGGTGCATTTGAAAACTAATTCACGTTCCAATTAAGCATCAGCATAATTGGGCATTGTGCGGCACTGAGTCGCATTATGCTCTGTAATTGGAAAGCATACAGTGAGAACGGTGTCGACACATCGCGACACACAAGTATAGTTTTAATCGTATGAAACAGGTCGCATTACAACCTTATAACACAACATAACAGATAAGTATATTTCTGCCTTTATGGTATACCAACGTGATTAGATTTGCGCATAGAAAAATAATTAAGGAATTAAGTATATCTGTTACTTATAACGAATAAGAGTAAAAAAAACTTTTTAGGTGGTTTAAATCGTAAAATTTTAGTAGTAGTAAAATTTTAGTAGTAGTTTAAAAAAAAAGTTTTAGTAATAATTAGTTTAAGTCGGGTTTTATTTAAATAAACATATCGAATCGATAATCTCTTCGTTCGATAACGGAGGGTATCGTTTTTCGAGCGTATGGAAGATTTTTGGAGTTTACTCCTTAAGAATCGATTTGCATATATAAGGGGCCCGGTATCAGAAAAATGTGAGGAGTAAAATTTATCGATGAATGACCTCTACGTTTTCGGTGCGCATCCTATGTTGCGCAACTTTGACAAACAAAGATGACGGATTGACATTAATAAAATTTTTAAAATCTGAACTGAATTTAGATATTGTTTCTGAAAGAGCAATGGGGCCAACGAGGTAGAACTTTTTTAAGTTAAATAAACTGTTTTTGCGTCTGGTTAGACTATCGAACTTAAGGAGTAAACTCCAGTTGTGCGTCGGAGCTGACATACACATTTTTTTATATTTTTTGTATACCTATGGAGGACATAACACTTGCGTGTCGATGCAGGCGAGCGGGCGCACGCTGTTCCCGGGCGACAGCGAGATCGACCAGTTGTTCCGCGTGTTCCGCGCGCTCGGCACGCCCGGGTCCAGCGTGTGGGCGGGCGCGCGCCGCCTGCCCGACTACCGCGCGCACTTCCCGCGCTGGCCGCCGCGCACGCCGCACTCCCTGCTGCCCGACGCGCTGCGGGCCGACCCGCACGCCGCCGCGCTCTTCGACGCCATGCTGCGATACGAGCCCAGCCGCCGCCTGCCCGCGCGCGCCGCCCGCCAGCACCGCTACCTGCAGGACGTGACGCTCGTGCGACCCGTCCTCACCCCCCTCACCGCCGAAACCTGACCTCCTCGTTCTGCGGTCACTGCGGTAAGGTTTATTACAGTGATCGCCGAGTGAAACTCTCAATGTAAGAAAACGCGATTAATAATAGTTTGTTTCGATCGATCTCGGCGAGTGTACGCGACTAAGAAAATTGAATCGAATTATTTTGTATTCACGGTGGTGCTCCTCCGGTTTATGAGGTCTAATAAAATATTTTTATTGAACGACGGCAGTTTCATTTCAAAAAACCAACGATAATGTAAATGCGTCACACGACTATACATATATATTTGTGTATGTGTATGAGTTGCATGAACAGCTCTTCTCGACGAACATGAAAGTTGCGAGGCCAAGGCTGAAACGCTACAAACTTTACACGCGAACAAGGATACACACTGTTGTCACATTTAACTTTAGGTTTAAAGAATCGTGCCAAAATTGACACCCACCATTAACTTACTAAGAATAGGTTCCTGCCTTAACTTATCTCTTTTATATCTCATGAGGCGATGTAAAACTAATGATTCACTGATCTCTGTGGTATGATCGCGTAGTCGAAGACCATATCTGTTAAATATTGAAATTCGCCATTTGTATAGTATTAGTACTGAGAAGAAGGGCCTCTGTTCTGACTATCTCACTATGCCCGGGTTGGCCCTCTGCAGCTATCAACGTATAAAGAACTGTATTGTTTAAAAGTCCAGGTAAATTTTCGTTTAAAAGACTTAAGTACGCATGGAGTAGGTAGGTACTTTTATAAGTAGAAGTCCAATTTATTGTATAATTAATCTCTCTAATCTATGGACTCCGTTACTAAAGCCAGCAACATATTAACGTGTCGTGACGCTCCAAAAGCACAATGGTTTCATACATTTACTCTGGTTAGAGAAAAAATTCCGTGTTGTGTCGTGTCGACGCTCTAACCTCTCTCTGTAACCCATAATGAATGAATGAAACCGATGTGCTTTCTGGCCCGTCACGACAGGTTAATATGTTTCTGACTTTACGTACATGACAAATTAATAGTAAATTAATGAATCTAGCACCTCTTTGATGAGGATTATTATTTTGTACAAAGGAGGTCGAATGACCTACGCATGTTTTTTTTATTTTATTTGTCAATGTCTTTTTCTCTTCGGTTAGCCGTTGTCAAGGCTTATTTAATATTTTTTTTTCTTACTTACAAAATAGCATTACGTACAGAGTACAATGGAATACTCTGGCATCGCCATAGGTTGATTGCAACATTAAAAAAGTCAAATGTCAAACATGACATCCGCCATAGGGTGCGGCCAGAGTGCACTCAGATTCAGACTCGGATTCAGATTTCGAAAACAAGCGCGAGAAATAAACAGTGTAGTCTAAGCAGGTTGCTTGATTTTTCTCGCGCTTTGTTTTCTGAGTCTGAATCTGAATCTGAATCAGGAGTGCAATCTGGCCGTACCCTTCGACTACACTATTTATTTCTCGCGCTTGTTTTCAGAATCTGAATCTGACTCTGAATCTGAGTGCACTCTGGCCGCACCCATAGATTGTTTTTTTTTTTTTTTTAATTTATTCATGACCATGGATATCGCCATAGGTTGAAGAAGTAGTATGTTGTCAACTAAGGGTATTTTACCCTATATTTAGGGTAAAAACAAACTGCCAGAGTAACTTTTAAGGTATAATAAAATGTTCAAGAGTACAATAGTGTCGATTCTGATATGATTCTCTAAACTTAAAACTAAATTAAACATCAGTCTCTCCTTTTCATTCTGTATAGAGAATGACAAGGATATACTGTTGTCAAATTTAAGTTTAGTTTTAGAGAATCATGCCAGAATCGACACCAATATATGCTTGTGGTATTTTTGGTGTAAATAAAAAGCTTCAAATAAATGTCATTAATATGGAGAAGAGTCCCTTTGGTTAATATTTTCAAACCGACTTTCAAATTTTTACATGTTTCTCTTAGTAAAACTCATTGTCTTACTGCTATCCAAATTACCTTTTTAGTTTTAAAATTAATGCGATCTGTTTATGAATATCTTCTTATTCTACAGATAGATCCACTCAAAAATGCTTTCGGAATCGGGCAGTAAAGCCATCCCGAAGCAAATTAGAGCTCGAGTGAATGATTTTTGGTCACCCATCTGATGTGTGACCATGGTGAATATTGCTTAACTGCTACAAGCTTAGTCGAACGAGCATCTTTCACGTCAATGGCTCCTCCCTAAAATAGTGTCTACAAAATTTTGTCGCAATTATGGAAGATCGGAAAAAATTGGGTATTTATTAAAATTTTCACGTAACCTAGGGTAAACTGAGACCGTGTGGAGGGTAAAATTAAATTGAAATGTGATAATCTGTCAGATCGGCTAAAGGACTGAGCAAAGGCAGAATAAATAAAAAAAAAGTCTGACAGATAAACAGATTGTTTGTGTTGATTTGGAAGATAGAACCTTGCTCGCAGTTGTTCATAGAGTATACTAGTATATTGCAGTTGTTTATTGCTAATTTGCATCTGGAATTGTTATTACTTCTTCTTGCCTTGCGAAAATATTCAATGGAAACATTTTTACTTAGAGCCAAAAGTAAAAAACGAAAAACTCGCAAATATCTGAACGAAATGAGAAGAAGATCTCGCAAAGATTCAACTTCGTTGAAGTTACTAAAATTCAAAGATATTGGAAAAGAAAACTGTGTTAATAATAAAAAATGTATAACACGAGATCTCTCCAAGATCAACATGTTCACAAAAGCAGTGCGATCTGAAACAATTACCAGGCCTGTTATATCAACAAAAACGCACCCCGACTTAAGCCAAAGTGATGGAGAAAAATCCTACGATTCTCAGAATGAAGCTGAAATTAAGTTTCTTAGCTCATCAACATCATGTCACGATAGTTCTGAACATGTTATTAAAGGAAGTGGCTATTTAAACCCCAACAGTATTGATGACCATTCCTCAGATAGCTTTGTTACTTGTACAAACAGTAACAAAAAACATAACCCTGTTAATGAAGAAGCTACCCATCTTAGAGTATCCTCATTTACTACAGCAAGCAGATCAGAAGAGAACTTTGTGGATTGTTTATATGATGATCTTATGGATGCTATTCCCCTGTACATCAAAACCAATTTCTCAAACCATATAAATGAGGATGTTATCATTGAAAAATCTAAAAAAGCTCTGCAAAACATCTATGCTGTAAATTGTGAACAGGAAATGGAGAATGATATATCTATTATTAAAAACAATGATATAACAATAAAAGTGACTGAAACATTTGTTCAGAATCCCATGGATTTCCTTAGACTTGGATGTATCCAGCAAGAGAGTCACAGTGATCACACAGAGACTTCTGATGAAGATACAACACATACAACTGATTATTCATACTCTCCATTTGCAGAGTCACAAAATCTACACACACTACTATCTCACACACCTGAGTATAATTACTTCCCACATAAATTAAATTAATAAAATTTTAGTTACACCTTACCATATTTGGTGAGTCAAGGTTTAAAAATAAAAATTAGCTAACAGGGACTAAAACTTTATTTTCTATTATAGGTTAATTTCTATGTCTATCTATCTTTTTCATTTCTACAACATAAATAAACATGTTTTGTTATACAGTGCATGCAAAAATATTGCTGCTGCTGTAAGGTAAGGTAAAGGAATGAACATGCCAAATAAATTATACCAAATGTTATTCACAAATATAGCCACTAATAAAATATGTTAAACTTACTCACATACAGTTTAATAAACTAACAATTACCCAATTTTGCCAAAATGAATGCATAGCAATGGCATAACCAAGTATAATCAATCCAATTAAATAGTTATTATTTAAAGATTATATGCAATTTCATCCAATAATATTAATGTGTACAGCAGCAACACAGAAAGACCATTTAAGACAATCTATTGTGTTTTCTTTTCATATAGCAATAAAACAGAATTGAATGAATTTTTCACTTTTCACTGACTGCCCTTACCTACATTTTCAAAAAAAGTGGCAAATGATGTTTTTTAACAACATAAATGAATAGAAATACTTATGTTAAAGTTATGTTTTCCAACTCTGAAATTAATTCCATGTGTTTAAAGTCATCTGGTCTTTTAGTGAATTTTTCCAACATTTCAAGCTTATTTTGATCATTGCCATTATAATAAATTTGAAATTGGTTGGCCAGACATTGTGCCTCCTTTCCATTGAGTACGTTCTGAAAACATTTAACATATATTATTTTTATAAATTATAACAAGTTATTTTTATAATGACTTTGAAAGTCATCAAATCAAAGCAACATTCTCACCTTATCATATTCTCCCTTCATAAGTATGATACCCTTGTCAGCTAATTCAGTGTAGTGTATTACAGTGAGACACTCGGGTGCATTTTCTTTGTGAACCTGTACAATAATTTTATCATATTTGCATTTCTATGAATTAATATAATAGCACATAAAAATTTGGACATACTCCATAGGCTAGCCTATTTACTTTAAATTTAAGCCATTCAAGTTGTATGTATATCACGAAACCATAGATCAATTTATTGATAAAAATTATTACAAACATTTATTACTTTGCTTTAAACTATGATGTTTATTGGAAAGAGATTTTCTGTATCAGATAACAATTTTATAAAAAAATATCTCACCTGATAGGCTAGAAGTGGTGTAAAATGAACAGTATGACCAAAATTTTGGCACATAATAAATTCATATCCTTGCGAACGTGGCAGAGGAAAGAGAAAAGTAGGAAATTTTTTCATATTCATCTGTAACTGTGTATACACCTCTTTGGGAATGGTTGCTGATATCACCTCCTTCCTTTTATAGTATTCCTCCCAAATAGTTTGTATCTCAACAGAATCTTTATCCTTTACTAGATCAATCTTAAATATATCTTCAAGTTTATTTTCTTTTACAGGGGCATTATCCTTCAATGACTCTTTGGGGTTTAATGAAGACGAAAATTGCCTGGTGTCAACTGATGCAAATTTAGTCTTCTTTTCTTTCTCTTTCGTATTTTGCTGTTGTTCAACTCTTTGTAAGAATTTTTCAGGGGAAGTTTTCTGAAGGGCAGCAATTCGAGCTGAATATTTTTCATAATATGGGTTCCCTTGTAGATCTTCTAACACCTTTTCAAAATGCCGGGATGACATCGTTATTCTTCTTATATTAGAGCAATTTATTTGCTGTTTAATTTTATGAAAACTTTTAGTGAACATAACCTTATTTATTTATATAAAATCAAGAAAAGACAAAAAGAAAAGGATTTTCTTTATTTCTTTACCCATTTTTTAGAAGGCAAAGGGTACTGTGACCATACAGCGAATTCTTAAGAATTCTGTTTAAAGAAAAACCACTCCGTGCTGCGTTCAAAACCGCTCTTCTTTGACATAAGCAAGTAATCTATGACATAAGTTTCATACATTTTATGTCACAATAGAAACGTCAGGATTAAAATTTGCACAAACAACGTAGGAAGGGGTGCAACGATATATCGACGTTAAAATATATCGGTATCGAAAAAAAACTCAATATCGGAAAAACCGTTCAAATTAATCAGGTATGCTGTTGTTCACGTGTCGTGTCGTGTCTTCGCTTTAACCTCTCTCTCTGTGTTTAGTCCATAATAAATGTATGAAACCGGTGCGCCACGACACATTAATATGCACAGCGCTTTTTGGACTCTAAGGGTACGGCCAGAGTGCACTCAGACTCAGAAAACAAGCGCGAGAAATAAAATAGTGTACTTAAAGCAGGGTGGCCATAGTGGCAGCAGGCAACCTGCTTAGACTACACTGTTTATTTCTCGCGCTTGTTTTCTGAGTCTGAATCTGAGTGCACTCTGGCCGTACTCTAATCTATTGTTGTAATCTGTGAGTGTGTGTCTTAGAGCATTTATACCTATATAATATAAAGGTATAAATGCTCTAAGGCCGTATACAGAAAGAAAGCCGAAAGCCGATCGGCGCTTATCGGCGCCGATCCTTCCTACATAAAGGAAGCCTATTAAAGCAGATCAAGCAAAATGTCGGACTCATCGGACGATGATTTGGTTTTGTTAGAAAATGTTTATTTAAAAATGCGAAAAACAGCTATACATCCTATAAATAGAGAAAGGAAACGTTTCGGAGAATACCATCACTTATTTGTAAAAAAAAATAAATTTGATGAACAAAGATTTTATACATATACAAGAATGATTCAAGAAACATTTTATTAAATTTTGGATTTAGTGAAAAACCGTTTGATGAAAAATTGGGGCAATTGGCATAAACAACCAATCCTTCCAGAAGAAAGACTTGTTGTCACCATTCGGTAAGTACGAAACAAATAATTTTAGCGCTTAGTTAATAAAAGATAAAGTTATTAGATTTATAAAAAGATTATAACTTAGATTGATTTAATCTAAGGATAATAATTCAAATACAAATTATTTATTATTCGGACCAGCGCGTGTCGGCGTTTATCGGCGCCGATCGGCGCCGGTCCATAGAAAAAGGATCAGCGCCAATAGGCGCCGATAAGCGCCGATCGGCTTTCGGCTTTCTTTCTGTATACGGCCTAAGGGTGCGGCCAGAGTGCACTCAGATTCAGATTCAGATTTCGAAAACAAGCGCGAGAAATAAACAGTGTAGTCGAAGGGTGCGGCCAGAGTGCACTCAGATTCAGATTCAGATTCTGAAAACAAGCGCGAGAAATAAACAGTGTAGTCTAAGCAGGTTGCCTGCTTTTTCTCGTTTTTTCTTTTCTGAGTCTGAATCTGAATCTGAATCAGGAGTGCACTCTGGCCGTACCCTTCGACTACACTGTTTATTTCTCGCGCTGGTTTTCAGAATCTGAATCTGAATCTGAGTGCACTCTGGCCGCACCCGAAGGGTACGGCCAGATTGCACTCCTGATTCAGATTCAGATTCAGACTCAGAAAACAAAGCGCGAGAAAAAGCAGGCAACCTGCTTAGACTACACTGTTTATTTCTCGCGCTTGTTTTCAGAATCTGAATCTGAGTGCACTCTGGCCGCACCCTAAGGTTTGTGACTATCGATGTGACCAAAGAGAAAAGGCGCAGATCGCCCTTAAGCGCGTATTCCACCTGACTAAATTAAGACGTTATAAACCATTCAGTAACTAATTCAGTCAAGTGAAAAAGCATTTAGGAAGTTATAATCCTAATTAGCATTCTAAATCTGAAGAAGTGTGGCTTCTGACTGACTAAATCATTTAGTATAATAATTAGAAAGCGATTTAGGAACGTATGATAGGATCTACATGGTTTAATTAACAAACCGCAGGCGTTACTGCGTGAGGACTTTATTGTCTAAGATTATGAATTACGCGAGTGCGCGATGTCATGTCGGCGGCAAAAGAAAAAATGGGTGCGTGTACTTATGTAGGCGCGTGAGAAGTTATCCTTCTTTGGCATCGTTTAAAATTAGTTTTTAATTGCATGCAAATAATTAATTACAATAAATTAATAAAAAGACTGGAAAAGGACACAGTCAATAAAGTTCAGTTTTAATTTGAAAAAATAAATAAATAATCAAAATATTCAATTAAAATCGCTACTGAATATAATTTATTAGAACATATGTGATTTGCACTTGTATGTAACTCAAACACGTATTCCGAATATACAAACTAGAAACATGTGTATAAATATTATAAATATGAATACCTATAACTGTTACTTTATTACAAAAAATCACAGACATATAATACTATAGCAGACGGAATATCAAGTTTTAAACAGCGTGGCAAATACACACACATTGAAACTCACCAAAGCATGGGCCGCATTTAGTATAGTAGAATAATGGATTTCATTATTGTTTCATGAAATACCTATCCGAATAGATAGGTCCTAATGTAATGTCCATGCTAATAATATTATAAATGTAAAAATCTTGCTGTTTAATATCTTCATGGCGAATTTAGCCATGCGAAATCGCTGAACCGATAATGATGAAATTGAGCACAGAGATAGAATTAACCCAGGGAAAGGACATAGGTACAATTAGGAAAATTGAAATAAAAATTTAAGCCATAGTTTTTATCTATTTATTTTAAATAATACAAGTTTTTTTAGAAAATTTCTCTGTGATACATTTGTTTCTTTACATTGATGTTTACATCTAAGATCAAAATAAAATTTGACAACAACTTTAATAAGCAAGTGGACATGGTTTATGTCATGATCTGGATTATTCAAGTCAAATATTGAATCGATCATCATCAAATCGACATAATCACATATGAATTTAATCAAACTATTAAAATCACTACTTTAGTTTATTTTAAAACAAAAAACACTTATAACACAATAAGTATTTGGTTGTCAATCCTGACGTTTCATATATTTTAACCATGCATTCCGAGTACTTTCATCTTTTGGAAACCTAGAACAAAATTGTTTATGTGGTTATTTGGGTTATATACCTACCAATGCCAATGTTCCAAGAAATATGAATAGCTAGTCTGTAATAGGTACCTATCTTTTTACGATCTTCTTGATTGCATTCACATTAAAAATACAATGCAATGCAAACAAAATTAATGCCGAGAAACTTTTTGTCTTTGATACCGAGTCCGTCCTCTGTTATGGCAACAGTACTTCAGTTGTCAGAATTGGAATTTCCTATCATGATATATCCTGATTACTTCTTTTCTTTACTTTTAGGATATTAGTTTTCACCGGAAGTATCTTAGATAAATAATCCTACGTAAAAAATGTTACATGTTACGATAATATTTAAATAAACTTCGAAAAGATTTAAAGACATATCAGTACACAACAAAGACACATAAAAACTTACTGATGAAACGTTAATCTTGGTGTTCTATTGTAGGTAGCACTTTCACATCGATACGCACTGTACTAGACCATAGTAATTGAATAATCTCGTTTTGTAATATAGTTTCATCAGAGCAATATTCTTAATAAACACCGAAAAGTCGCATGTCCGATAAGTCATGAATAAAATGGCGGCGAGGAATAAAAATGACACGCGTTGACATTTATTGATGTGTGAGTCAGTATTGCAATAGATGGAAGAATGAGATGCCACTATCGAGTTGTAGCTGAGTACAAAAAGGATAAAAGATCATGTTTTGATTCATAAATATAACTAGGTTTTATATTCCGTCTGCTATAGTATTATATGTCTGTGACGTTAACTGATATCTCTATTACTAGTATATAATGTACTCTATGGTCGTTAGCACCCACTTAATAGAGATTCTATTTTGTTGGTAGATTTTCTTAATGTGCGGTAAACACAAAAGTAACAGCAATGAAGTTGGTCGCTAAAGCGACCAACTTCATGCTGTTAATTTTTTGTGTTACAGTGATGCGCGCGCATCTTAAAATTTCACTCTCATCATTTTTTCATAACGCGCCTAAAGAAGTATAACTTCAAAAACAAGTTGTCAGTAACATAATCGAATTTTATAAAGATATGCCATATCTTTGGAACAAAAACGATAAAAATAACATTAATATTCTTTCACCCACGTTTTTCGTTTTATACTTTCTTTTATTTTTGTTGAACCAACGGCCAGGCCTACGAATAGACCGATTTATTGTTGCTTTGACAGGACTGGAGCCATTACGAAAAAGTCCGACTGAATTCGCCGCGCGCTTGCACATGACTGAATTAGTAACTAAATTAGTCAAGTGTAATCAGATGCTTCTAATTAGCTTTCTTTTTAGGATCCTAACTAGGACGTCTGAATTTAATCAGGTGGAATATGTGCTTTACTCCCTAACCCACATTACACCACCCTTAGTATTATCAAAGATTTGAATCGTTAGATATGCCCTGACACCGAAAAACTGTGGCTATTTTGCAATGACCTTATGAGGCCGTTTTGACACATTACAATAGTGAAGTGAACGTCAATTTGTTATTGAAAAAATAAACTAATGCTATTCAATGCGAGACTGATCAATTTTTGAATACCAATATTGCTAACAGTAGCTGATAAAAAGGATTGAATGAAATGAAAAAGATAAATGTTATAATTTTACTTTAATTATTATACATTTTGAATTAGGAAAAATACAAGTGCCTAGTTATCTTGTGAATGGAACTAATAAGTACTGCGTACAACTTATTAGTTCCATGATTATAACTAACTGATCCGGCGAAAGGACTTTTGGGCAGTACAAAGTTCGCCGTGTCTGTTAGTTATATATAAAGAAAAGATAGAAAGAAATATTATAATTAAATGTTTTAAACGTTATTTTTTTACCGGTAGCCCCAAATATAATTATGAATATTATATTATATCATAATATGTAATAGGTAATCTAATATAGTATCGTCAAATTTTAATTCGAAAATTATTATTATAAATTTTAGTGCTCGTCACTAAAATGAGAATGAACAACAGAAATAGTTCTTCATGTTTTATTAAACTTCATGGGCGGTCAAACATCAGAAGCATAGCGCGGTCCCAAGAGAATAGTGTTGTCTCTTTTTGTCTTGCAATAATTTGCAACACTACTTTCCCTGCACTGACCGATCAGATTTTAATATTTACTACAACGAGAGAAAATAATTTTATCTGTATTTTTATTATTGTATAGCTTTATCTGTATTTCTAGTATTGTTAGTGCATAGTCGAAAGGCACGCGACGGCATTTTGAGACACTTTTCTCGCAAAAAATGCCTGTGGTATTTTAATCACCAACGTCAAACTGTCACTATGTTCAGATAAACACTGATTAGACAAAACACAGATCACTATATAAGTAGCAAACTAAGACAAGACATGATATGGGAGTTTACTCGTTCGAGTTCAGACAGATTTCGGTGCGGTCAAACTATGGTAAGGGCATATCTAATGATTTAAATCTTTGCGTAATATATAGATAAAGATAAATATTAAATATATAGTATGTGTCTGTCCACACGTCTTAAAACGCATTAGTAGTACTGGAGTTCCGAATGAGAGTCTTAGACGTGTGCTTCCAATTACTTTTTGCTCGTTAGTTACTCTCGTTTGCCAAAATGGCTAATATTATGGGCACTAACGAAACATTTAAATTCCTTGAGTAGTATTCAAGCAGAAAACTAACTGTGAAATTCCAAGTTACCATAATAACGCAGCCCATGGTGCGTTCCAAACCTACATACGATAGCTTCATCACAGACTAATAAGAGAACAAGTGCTACATTTAATCTCAGTAATGACAGTAATCTGTGGTTCGAGCTTAGTCTGTGAATTGATTGAAATTGAATGTATCCTGCTGGGAATTAAATTCAAAAAAGCAAGCAAATAAATAAAATAATTGAACATTTTGTGTTATTTCTGAATTTTGAATAGAAATTATTGTAATTAATAAAAATGTATGAGTGAATACAATTGAAATTCTTCCTTCGTTGTGATTTATATTTACTAAATGCGTCAGGTAAGTTTTATTTTATAGAAGTAATTGGAATAAATAAAATTAAAATATTAGTTTTAAATAAATATAATTTTAAACAAGCTTTCGTATGGACCAAATTTTTTCGGTACTAAAAAAGCAAACGGTATTTACAATTTTAATCTCGTTTTATCTCTGACCTTTAAATTTATTGCTCTGAAACTGGGTCAACCAAAAAAAAAAATTATTTTAAAAATTATTTGCCTCTTTATGGGTTCATTATATGAATTATTTCAATCTCGTTCTATTTATCAGATACAGGGCACAGAAATGTGTTTACTGTATGATATAAGCAGCCTTACTAAGTATTTCATGTAAGCATTTATTATTTGCATATTAGTATATTGCTTAAAAACCGTAGAAGGCGCCTAGAATAATGCAAAAAAATAAATTTACTAGTTGTTGTTACATGTTCAAGTAGTTTGTAATAAAATAAATAGATTTGCATATCAACAGTGGAAAGGCAAAATCACTTTTAGTAACTTTACAGAAACAAGGATCAAAGTTGTTCATTTTCACATAAAATTATAACCTTGTAAATGAAATACTAGGGCATAAGCACCATTGGTTCAAAACACCAAAATGGTTCATGGCTTCAGGGTTGTGAACAATAAAAATCTCAAATAATTTATTTGCTTAAGCCAAAAAAGTACTCAAATCTTTGCAAAACATAAACAGATCAACACAGAAAAAAACTGATTAAAATGATATATTAACTCATTTTCAATCAAAGTGCTGTTTAAGCGAATTTGCCTTTCCAATGTTGCTCACTTTTGAACATTTTTTTTATTTTAAAAGGGTGACAAACAAGCGTATGGTTGTACACCTGATGGTAAGCAGCCACCATAGTCTATATACCTTGCGTAAGCAAAAATATTGCTCACATTGTTGCCTACCCAAATTTTTTGTATCTAGAAAATTCATGACTGTAACTGTTACACACTGGGAAACTTTGATTGTACAGGGTCTGTGGGCTCCTCCCCTTTTTCTTTATGTCTGGGAAATGACCTTATGCATTCCTCAGTCACTGGGAGAGCAAGAAAAAGCTATCTGGGACTCCTCCCTGCTCATTTCTTCCAGCCCTGGGGCTCAATGAAATGAACAGGACCCCTGGATTGAGCCGGTCTCCCGTTCCCCTCATCGTAGAGAAGGGAGCAGAGCCGCAGGCGACGAGGGCCACCAAGGAGGTACCTGAGCTAACTAGGTCACTCAAACATCTTCCAGTCCTGGGGGCTCCGGCTCCGGCCCCAAAGATTCCGCGACTTGTTTCTCCAAGGCCTTGCCCGTGGAAGCAGGAGGGTCGCACTGCCTGCCTCCCGTAACGAGGCCCGACGGACAGCCACTCGCCTCTCATACCGCGCAGCGGGGCCAGCGGTGCATTGCGCCACCTTGTAAAAGCACAATTGGCTTCTATCCGTCTCCGACGTACACCTTAAATAGACGTATCCCCTGCCCATACACTTATAGCAGCGCATAGGAAGGGGACCCAGCGCAAGCACCTTAGCAAGGCACCATGCCACCTCTAATTAGGAAATCTGGGCCAACTTCTTAGCGGCACCCACTGGGCACTGCACTTTAGTGGCATATTGGCCGGGCCGAGGCGTATGTCTCTGACCATCACGGTATTTTGAGGGCAGTTCCTCAACGGGACACAGACAGGACGCCACAGCGGCGACATCGTCCTTAGACACCGTTTCGTCCAAGCTCAGGATACGTATATCCGCCAACTTTCCGGTCTTGTGGTCCTGACCAGGTGATCTGGAATGTTGCTCCTAATAGCGTCCGCCAGGCTGTCCGTTTTTTTCTGGCACTTAAGCCCAGGTACCACTCATATTGTGGCTCCCGCCTGTCCCTCCGATCCCGAAGTCCTACAGCTTAATAACCTGCTTAGACCTCGAAATCACTCCAGTATAAGTGAGGACACACTCCAGAGACTCCGGTACCAATTTGACTCCGACCGCCGTGTTGGAGGCCTTTAGGTCCCCGTGGCTGGCGGAGCTCTGTCTTTTTCTTAGGCTTTTCCTTTGCAATCGGCACCCCCAATAGTGTAAGTCGGTACAGGCGCCCTTGAACCCCTTTTCCTTTTCTTCTTTTTGACCACTGTACTCCCCATATGCGAATTGCCAGTGATCCCGCCACCAGTTCTTAAAGAAACCCCATCGTCTCTACGTCCCACAGGGCTCTCCCTTCTCCTTTCTTGGTCCGCCGCAGGTTGCGGCCGGACACGCTCTCCAGCAGTGAATATTCGCTCCTGTTCTTCTAGCCGAAGATTGACCATCTTGGTTATAGCCTCGATAATTGAGCCTTTTAAATCATCCGCAGGCTCCGACGTCATCGTCGCGGCGTCTGCACTTGCGGACAAGGACCGCCTCTTCTCAGGTCTTAGCAACTTGGCCACTGATTCCCGTAAGGAGCCCTCTCCTTGTTGTTGTTGTGTGTTTCAACCTCTCCACTTGTGTCCTAAACTCCTCACATTCTTCATGGTATCTCTCCAATTCTTTGATGGCTACTTTATTCGCTTCCAAAACCTTAGTAGTAAGTCATTTCTACATCACTCTGATTAAGTCACTCTTCTTCTCCAACTTAGCTTAGTTGCCTCCCTGTAAGCCTCATATATATCGGACGGCAAAGTGCGCCTCTCCACACTCCTTTCCAGCATCTCCCTATCACTGGCCTCCTCCATCGGGGGGAGATTCTTCCTCGATTTCACTGACTTTCTTTTCCCAAGACGGGCTGTGTGGACCTTCGGGGGCGTAGGAGTAATACCAGGCCTAGGCCTGGCCACCATTCAAGCGTAACACGCGCAACTCTTCAAGTGCCTCGGTAGCTAACTTCACACTACGGGTGAATTTTCAATTACCGGGTGGTAATACCGCAGCGCCGGTGGCCAGTCGGATCGCTTAGGCCGCTAGTAGCTAACTTCACACTCCGGGGCCCAGCTACCCCAGAGCGCCCGGTGTCAATGTGGGCGCATGACGACACCGTACCACTTTTAATAGATATTTCATTCAAGTTTTCTCTCTTCTGGGCGAGGAAACCCTATCTGGCCTTCATCGGGTGATTTCGACAAAGGTTTACTTCTCGCGGCCACCACCCCGAAGGGTGACGGACCCCGGCCCCTGACCATGTGCGGCGTTACGGGTTAGCCGGAGGTGGCACGGAGTTCGTGCCACAACTGCTCTCACCACAACAGGCATCATCACCCCTTCAACAAGGCCTCGGCTGCCGCTACCCGGGATGCCCAGGACGCCAGCCGAGATTCAACAGGCTGATTTTTTAAAGAGGTTTTCTTCCTGGCAGCTCTAGCTTCAAAAGAAGGCTGCGGTCATCGGACCCGCACTGCGCACGGGGTTACGAGCTCCTCCGGGTTACGAATTGCCCTCCGACATCGGGGCCACTCTATGCCCCCTACCAAGAGTGATCTTATAAAGAGGTTTTCTTCGTCGCGGCCTTCACCCTACGAGGAGGATGGCGACCCTCGGCCCCTCACTACGTACAGAGTTCTTTTTGACGCTCTCCCCTTACCGACAGCACAGGAGTCAACATTTTTTATCCCCGGGCCCCCGCGTGAACAATGATATAGAGAAGGTAAAGGCTTAGGCTACCTTTTGACACAAAATGAGTTCATGACCCCGTCAAGTTTCCAATATGTTGCGGCTGGGAGAGCTGGGGTGGTGGAGGTCCCTGGTCTGCAGGTAGAACACAGGTTCTAAATAATAAGGATTACAAAACCGCGGCCAGCGTCTTACACACGTACTTACTGGTTTCGTACGATTTAATATGTATTTCAAGATTTTAGATTAAGAAAGATAAGATAGTATTAAGGTTAGGTATTCGACATATTTGTAAATAAATAATACATTAGTAAGTTATATTTCTAGCATGAATAACGTACGACGGACGTTACAATGTTTAATTAGTTGTCGGTGGAGCGATGAAGCGACCGGCGGGTGGGTGGAGCGGAGCGCGGGTGCGGTGACGCGAGGGCAGATGGCGGAGGGCGAGGCGAGCGGGGCCGGGGGTAGCGGCGGTAGTGGGGGCTGCAGCGGGGGCGGGGGCGGGGGCGGGGGCGGGGGTAGCGGCGGAGGGGGAGGGGGAGGGGGCGGGGGCGGGCACGGCCTGCCCGACGCCGTGCTGCTGGCGCCGCTCACCGAGGACACCTTCCTGCACAACCTGCACGTGCGGTACAAACGGGATCTCATTTACGTCAGTACACACCATTTATATTAATCCTAACTGATATTATTAAAGGCCTATTAGACTACCCAATTTTGAGGGACCCTTACCCTGACTTAGGTGGTGTAATAAAGGTGAGGTAAATCCAATCTAGGGCAATCGGCGCGATCGGATCTCCCTTATGCCCTAACAATCGGGTAGTGAAATAGCTGTTAGGCAGTAAGGGAGTTCAGTCGACGTACAGTGGGCGGAAACGATCAAAACTACGCGCGAGGCAGTAAATGTAATCCATTTTTTTAAAATATTCTTAATTATGTCTGCTCTCTTGTAGCACTGCGGAAATTCACTTTTTAGTCGCAGAAACCACCCCTATCAACCCCAGCAAGTTATAATTGCCACAATCAGATCGGAGTTATAATCGAAGAAAAACAATAAAATAAGCTGAAACACAGCTAAGTAAGCTTAAACAACAATAGACGAATAACTAATACAAAGTGCAAAAGCATTATGACAAGGATCAAAATTCAAATTGACGGTTACTTATTTTCAAAATTTAAAATTTACTACTTTCTAATAGGACGCTAATTGAAGGAATACTTGTTCTACACTTACCAATACGTGGGTTTATGCACTGAGTGTAACGATTGACGAGATTTAAACCATTATTATGGTGATTTAAAATTTAAAAAAATAAACCCTGCGCGATGTTCGCAAGGTCGTTGGGAACACAGAACGAGCGCGGTCTACACAAACATCAATTTCGGAGTGTGAGACGGTGCAGGTCGAGGGGAGGGGGGGGGAGGGGAAGCCAACCTTAATTTTTTTTTGTTTTTATTTTTTTAACCTAAATTTTCACCCTTCTACCACCAACCTTTTTTTTATGTCGGTACGAAGTTCGCAGGGACAGCTACTTTCCTTATAAATATGTAGTTTATCGAACTCGTTTTACCCAGAATCTGGTGGTTCAGCCTGCTTAGGGGTTGATAGTGGTGGTTTCTGCCCCTAAAAAGAGAGTTTCCACAGTGCTACAAGAAAGCAGACATAATTACGAGTATTTAAAAAAAAATGGATTTTTCATTTGGATTAGATTTACTGCCTCGCGCGTAGTTTTGTTCGTTTCCGCCCTCCCACTATGCGACGCCCTGAGTGCGTATAGTAAGGACGTTTTTGCAGTTGAATTAGTTTATTGGTCTCATCTAATGAAGAGAAAGAATTGTTACTGAATTTAAATTGAGATCTATAATTTTTGTTGCAAAAAGAAATTAAAAACTTTATAGCTATTAATAATAACTAGCAAACCAGTGAACCAAATGTTCACCAAAAAAAAATGTATTTAATTAAATGAGAACTTCGGAGATTTTGTGTGGTTTCGTTTGAAATAGAAATCACGTGATTTCTCGAAAACCGGAAGTGCTACGTTACTGACATCCGGTTTGTAGTCTTATCAGACTATTCTCAACTTATAACTTAAACATTCTCTTTATCTATCTCTTACGGTTTGGCCGCTGAAACAGCACCACGGACGGACGGACGGACGGACTTGTCTAATAGATAAGAGATAATATAATTTATTGGCAAACAACACAGATCCATATGTTAGTATACAATATAACTTATATTAACGGGATTGTTACCGTGTACCTTGTTTTTTATGAGTCTCCGATATTTCGGCACTGTTGCAAGCGCCATGATCACGGAGTAACTGAAGTAAAATTGCGCGTATATGTTATTGGCAGACATATCGGTCTACCCTCTGACGTCGTCTTTTTTTGCGCTCGATACCTCTACCACTGGTCACATTCTCACTATTCACCCGCACCTGTTCCCGACACACAATACTCACAGCATCAGATCGCGGAACGACACTATTCTGGTTCTTGCGGTTTTTGCACATACAAACCACTGGATTCCAGATACTTGAAAATTTAAACCCATCCTCACGATTGGAATTTTTGTGTTTGGTTATTTCAATCGCTTCCCTGACCAATCTTGGTATGTAGTGGCGTTATAGTATTTATTTATTTTTATTTTGTTGATTTGATGAATTTTTTGATGATTGATATTGAATGATAATTTATATATTTTTCTTTAAATAAAGAGACAAGTGCCGAAGGATTTAGAAAAATTTATAAAAAATTGATCACAATGCATCGGGTGCTATAACAACGTTCAACCGGGACGACTTTCACTTTTAGACTGAGTTAAGGTCCGATTGATAGGGCGGTGTAATAATTGCTACACCAACTGGGGGACACGCCCTACCTTTCGATTAGGTTTTGGGTAGTGTAATAGCCGTTTGAAAGTGAAAGCCAGTTTAAATCGTGTGTGTATGGTAGTGATGTAATGTGCGGTGTTGCTGTTGTGTGCAGACGTACGTGGGTAACGCGCTGGTGTCGGTCAACCCGTGCCGGCCGCTGCCGCTGTACTCGGCCGAGTTAGTGCGCGCCTACCTGGCGCGCGCGCCGCACCTGCTGCCGCCGCACCTGTACGCCGTCACCGCCGCCGCCTACCGCTGGGTGCGCGACCGCCAGGTATGTGCCGCTCTACATATAGTACCGCTGGTGTCGGTCAACCCGTGCCGGCCGCTGCCGCTGTACTCGGCCGAGTTAGTGCGCGCCTACCTGGCGCGCGCGCCGCACCTGCTGCCGCCGCACCTGTACGCCGTCACCGCCGCCGCCTACCGCTGGGTGCGCGACCGCCAGGTATGTGCCGCTCTACATATAGTACCGCTGGTGTCGGTCAACCCGTGCCGGCCGCTGCCGCTGTACTCGGCCGAGTTAGTGCGCGCCTACCTGGCGCGCGCGCCGCACCTGCTGCCGCCGCACCTGTACGCCGTCACCGCCGCCGCCTACCGCTGGGTGCGCGACCGCCAGGTATGTGCCGCTCTACATATAGTACCGCTGGTGTCGGTCAACCCGTGCCGGCCGCTGCCGCTGTACTCGGCCGAGTTAGTGCGCGCCTACCTGGCGCGCGCGCCGCACCTGCTGCCGCCGCACCTGTACGCCGTCACCGCCGCCGCCTACCGCTGGGTGCGCGACCGCCAGGTATGTGCCGCTCTACATATAGTACCGCTGGTGTCGGTCAACCCGTGCCGGCCGCTGCCGCTGTACTCGGCCGAGTTAGTGCGCGCCTACCTGGCGCGCGCGCCGCACCTGCTGCCGCCGCACCTGTACGCCGTCACCGCCGCCGCCTACCGCTGGGTGCGCGACCGCCAGGTATGTGCCGCTCTACATATAGTACCGCTGGTGTCGGTCAACCCGTGCCGGCCGCTGCCGCTGTACTCGGCCGAGTTAGTGCGCGCCTACCTGGCGCGCGCGCCGCACCTGCTGCCGCCGCACCTGTACGCCGTCACCGCCGCCGCCTACCGCTGGGTGCGCGACCGCCAGGTATGTGCCGCTCTACATATAGTACCGCTGGTGTCGGTCAACCCGTGCCGGCCGCTGCCGCTGCACTCGGCCGAGTCAGTGCGCGCTGCGCCTGTACATAATTTCTACTTCGAATCGTTTTATCATATAAGTTACTTTTGATGGAATTATAGGTTTTTAAGTACCGAATTAACTCGTACAATGGTTTTATGTAACCGTTTGTTTCCTTACAAATAAATAAATAAAAAACTCGCACGCATTTGATGCCTCGTTACTAAAATATTTCCAACGTACAATTAAAACATCTCTTATTTACATTCGATTCGGAAACTGTTTGTTTTTAGTTTGTATTTTGAAGTCCGGTGCATGCGCAGGAGAGCCAGTGCATCGTGATCACGGGCGAGAGCGGCGCGGGCAAGACGGAGGCGGCGCGCGTGTGCCTGCAGTGCGCCGTGGTGGCGGGCGGGAACGACGCGGCGGCCACGCTGCCCGCTGCCGGCACGCTGCTCGAGGCGTTCGGCAACGCGGCCACCGCGCGCAACCACAACGCCAGCAGATTCGTGAGCACATACCTACCTATCATATTAATACTCGTTTCCTCTCTTGTGATCGTCGTTCAAAGAAATAAAGGTCTGTGCTTCGATACTAAAATCATTAAAAGGTCCTAAAATTATTTAATTTTAACCGAATCGTGTTGATTCTCGTTAATAATAAATAAAGAGTGATCTTGGTAATATTCTCAAGGTTTTCGTTTTGACGACTAAGTAAAGCTTCCACATTAACGTAAGTATATAAAATTGGCAGAAGTGAAAATTAGGAACAATTTTACTTCGAAGATGGTGAAATGGCCGCTGTTACCGTAACACTGATGGTTCTGATACTTCTGATGCTGGGTTGTTGCTGGTGGTAAAGTGAAAGCCTTCCGGCCTGCGCTGGATGCTGTGTTGTGCAAGCCTCTTGGTCTGCGCTGAATGCTGGAAATTTGCAAGCCTCCTGGCCCACAAACTAGCTTCATGGTGCTAGTCGAGAACTTAATCTCGAGCGAAATGAATTGCTGCACGAAGGTGTACACGTATACAAACAGACACACACGCACTCAGTTCGTGAACTTCGGAAAACTCAGCGAAAACACGAATCTTAAAACTTCCAGTTGTGTTATAATGTATGAAGATCCATAAAATATTAGGTGTTACCCTTACACTTAAATGCTATGCTAAAGGTACAACAGTATGCTAAGTTACCAAACTTGAATTAACAAATGAGCAAACATTTTAGCAAACGATATTTAACCGACAGAAACGAATGTTTAGTGTCCCAAAAAGGAGGTGGAACTAACTAAATAATTAAACACCTGTTCCAATTTTAAATAGCGAGAGAGCGTTTATTGCTTTTACATAACATACTTATATTTCAAACAAAACCAAATGGTAACGTGATTCAGTGAACCGATCCTGCCATCTATCGTACAAAAAGTAAAGTAATTCTAAACATACCGCCCACCATGGACAGCATGTCCATTATAAATGAAATTTAATTAACAAACATAAACCAAAAGTTCATCTTTTACAGTAAGTAAACTAAAAAATACAAATTCATGAAAAATACATAAGTAAAACACGCAATAGCAGCAATATAACCTTGTCTTACATCAAAATTAAATAGTTTACATAGATTATAAATATTTACAAAATTAAATTATAATGCATTTAAGTATTCAACATAACTCACACTCACTCTCATGATCACTCATCATCAATATCATTTATAATAACAAGACTTTATTACAGTAGTAAGTACAATCGAAAATATACAAGAATAATACTACCTATATAAGTCTTTGAAAGTACTGAATAGTGAGAACTTAATAAAGTAAAATATGAATATTGTTTTACTTTAGCATCTTTCATTGGTCAACTGGTAAAATGCACAATTTTGAAACAGGCCGTTTAATAATAGAACCCTTACATCTAAGGCTGACGACACGCGTAATTTGATCCGAACCAGGATGTTTTTCTGTGATGATACCGTAAAGCCATCTAGCTGGAGGAAGATCGTCTTCTTTAACTAAAACAATGTCGCCGATCTGTGGCTCTGGAATCTGCTTAGACCATTTGTGCCTTTGAAAAAATTGTGCCAAATACTCTTTCGACCATCTTCGCCAGAAATGTTGTACCATTTTCTGTGCGTATTGCCATCTTCTAAGGTTATTAAGATTTGACAATTCATAATTTGCGTCGGGAACGAGTACTAGTGGGCCACCAACTAGAAAATGACCTGAATTATAGATGGCGCAATCCACCCCAGCGGATCGAACAACCGTGAGATATTAGAAATGACTTTCCTTTTTGTAATGGGTGTGTCTAGTTCTGGCAACTGTACTGTATACTCGAACTCATCTGTAGTACTATTCCACGTCAAACCTAAAACTTTCTTCACTTCATTTTCTTCCTTTCCTGTTCCTATTTCTAACCTATTACTATTTTTATTTACTAAGCCTTGTGCTTCTTGTAAAAACTCTTTACTACTCGAACCCCATTTCTGTAATTTAAAACCACCTTTTTCCATCAATTCATTAATTTGTTTATATATTTTCAGTCCCTCTTCTTTCGTCTGGCAGCCCGTCATCAAATCGTCGATGTAATAGTCTTTTAACACTATTTCAGCAGCTTCCGGATACGCTTCACCCTCATCGTAAGCCAGTTGATGTAGAGTCCTGACTGCAAGATAAGGAGCACTAGCTGTACCAAAGGTAAGTCGCTGTAGTCTGTAGTGCTGTATGTGATGTCCATCACACCACAATATTCGTTGAAAATCTGCATCTTCTTTTGTCACCTTGACTTGGCGATACATTTTAACTAAGTCTGCATTAAGAGCAATAGGATGACGTCGCCAGCGCATGATAATATGCCTCAGATCCAGCTGTAAAGTGGGACCTACCAACAAATCATTATTAAGGGATACGCCGTTGAGACCAGGAGAGGAAGCATTGAATACAACTCGAACTTGAGATGTAGTTCTATCTTTTCGCACAACAGCATGATGAGGTAAGTATACTGCTCCATGTAATGGTTTTTCTTTTTCAGGAACTACTTCCATGTGACCCAGCGTGAGATACTCGGTGATAACTTGTGAGTATTGTTCTTTTAGTTCAAGATTTTTTGCTAACCTTTTTTCCAGGTACTGGAGTTTCCTCGCTGCAACAACCTGTGAGTTGCCATACTTACATAAAGGATCAGAGGAGCGGAATGGAAGCTTAACTATATACCGACCAGAGTCATCTCTAGTAGTAGTTTCCGCAAAAATCCTTTCGCATTCTTGCTCTTCTTGAGTAAGAATCTTTTTACCAACCATTGGAGGCTCCGATTCCAATTCCCAAAACTTTTTAAGTAAATCATCGTTATCAGCGATAGAATACATGGCGATGACCTTGTCTTCGCTTGACGACTGGAGGCTGCCCACAGGTTTTGTAGAAACCTGGCCAGATAGGATCCATCCAAGCTTTGTATTTTGTGCTACAGGTGTGCCTGGAGGACCCTTGATTAAGCCTTCAACTAAAATCTGGCTGAATATATCAGCTCCCAGAAGCAAGTCAATTTTATTGGGAATGTGAAACTCAGGATCTGCTAATTGTACCCCTATTAATTGTGGATACATGTCAAAATTAACTCCTTAGTTGGTAATATTGATGTTAATTTGTTCAATACATGAGCCCTGACGACTACAACATAATTGAGATCATGTATTGATTGAAGTTTGAAGCAAACTGATGACTTCGACACTACAGAGTCGCTGTTATCCCCAACACCCGAAATAACGGTTTTCGCTGGTAACTTTTGAAGACCAAGCGATTGCACAGCGGCCTCTGTAATAAACGAGGCTTGAGATCCTTGATCAATCAAGGATCTGAGAGTACAGTGATTTCCTGACTTTGACTGTACTTTAACTAAGGCAGTAGCCAAGAGTACTTGGCTGTGAGCATTTGAGTAACATGCTACTACCTGATCAACATCCTCGGTAACATCAGTGCTACCTGACGAGGAAGTAGTGGCTACGACTATGGCTCTCTTGTCAACGGATGAATCATCGACATTGTTTTCCGTTGATTTTGGAACATTGAGGTGCAATAATGAATGGTGTTTCTTCTTACATACGCGGCATCTAGAGGCTTGACGGCACACAAACACAGAGTGATTCGGACCCATACAATTGAAGCACAAGTTATTGGTCTGAATAAAATTACGACGTGCTTCAACACTTTCATTAGCAAACCTTTTGCAGTTGCCTATTTTGTGACTTTCTGAACAAAATACACAAGAAATTGCTGTGGCATGGTGAACTTTAGTATTCATAGCATTACTTGTATGACGAACGACATTTGGCTTTGGAGTTTTCGGTAAAAATTCTAAGGAACGAAATCTATTCTCTAAAAATTCTTTGAATTGATGCATTGATGGGAGATCATCAAATGAGCTTATTTGATTTTCCCATAGTTTGCGAGACTCTGTATCTAGTTTTGAACTAATAATAAAAATTACAATTGCATCCCATGAATTAGTACCAAGACCTAAATTTTTTAACCCGTTTAAACAGTCAACAGTTGTATCTAATAAGGACTTGATAGCTCCTGAGGATTCTACTGTAATGCTAGATTGACCAATGAGACGCTTTAGTAAACAGTTGGAAAGAAACTTTTTATTACTGTACCTTTTATTCAGCAGTGACCAAGACTCTTCGTAATTTGCCTCAGTGACTGGTATTTGTCGTAATAACTGTTCTGCTTCTCCAGTCAAATGAGCTTTTAAATAATGCAGCTTATGAACATTTGGCAAACTACTATTATTGTGGACTAGTGATATGAACAAATCTTTAAAAGTTGTCCACTCTATGTATTTACCGCTAAAAGTTGGAATTGTAATTTTCGGTAGCTTTACATTAAAGTTAGACCCGGAGTTTGTTGAAAACTGAGGAAGTAACAAGTCGGACTTTAAACCAGTATCAGTAACAGATGATTTTTTAATCTTAAGTAATGCGTCTTTCAACTCTGCCTTATAATCGTAATACAATTCTTCGGTCGTTTCGTACATGTTATTTTCACAATAGACAGATGCTTGAAACTCTGCGGTGTCTACATCAGAAAGAATTTGTAGGTGGTTGTCTTCAAAAGATTTCCATTGAACTTCTAAGTTCTCCAACCTCGCCTCAATATAACTTTGAGTAAGACGTGCTTTAGGTGACTTTTTAAAATTGTCTTTACCATTACTAATAACTGACTTTACATGTTCTTGTCTTTTATATAATTTCTCCATGTTCGTTTCTAAATAACTTCGACTAAAATTAATTCAATTAACGAACGTGCACGCCACAATAATTATAGAAAATAGAATATAACCTAACTCAATAACAAAATTACAACATGAAAATTTTCAAAGTGAATGACAACTTGACAATCACAAAAATAACCAAAATATTCTAAGTCCAAAGAGAATTTATTACAATTTTTCTAAGTGTTTTGCAATTTTGACACTTGGGGAAAATCGGGCATAGGTTCCCCGTCTAAACAGATTTCAGCCTAAAATTTTACAAGTCCAAACCACACTACTACTAAATTAATCCTAATAAACTTAAAGTCTTCTACTCTTGCAAGTTATTTCTCCTATGTAAATAAAGTTCAAATTCACTCACTCACTGATTGTTCCGCATGCCATACCATATGTGTTTCGTGTTCAGCTCCTGGACAACTCTCCAAAAATATTTCCAAAACTGCGCCCTCTATTGTCAAGGTTTGCTTGTATTACAGCTTCAACTTCGACTCGAACCCTTTGGAATTACTCCACAGCAGCCAGTAAAACATAACACGGCAATAGACAATAAATTCCTCAACCTGAAAAACTTTTTTGTATGGCGCGCTGAACACGTTGCCTCTAGGTGAACCTTAATCCGGCATACCGTAGGACCAATGTTTAGTGTCCCAAAAAGGAGGTGGAACTAACTAAATAATTAAACACCTGTTCCAATTTTAAATAGCGAGAGAGCGTTTATTGCTTTTACATAACATACTTATATTTCAAACAAAACCAAATGGTAACGTGATTCAGTGAACCGATCCTGCCATCTATCGTACAAAAAGTAAAGTAATTCTAAACACGAATATCGGTGCATTTCTTAAATATAAACCTTTTTCGACTACCACAAAGAACTGTCAAGCGACGCTTCAATTTATGAAAAGGTGACTCAACAAATGGCATCTAAAAGTGCGTGACATAGAGCTGGCAACTGCATTCAAAAACAACAACACTGCAATAGCTCGAAATCTGCATTTCGATTCGACGTTGCTGCCATTGGTCCACAGTCACAGTCTTTTTTCGACCCTTTCTTGCGAAACTGAAGCGACATTTGAAAGACTTTGTTTGTATTGTCAACAAATATTTATTTCAAAACCTTATTGAAATATTTAAAATTTACTGAAGTTGCGTCTGCTGCAAAAACCAGCCAATGATATTAAAGGGACGGTACTTAATCCTGTAACTTCCTTTTATACGTCTTCGCGCCAAAATTCAAACTTGTAGGTTGTCGGAACACTAGGTTACAGTGCCGCACCACACTACCGATTGTTAATATTGCTTTTTTTCTTCGCAGGGCAAGTTGTTAGATGTAGAATTCGACTTCCGGGGTCTACCGGTTGGAGGACACATAACGCACTGTGAGTTTAATATATCAGAAGTCTCCTTATATAGCTTAATTTGACTAAACACTTGAAATTATTCCATTGATGGTTTCTTTTTGTTACACGCAGACCTTTTGGAGAAGGTTGAGTATTAAATGAACCTAATTATTTACTTATGGTATTTGACTTATATTCGACGTTATATCTCCGAATATCTCAAGTATCGCGTATAACAACACTCCTTTATTCACGACTTCATCTTTCTATTATTAGGAATTCAAAGTGAAGTTCACTGTGTATCCGGGCTTTAGTTCACATTCCATTCACTGCAAGCAACGTTTCATGTTCCAACTTAACATTTAAGCTTTCTTATAATAGTAGAAAGCAATATTCGTACGTTTTACACAGTTACAGATACAGCCGCAGGTCAAGTTACTCAAAACTGTCAAAGAAAATGGGACAAAATACATGAACACCGCCCTTTGTAGCACTTTAAAGTGAGATTGATTGAATAAATAAACGAAGATACTAACCATGGAGCACTCCCTCTAGAGTCCGCATTGCTCTAATTTTGTATGAAAATCAAATATCCAAAGTCGGCGGCGTGCGGGGAGGGTAGCCGTTTTCTGATTTTACACGTCAAGGTCAGATGATAACCTCAGTGCATTGAAGTCATTAGGGTAAGATTGATTTTAGAAAATCCCGATATTTTCTATCGATAAGCAATATAATAAAGAGGCCTAGTATTTTATACGCGAGTGTTGCCACCACTTTCTTCCAGCGTTCTTTTTGCGTGACCAGACCAGTAACTACATACTAAAAAAACCGACCAAGTGCAAGTCGGACCCGCGCACCGAGTGTTCTGTACAAACTCAATTTAATACCTCTACGCGTTCATGAGAAAAGAGGTAGTAACTTTAAAATTTACAAAAATGTTTTTTTTTATATCTTGTAATTAAAAATTTACGGTTTTCGCAATTTTTCCTTTATCTCTACTATAAGACGTTACTTTGTACCAAATTTGAAGGTTCTAAGTTCACGGGAGATTTTGATTCCTACAATGTAAATGAATGAATTTTATTTTAATGATTGTTGGTTCTAGTTTGGTCAAAAGTGATTTATTATTCCTTTTTTTAAGGCTTTATTATGAATTTGTATGTTTTGGTATAACTTTTATCCGACACATGTTACATTTGAGGTGTCATATTATAAAATGATAGTAGTAGCATAGTTCTTCATGTAAGTTAGGGTAGGTAGGTAAGGTAGTATATATTTTTTTTAATAGAAATAAAAGATTAAAAGACTTCTTCAGCCAAACTAGGAAATTCATCCTGTATTTTGGCTTCAGCGCCCTTCCCCTATTTTCAGATATAGAAAAAAAGCCAATACAAACAATAAACAAAAAAAAATGGGTGCGTGTACTTATGTAGGCGCGTGAGAAGTTATCCTTCTTTGGCATCGTTTAAAATTAGTTTTTAATTGCATGCAAATAATTAATTACAATAAATTAATAAAAAGTCTGGAAAAGGACACAGTCAATAAAGTTCAGTTTTAATTTGAAAAAATAAATAAATAATCAAAATATTCAATTAAAATCGCTACTGAATATAATTTATTAGAACATATGTGATTTGCACTTGTATGAAACTCAAACACGTATTCCGAATATACAAACTAGAAACATGTGGATAAATATTATAAATATGAATACCTATAACTGTTACTTTATTACAAAAAATAAAGATGTGGTTTTTGGTTCTACTACACCAATGGTCAAGAGATGGCGCTGTAGTCTCCTGAATCGCGCTTTGGTTCCGTTGTTCCAGATTAATAAATACTTTTTGTTACTTTATTACAAAAAATAAAGATGTGGTTTTTGGTTCTACTACACCAATGGTCAAGAGATGGCGCTGTAGTCTCCTGAATCGCGCTTTGGTTCCGTTGTTCCAGATTAATAAATACTTTTGATAGGCCTTCACAATGCAGTCGTTAGCACCCACTAAATAGAGATTCTATTTCTATTTTGTTGGTAGATTTTCTTAATCTGCGGTAAACACAAAAGTAACGCATGAAGTTGGTCGCTAAAGCGACCAACTTCATTATGTTAAAATTTTGTGTTACAGTGATGCGCGCGCATCTTAAAATTTCACTCTCATCAATTTTTCATAACGCGCCTAAAGAAGTATAACTTCAAAAATGTAAAATCAACGTTATTCAAAATTACAATACGTTTATTATTTAAAGATATTAAACTTTTATATGAATTAAAGTGCTACAGTGTTGGAAACGTTTTGTACCATTGGCTTTTCTCTAACTCAGTTTAAGCTACATAGTACTTGATATAAGATACACAATCGCGGTAACTTGATGTGCGGCGGATTCTGTGCGTTAAGAGTTGTGTGAAACAGTAAAGGGTATGTTTGTTTTGTTAGGAGCGCGCGTGCGGCGCGGCGGAGGGCGAGCGCAACTTCCACGTGTTCTACCAGCTGCTGGCCGGCGCCGACGCACATCTGCTCAGTGAGTACGCTCATATCTGGTTTGGTGTCGTTAGGAGCGCGGCGGAGGGCGAGCGCAACTTCCACGTGTTCTACCAGCTGCTGGCCGGCGCCGACGCACATCTGCTCAGTGAGTACGCTCATATCTGGTTTGGTGTCGTTAGGAGCGCGGCGGAGGGCGAGCGCAACTTCCACGTGTTCTACCAGCTGCTGGCCGGCGCCGACGCACATCTGCTCAGTGAGTACGCTCATATCTCTGTTGTAAGCTTAAATTAAAACAAAAAGAGTAGATACGGTACGCTCATACTTGCATCGAACAAAAACTGATCCCACAGCAGCGCAAATGGGACGGTGAGATCCGCGTCACTGCATTACCTCACCCGAACGAAACAGCACGTTAAGTTTCAACGGCAGCGCGAACGAGACGGCGAGATCCGCGTCACTGTACTACCGACCAATCACGCGACCAGTACTCGACGTCACTACCGAATAAGATTCAAAACAAACAGCAATTTTTATGAAAAAATATATTTTATAGCACTTACGAATGAAAAGTGATGCTGTGGGTTTTATTTTTAGTTCTTGAGCAATTTGAGCACTTTTTAAAAACACACTTAGGCATTGTTTTATCATATAAACACAAAATATTAGCAATATTTCTTTTTGGCGTTCACATGTACGTCGTTTGCATGTCAAGTTGTGACTAAAGCGATTAGAGTCGTGGACCACAATTCATGCGGATCACTTTTGTGAGGCTAGTGCCGTATCTATCCTTTTTGTTTTAATCTAAGGTTGTAAGCTCATTTAGCACGTGCTTGGTTTACAAAGTTAACAAAAATTAAGAATTTTCTAAGTAAATGAAGTTCATAATTCGGCAACACCAAATAAATGTTTTTTTATGAGTATGCCTGCCAAATTTATGTCTTTTGGATCCATATTTCTAGTTTTCGGAATTGAATTGGTATCGAAGTTTTAGTTAAATCGAGAAATATATTATAAATCTTACAAATGGTAGTTAAGAAGGAATGGATACTTAACACAACCTCGCATTGATTAAGTTAGTCGCGGTCATTAAACGCGGCCACAAGCTGCTGATGAGTTTTTCATATATTTTGTATAGTATCAGTGCAAATCGAGCGTTTGAGTTGTCACGTTGGAGCCATAACTTGCTGGAGGCGCCCAAGATAGCTACTAGTGGGCGCGTTTTGTCGCTTGCATCGCGCGCACATTCTGCCATAGTAGTTGGCATGTTATCGTTTTTTCATGGCCGTCACGCCACTAGCGGCTTTGTCTAGGGGCTTGACTGAGCCACTAGTGGTCGCGTTTGATGACTGAATATAGGCTGAATAATATATAGCCGAACTATAAATCTCCTAATCGCTTATCTCTTTCATACTTATCTGCCCAGCTAGGAGTTGATTATTTATTTATTTATTTGGCATGCTAATATTTTTACACTCAACATAATTAAACATAATTTATTCATAAAGTTGTGCAAAAATAGTTACAGGCGTACTCGACTCTTATTTCTTTCAAAATTAGTGATAATAGTAAACTAGGTATACGAACAAACATGAAACTGAACCATAACGAAGGTTCACAATCAATACTCGATAGCAAAGTCCTCCGGAAAGCGATCGATGACGTAGCGAACAAATCAATGGCTTCCAAGGAGCCGGGACAGATTTTATTATGTCGGTCACATTATTAGGGAAAGTGTGGACGGTCCCACCTCACATTGAGATTTTGTGGTGCAGAGCGTCTGCGCCTGCAGCGGAGTTGGGAGCAGTACCGCGTGCTGTGCGGACAGGGAGCGGGCGCGGGTGATGCGGACGGTGCACGGGGGCTGGACGCGTCGCCGCGGCGGGTGTCGCCCGCGCCCGCGCCCGCGCCCGCGCCGCACCCGCACCACCACCACCACCCGCACCCCCCGCCCGGCCCGCGCGCCGACGCAGCCGATAAGGACCATTTCGCCTACACCAAGGTATTCCACCTAACGATGTACATACCCGATTGGTGCTTACGTTTCTAAAACGTCATCATTCTAAATATAAGATTGTTCTTGTTCGAGTGTTTGATACTTGAATTAAACAATAAATTCATGGCCAACTTTGTAAAGAACTTGCGTTGGGAGCCCAAAATACATAATACGAAAGTTTAGTTTCTTACAAAAGTATTACGCAAACCTTTAGTTATTCGAGCGACCCCTCCTCGATTGAGTTCACGAGACTGATTAAGTGTTTGATACTTGAATTAAACAATAAATTCATGGCCAACTTTGTAAAGAACTTGTGTTGGGAGCCCAAAATACATAATACGAAAGTTTAGTTTCTTACAAAAGTATTACGCAAACCTTTAGTTATTCGAGCGACCCCTCCTCGATTGAGTTCACGAGACTGATTAAACAACAATTAACTTTTCAAATCGAAAGGTGGACAAATGTCCGCAATCGACTAATGCCTCGTATTTTTAGAAATATATAGTGTTAGTTATAATTATTAAACTCTACTTTAGTTAAGGAAAACATGTTATTTTTCTAACGCTAGTATGTTTTGATGACATGACATTCCGTATGTGACGTCATGCCAATGTTGCCATTTTCTATAATTTAAATGTGACTTGTTAGTACGCGGAAACACTTCCGGTGTAGCGGAGTTTGATATCTGAATGATTAATCAATGTAATGTCGATTGATCATTCGTATTCAAGGTGATTGCATAAACGTAGGCTGTATGCTGTGTTGGCTGTATGGTGACATTGGCTTTGCGAACCTTATGGGATGGTGTGTGCTCGCCATAGACAAGCTGCATAAAGACGTTAATCTATGAAAAGTGACTAATGTGTGGAGGTGGAGAGTTATAAAAGAGCGCTCCACCTTAGTTTGAGTAACTTTTGCTGCGATCGTTGTCCTAGTTGGTGATTCAATAAAATAGTGAACCTCTGCAGAGTTGTAATTTATTATAAGACTAATAATAGTGATTAATATGAGGCGGCGATGGCGACGCTCGGGTTCGGCGGTGGCGAGTGCGGCGCGGTGCTGCGCGTGCTGGCGTTCCTGCTCAAGCTGGGCAACGTGCACTTCGAGCCGCAGCACAACATCGACGGCTCCATCGGCGTGCGCCTGCACAAGCGATACGGTACCGTGTATACGAGCGCCCCGCTCTATGACACACCCGATAACTATACTACACTTCCTGCTCAAGCTGGGCAACGTGCACTTCGAGCCGCAGCACAACATCGACGGCTCCATCGGCGTGCGCCTGCACAAGCGATACGGTACGGTCGGAGTGGGGCTGTTAGGTTTATTTTCGTTACGGAATTTCTTGATTCGGTCGCCGCGCTCAAAGCCCGCGATAAAAGCTATGCAATAGCTTAAAAATACTTTAGACGTATTCTGAACTAAATTGTTAGATATATTCAAAAACTCTGTACTGAATAAGACTTAAAGGTTTCTTCAATCTTTCATAGGCTTATGAATTTTGGATATAGCATCTCCACTCGTATAACAAGAAGCAGAGAAAAAATACAGCCCTGTCAAGTTTCTTGCGACTTTGTTCAGTTCCTTTTATTCGTCAAAGTTTGAAGCTAGCATTTCACATAGCAAATTTGTGTTTGCTATTTGTCAATTTGACAGCAGGTTGTCTTTATCATACTTAATAGCAATGGTTCTTAACCTTTAAGTGATGAGGGACCATTTGACAAAATGCCTTATTATTTGCACTCCGTAGAATTAGTAACATGACTCCTGCCACCTCGGGCCGGGGCCCTCTAGGACCTACGATAGATAGATATGCCCCGAATCGCTCGAAATATTATTTCGAATGGTTTCATGGACCACTCGCAAGCTTCCAATGTCCTACCCGTTGTCCGCGAAGCACCGGCTTAGTACTGCTCTATAGGGAACGTGAACAAGAGACCGTTGTCAAGCTTAGATTAAAACAAAAAGGGTAGATACGGTACGCTCATACTTGCATCAAACAAAAACTGATCCCACGGCAGCGCGAACGGGATGGCGAGATCCGCGTCACTGCATTACCGACCCGAACGAAACAGTACGTTAAGTTTCAACGGCAGCGCGAACGGGACGGCGAGATCCGCGTCACCGCACTACCGACCAATCACGCGACTAGTACTCGACGTCACTACCGCATAAGATTCAAAACAAACAGCAATAGGCTAGTTGACTCATGTCGAATTATATTAAATAAATGTTTATTTCTTAAAGTATTTGGTCTAAGGAACCTAAATATATCGATTTCACTTCATAAAAGCAGAAGATTGCTGTAGAAATTTAATTTAAAAAAATATTTTTTAGTCTATATTTTGTAAACACTAAAAACGCTGTTCGCCACATCCGCGATGATTGTGACGTCTCTTATGATAAACAACTAAATCTCATTCGCGTGTTACTATGGGTGGATTCATTCGTCTGACTAAATTTATCTTAAAACACTTTTAACTTTAGAAAAGTTTCCGTTTACTGTTTTTTTTTGAAAAAACTAATTATGGATGCCGGCTTTGTGAAAACAGAAAGCACAAATCTGCCAAGAATTGACGCATTCATGGCTGGTGAATTTATTGCACTAAACCCCGATTTCTGCTCTGCGGAGCAGAGAAACGACAAGGCATCTATGTAAGTACAATGTATTTAGTATTACAATGGTGCCAATTCTGGCGTGAGTCTCAAAACTTAAAACTAAATTTAACATCAGTCTCTCCTTATCATTCTGTGTAGAGAATGACAGGGATATACTGCTGCCAAATTTAAGTTTAGGTTTAGAGAATCATGCTAGAATCGACACCAATGTAGTAATAAACATAAAACTGATACATCATATGAATAAGTGTAATAAAGTTGCGTAGGTTAATTTCTTTCGGCACTTTAATCCACAACTTTCCTGGAGTCTTCAAGGATGTGTTTTTATATTCTCGTACAATACAATAATTACTTTATTTTTCGGGGTATTTATTAGAAATCATCTTTTGTTTATTATAAAGTCAGTTAAGTTATTTTCTACGTGCTTACGAGTTTTTGTTTATTTACCTTTCTTTATGTGTTTACTGCAGTTAACGTCATAGCATAGATAATCTATAGACTAAAATGGCCGACAGCGTTTTTGTATGTCCATGAAAAATCTATTTTAAAATTAAAGATTTGTAGCTTTTTAGGTCTCAAAAAATACAATACATTTTTTTCGGTCTAATAGAACATTTATTAACCATTTAAAACCTTTTTCCAAAAAGGGTCAACTAGCCTATTTTTATGAAAAAATATATTTTATAGTACTTACGACTGAAAAGTGATGCCGTGGGTTTTATTTTTGTTCTTGAGCAATTTGAGCACTTTCTAAAAACACACTTAGGCATTGTTTTATCATATAAACGCATAATATTAGCAATATTTCTTTTTGGCGTTCACATGTACGTCGTTTGCATGTCAAGTTGTGACTAAAGCGATCAGGGTCGTCGACCACAATTCATGCGGATCACTTTTGTGAGGCTAGTGCCGTATCTACCCTTTTTGTTTTAATCTAAGTTGTCAAGTTTGTATTAGCAAATACGAAGAGCTATGTGAGGTGGCGGAATACTAGTATAGTATCGTGCGTGTGTGTTTTTTTTTATCTTTTATTGTTTAGGAGCTTTTTTCCGAAGACATGACAGCTCCATCGAAACAAACTAACGAGTACTGAACTAATCAATTAAGAATTGTAAAATTATTACATTAAATTTCATACTTGTGTAATTTACTGGCAGCATTTCACTAAACTACACAAGTACAATGCGGCTTCCGATTCGGGGTTGCTCAGAACACTTTGAACAATCCCCATATCCAACTTATTTATTTGAAATTTTGATATAAACTTGTTTCTTTGAACCTGATTCCGCTCACATTCCATCAAAAGATGATGCACGTCCTCAATATAGGTGTATTTACTTTTTTTCATCATATATGCAAACTTCCTTGATAGTATGCGACCGGACCTAATTCTTAATATGAGTTTTTTTCTCCGACATAATTGAGTATATAAAAACCACGGTGTTCGAGGAGGCTCACATTGTATTGTTTCGTACCGAATACCTTTTATTTTTGAATGTTAATCAAAATATTCTCTCCACTCTTTTTGACACTGTAATTTTAACTGAGAAAAGATTTGGGTGTTGCACGGTGTGTGTTTGGTGCGTAGAGTTGAGCGAGGCGTGCGCACTGGTGGGCGTCGACGAGGAGGCGCTGGCCGGCGCGCTGGGCGCGGCGCCCGACACCGGGGCGTGTGCCGCGGGGGACGACCTGCTCACCGGTCAGTAGGACAATCTATATATTTATTCATTTTTATTTATTTAAACTTTATTCATCATCATTATCATCAGCCTATTAATGTCCCCACTGCTGGGGCACAGACCTGAACCTATGGATGGAACAGGGAGATTGGGCCATGACCCACCACGCGGGCCCAGTCAGATTGGCGGATGCTAACGACTGCAGATGCAGCGGGTTCCTCCGTGCTTTGGAAGGCACGTTAAGCCGTTGGTTAACGTGCCTTCCGAAGCAAAGAGGAACTCGAGGTAGAAAATTTTTGGTCACCCATCCAATGACCGACCATTGCGAAAGTTGCTTAACTTCAACGATCGCAGGCGAACGCGCTAGCCACCTGTGCCATCAAGCTCCTCTAAACTTTATTGCCATATAGTAATATAAGTTATTTACGGGATTGTTACCATGTACCTTGTTTTTAGCGAGTTTCCGATATTTCGGCACTGTTGCGAGCGCCATGATCACGGAGTGACCGAAGTGAACAGTGGTACGTGTATCGAACGCAATAAAAGACTTCGTCGGAGGGTAGACCGATGTGTCTGCCAATAACAGCCTACCCGCAATTACTTCAGTTACTCCGTGATCATGGCGCTTGCAACAGTGCCGAAATATCGGAAACTCGCTAAAAACAAGGTACATGGTAACAATCCCGTAAATAACTTATATTACTGTAATGTTAGTGACCATGAAAGTTTAAAACAATGTATTTATTGCCATACATATGCAAACGGCGGACTTAATACCATAGGCATTCTCTACCGGTCATCCGGAACGAGTGCTAGAGACAAATGGTATGGCGATATTCATTCATTCAGGAGCTCGATGGCGCAGGTGGCTAGCGCGTTCGGCTGCGATTGTTGAAGTTAAGCAACTTTCGCAGTGGTCGGTCATTGGATGGGTGACCAAAAATTTACTATCTCGAGCTCCTCCGTGCTTCGGAAGGCACGTTAAGCCGTTGGTCCCGGCTGCATTTGCAGTAGTTAGCACCCACCAATCCGCACTGGGCCCGCGTGGTGGGTCATGGCCCAATCTCCCTATTCCATCCATAGGGAAGGCCTGTGCCCCAGCAGTGGGGACATTAATAGGCTGATGATGATGATGATGATATTGTTGTGTTTTAATTGTTTTTACTCTGTAATCTATTTTTATACAATTTGAAATTGACATGAGAATTGAATTTTGACATTTTCAATTCATTGAATGTTTGGTTAGTACTGTGTGTATTTCTATTTTGAAATTTATGATTGACGTGTAATTTATTACGAAATAAATGATTATTTGATTATACTTTCAGGCACGTCTATCGGCCCACCTAGCATTTTGAGTTTTGATTTGACAGGCTCTAGCATAAAATAACATCGAGAGAAAAGTTTTTACGCAGTTTTAAAACTGCTATAGTAACCGACTATTTCGTGCGTTTTTTTAAGAATAGATTTATTTATTGTAAAAAATATGGTACATTAAGATGACATGTATAGAAAACTAGATTCCACATAATATTTTACCATAAATGGCAAATATATTATCATTGCTCAACTTAACATATATATATATATATATATATATATATATATATATATGCTACAGACCGATAAAAGTTACGTGGGCCGATAGATGTGACCGGGAGTGTAATTATACTACCACACGTAGCCTTACACTACGCATTCTCTTTATGGCTACTATCTTAAGTTTACCTCATTTTCACACACAAACCATGTGGTTATCTTCATCAATGGGAAAGGAAACGCAAAGCTAATTACAGAAGGCGCTTTGGCCGTTTGGTCCTAACAAGCAATCTGTCGCTTCAAGGCTACGTTTTAAACCAACGCTCTAAGTGAAACTTTTTACACTGACGTTTAAATTTTGTCCAATTTGGCATTCGGAACGTAGGTTGGAACGCAGCCCAAGTCTATCGGATTTGGTTGGGTTTTCGTGCGACTTTGATAGCAGTCTCATTTTGTTGTTATGGACTATTCGATACCTGCGCAACCACGCCACGGCGGGATTAAATGCAAGTTTTCTTCCCCATTGCCTTAATTAAAAGTTTAATCAATATTTACGCTATTTAGATATTTCCTATTAACAAAAACTGATTTACGTGTATTGCTTTTATATTTTCAACTCTGAAATTGTTGTTAATAATGTTGTTTTGTGAAAAATAAAGTACAATAATTAAATTCTGGACGACCTCATAGGTACCCTACTTTCCGTCTTATTTGCGTAGTCAAGTATCGTTGCGCTTCTAACAACCATCATTATAAAATAAAGCTTTCCATTATAAAAACTTTATACTTCCCAGCATCGTACGTAGTGCATCGACCATATCCATTTCGACCTCAAAAGTAATCATCCAATGACCGGTCATTGGGAAAGTTGCTTAACTTTCACAGTCGCAGGCTGAATGTGCTAACCACGTGTGACTATCGAGTTCCTCAAAATAAAAAAAAATAATGAGAGTAATATACTGCAGACTCGAGCGAAGTGGAGTCTGGATGCGATAGCGGGGACGCGGTGTGGGAGTCGTGGGGCGGAGCCGAGTGGGCCACGGCACTGAGGGACCGACTGCTGACCGCACTGTACTCACGCCTGTTCACGTGGCTCATACACAACATCAACGAGGCCATCAAGGTACCGCACTGAGGGACCGACTACTGCTGTTATTGTTTTTTTTTATTGAAGTTATACTTCTTTAGGCGCGTTATGAAAAAATGATGAGAGTGAAATTTTTAGATGCGCGCGCATCACTGTAACCCAAAAGTAACAGCATGAAGTTGGCCGCGGGCGCGTTATGAATGTTAGTGTCTAATAATGGTGGATTATTAACCACTTAGTGGTTAATAATATACGGCGATTATTAACCACTTAGTGGTTAATAATCCACCATTATTAGACATCTGTTCGAAAGGTACTTTGAACGATCCACGGAGCTCCATAAGATGATCGCGTTGTCAAAAACAATGTTGGCACGCTCGTCGCCTCTGATCACTGTTTTCATATTTATAATATTTATCCACATGTTTCTAGTTTCTATATAGACACAACGTGTTTTAGTTACTTACAAGTGCTAATTACATATGGAAACGGAGCACCCCCACTAGAGTCCGCATACAAGGGCAAGCGCTTACGCCAAGCTTAAGTAGTATTTTACCTATGCATGAGGCACGCCTACAGACGTCGCGATACATCGTTTCATTCGGTAACCGAGCGTTGGTCGAACTGCTTCTCCCGTTTTCGTGTTAAAAAACTGTAAAAAATGCCGTACTGTGCAATTAAATTGTGTGGAAAGTCGAGTACAACTTCCAGTCTTCAAAAAACTGGTATTACTTTTCACTGGTTAGTTTAAATGCATTACAAAAAGACAAAAATAATGTTATATTAAATTGCTGTTAATTGTATTTATTTTTTGGTGAACGCGTTGATGTCTTTTTACACTATCCCTTTCTCGCATGGGCTACATCATATATGCTATCTCGCTCTCACACCGGCACGTGTATTGCTAGTGACTCAGACGCAGTTCATGTCTCAACGCGTAAGTTTATCGATAAGTTTGTCAGCTATGGAAATGGAAAAAATAAATAAAAACTCTTCATTTCATCGTATACAATAATAGATGTCATAAGTATACAACCAACAGTTTTTATTTGACTATAAAATTGAAAAAACGCGAAAATTTGTATGCATATTTGTTACTCTTTCACGCTAAAACGGTTAAACGGATTTGTATGAAATTAAGTGCGCATAGTTTATGACCTAGATAAAGACATAGAATTAACGATATTAAATACCCTAGATACACCACGAGCGCTCAAAATGTGTCCCAATCAAGAAGTGCTTGAACTCCACTCAAGCACTTCTTAGTACATAGTCACACGCGGACCGTTGAAAAGTCAAGATGCCAAAGAGTTCCGTGAAAAAATGCAGAAAAATACTACTAGTACGTAAAGTGTGTTTTTTTCGACGAGTATCTAATTAATGTTTTTTAATTAACACTTTTAAAGCAAATTTTATTGTTGTTATACTTACTATAAACTGATTTAATTTAAAATATTTGTGATATTCAAATGCATGGTCGGTTATACGTCGTGACGTCGCCCTTAGCTATCTCTTTTCTTCGCGGTCTGTACCTGCGATATTGCTAACAGCGCATTCAGAATTGCGCGTGAAAAGTCAAAAAAAAAAATAAGGTCTATATTCTTTCACATATAACAATAAATCGTAAAATTTTACGAACTTGACGCATCCATTTTAATTAAGACCTTATGCCGTATGCATTAAAGGTGATTTTCAATGTTTAAATAAGGCATTATATTGTTTTTGACCACGCGATCATCTTACGCACCTCCGTGGATCGTCCAATGTACCTTTTGGACACGTTTCGGCCACGATTTTGTTCGTGTTGTCTAGGGTAGTTAATATCGTTGCATTAATACTTCTTGTCCTGGACGTGTTTTTTTTTGTGTTGCTTATATATAATTTAGTATGTAGTTACTAGTCGCGTCATGTAATTAGAACGCTGGAAGAAAGTGGAGAGGGTATGATTACGCATTTGCGCACCAAAGTACTAGGCCTCTATTCTAAATTGTTTATCGATAGAAAATATCGATATTTTCTAAAATCGATCTTACCCTCATCACTTCGCTGCACTGAGTATATGATCTGACCTTGACGCGTCCAATCACAGCGGGGTTGACCTCCCTGCACCCCACCGACTTTGGCGATTTTGATTCTAAACAAAATTTGTGTGATGCGGACTCTAGTGGGGGTGCTCCATGCATATGGACTAATAACTTAAATTCAGTAGTGATTTTAGTTGAATATTTTGAATATTTATTTAATTTTTCAAATTAAAACTGAACTTAATTGACTGTGTTAACTATCCTTTTCCAGTCCTTTTATTATTTTATTGTAATTATTAATTATTTGCATGCAATTAAAAAATATTTTTAATGATGCTAAAGAAGTATAACTTCTCACGCGCGTACATAAGTTACACGCATCCATTTTTTATTTATTTATACCAGTGTGTTTGAAAATAGCTTGTCTTCAATAAGGCGTCGTTAATTATATGATCACCATTGTATAAATGTGTCTCGGTTTGGACGTTATTAAGTGTAATATAGCTCCTCTTTACATTGACCCATGATGGGCGATTTTAGAAATGCACAATGCGATCGTGTAGAGGACATAATCGTCCATGAGTGGGTATCATCGCCTGCGATAGGTAAATACAGAGGTATGTGGTTGTGCCGCAGCCTGGGTCGAGCGGGGCGGGCGCGGGGTCGCTGGGCATCCTGGACATGTACGGGCTGGAGTCGCTGGCGCACAACGGGCTGGAGCGGCTGCTCGTCAACTACGCGGCCGAGCGCGTGCAGGGCGCCGTCACCGCCGCCACGCTGCGCCGCGAGCAGGCCGAGTACGCGCGCGAGGGGCTCGCCTGGGCGCCGCTGCCGTACCAGGTACCCGGCACGTATATCCACCCGCACCCGCTGCAGCGGGTGCTCGTCAACTACGCGGCCGAGCGCGTGCAGGGCGCCGTCACCGCCGCCACGCTGCGCCGCGAGCAGGCCGAGTACGCGCGCGAGGGGCTCGCCTGGGCGCCGCTGCCGTACCAGGTACCCGGCACGTATATCCACCCGCACCCGCTGCAGCGGGTGCTCGTCAACTACGCGGCCGAGCGCGTGCAGGGCGCCGTCACCGCCGCCACGCTGCGCCGCGAGCAGGCAGAGTACGCGCGCGAGGGGCTCGCCTGGGCGCCGCTGCCGTACCAGGTACCCGGCACGTATATCCACCCGCACCCGCTGCAGCGGGTGCTCGTCAACTACGCGGCCGAGCGCGTGCAGGGCGCCGTCACCGCCGCCACGCTGCGCCGCGAGCAGGCCGAGTACGCGCGCGAGGGGCTCGCCTGGGCGCCGCTGCCGTACCAGGTACCCGGCACGTATATCCACCCGCACCCGCTGCAGCGGGTGCTCGTCAACTACGCGGCCGAGCGCGTGCAGGGCGCCGTCACCGCCGCCACGCTGCGCCGCGAGCAGGCCGAGTACGCGCGCGAGGGGCTCGCCTGGGCGCCGCTGCCGTACCAGGTACCCGGCACGTATATCCACCCGCACCCGCTGCAGCGGGTGCTCGTCAACTACGCGGCCGAGCGCGTGCAGGGCGCCGTCACCGCCGCCACGCTGCGCCGCGAGCAGGCAGAGTACGCGCGCGAGGGGCTCGCCTGGGCGCCGCTGCCGTACCAGGTACCCGGCACGTATATCCACCCGCACCCGCTGCAGCGGGTGCTCGTCAACTACGCGGCCGAGCGCGTGCAGGGCGCCGTCACCGCCGCCACGCTGCGCCGCGAGCAGGCCGAGTACGCGCGCGAGGGGCTCGCCTGGGCGCCGCTGCCGTACCAGGTACCCGGCACGTATATCCACCCGCACCCGCTGCAGCGGGTGCTCGTCAACTACGCGGCCGAGCGCGTGCAGGGCGCCGTCACCGCCGCCACGCTGCGCCGCGAGCAGGCAGAGTACGCGCGCGAGGGGCTCGCCTGGGCGCCGCTGCCGTACCAGGTACCCGGCACGTATATCCACCCGCACCCGCTGCAGCGGGTGCTCGTCAACTACGCGGCCGAGCGCGTGCAGGGCGCCGTCACCGCCGCCACGCTGCGCCGCGAGCAGGCAGAGTACGCGCGCGAGGGGCTCGCCTGGGCGCCGCTGCCGTACCAGGTACCCGGCACGTATATCCACCCGCACCCGCTGCAGCGGGTGCTCGTCAACTACGCGGCCGAGCGCGTGCAGGGCGCCGTCACCGCCGCCACGCTGCGCCGCGAGCAGGCCGAGTACGCGCGCGAGGGGCTCGCCTGGGCGCCGCTGCCGTACCAGGTACCCGGCACGTAAATCCACCCGCACCCGCTGCAGCGGGTGCTCGTCAACTACGCGGCCGAGCGCGTGCATCTTCAATTCAACCTCAACGATTCATATAGGTCTAGCGGAACAGTCTGTAGAACACCTCAAGAAGTGCCGTAGCTTACAATGATGAGATGAATGAGCTCGCCAGGTTATAATGAAATATCTATACGCGAAGCAATTATTCGCTGCATACATTCAACAGTTGCTATTTTTAACAATATGTATTGTACAAGTCAATTAAAATATAAACCAAGACCTAAAAGAGAACCCTGAGGAATCCCTAAAATTACCGTAAAAGATCAGATCTTGGAGCTATTGACAACGAACTCAACTATCTCAGTAAGCTTCGGGAATACTGTTTTTTTTTTTAATTAATTAATTTATGAATATAGTAGGGTCCACTTTATCGAATGATTCTCGAAATTCGATATTGAAGTTAAAGAATCCATCTTAATTTTGAATTTAATATACTTGCTTACTTAAATTGTTAGTTAAACGAAGTGTGCTTGTGAATCGAGTGTTGTGTTCATGTTCAGGACCACGAGTTGGTAGCAGAGCTGCTGGACGGCGGCAGTGACAGCGTGCTGGGAGCGCTGCGAGAGTGTTCAGCGCGCTCGCTGCCCGACGCCGCCTTCCTGCAGCGGCTGCAGCGCCGCCGCCATCCCCGCCTCGTTGTCGCGCCCCCGGACCGCTTCCAGTCAGTCCCTACGCTTTATTTATTGCTAAAGGCTAAGGTCAAATGGGAGCTCAATATTTTTATTGTGTAGTATAATGAGTTTAGACTTTTGAATGTTTTTTTATTTCACTCCAACCATTCTTTAATGATTAGCTTTATAAAATTGTAACTTTGTGATGTGAGATATGATTTACAGCATTTGTAAAGGTTCGCGTTCACCGGGTTCGCCGAGTATCGCTGGAAGTTGCTTTTCATATATTTCTATGAAAACACGTCTATTAGCGGAGACCCGCGGCGTGCCGAATCGAATCGATCACGCGATTCGGTGCGACAGGCATGTTTCTTCGCTGATGCGATTAGATTCGACTCTGCGCGCTTCAGTCGACATGGAGAATCGCGATTTTTATCACGTTTTTATCACGCTCAATTGTGAAATCACTATGGAGTTTGACAGTTAGGCGCGATAAAAGACGTGATATAATGTCAATCGTGGTGCTGATGCTGCGGGGATAGGATAGGGGATGACAAATTCCGTTTTGTCGGTAGGATCGTCCATTTCGCGGGCCCGGTGTCGTACAGCGCGCGCGGCATCGTGGAGCACAACCGCGACGCCGTGTGCCGCCGCTGCAGCGCCGCGCTCGCCGCCGCGCGCGAGCCGCTGCTGGCCACGCTGTTCGCGCCTTCACCCACTCCAGGTCACTTTACAACTTAGATTAAAACGAAAAGGGTACATACGGTACGCTCATACTTGCATCAAACGAAAACTGATCCCATGGCAGCGCGAACGAGACGGCGAGATCCGCGTCACTGCACTACAGACCAATCACGCGACCAGTACTCGACGTCACTACCGAATAAGATTCAAAACAAACAGCAATTTGTATGAAAAAATATATTTTATAGTACTTACGAATGAAAAGTGATGCTGTGTGTGTTATTTTTAGTTCTTGAGCAATTTGAGCACTTTTTAAAAAAAACTTAGGCATTGTTTTATCATATAAACACAAAATATTAGCAATATTTCTTTTTGGCGTTTACATGTACGTCGTTTGCATGTCAAGTTGTGACTAAAGCGATTAGGGTCGTGGACCACAATTCATGCAGATCACTTTTGTGAGACTAGTGCCGTATCTACCCTTTTTGTTTTAATCTAAGCTTTACAATCATTTACAGAGTAAACACACTAGCAGCACTATCGATATCCGTTATTCTGAAAATAACACTGAAAGCGACATAAACATTGAGTTCATCGCGTTATTTAACGCAGCCTTATCCAGTCGAAATCAGAACTTAAAATATCGTTTTCGGGTATTGGTAGTTTAACATTTTAATAATTTGTAAGACGCAGCACGAGTATAAGACTGGATGCGCATGTACGGTTTTCGAATCATTAATTCAGATTCACGATTCCGGGAGTCTAGCGCAGACGCTTCGTTTTTATTATTAGTTAAAGTCTGAAGTGGAAACATTTTTCTCGCAAATGCAATCATTATTGGAATACGTCACAAAACATAATATTCATAAAAAAATAATTATGGGGGGCGATTTAAATATTGACTTTACAGTTAATACACATATATCACGCAGATTTATTAACCTTCTAAAGAGCTTTGGTTTGCGCTGTATTAATAGTTTTCCTACACGAATAACACCAACCACTTCATCTTGTGTTGACCAGTTCATGGTTGGAATGAACGTCAATATGCTCACTGAAGTTCATCACAACCAGTTGTCTGATCATAGTACCCTCATGGGTCAGATATTACTCGATAGTAATGTTAATGAAACACTACTACTGTAAAGAAAATAAAACATAAACGATTATTCAGCAGGAAAAATATGGACAATTTTAGAAGAGCATTAAGTACAGTCAATTGGCAACGGGAGTTATCAACAAGCAATAATTTAGACGAAAACTACGGAGTGTTTCAATCTATAACTAGAGTTCTTTTAGACAAATACATACCAAGAAAAGATTTTATCTTAAAAAATAAAGTTAAAACAGTGTGGGTCACTAAGGGTATAAAAAAAATGCTGCTATAATAATAATAATAATAAACATTTATTTCAGACTTTAAATCCATATAAAAGTGTTAGTAACAGACGATATCTTATTCTAGTGTTAGTAAATGAAAAAAGTACAATCGAACACAAATAACTATAATAATACATTCGGATTCCGATGGGACTCGTCTGTTATTTATAAATAATTATAATGACAGACTGGCGAATGTAGCTCAAGCCAGTGTCGCAATAGTGGGGAGTCCCATCGGTCAGCCAGTGCGCTCAGGACACTGTTGGAGCTGTCGCGCACGCGCGCCCACAGCGAGGCGCAGCGCATTCTAATGATCGTGTAAAAGCAATCAATACGCGCCTCGGCAAACATAGACGACGCACTGCAATAACGCGGCAGACCGAACAACATCCTGAACGTGTTATTATATTGGACTCGCAGTGCGCTGTATGTCCGCTGCGTAAAGTTCACCCAAAGACCGCACGTGTAGAACGACTGACAATAAGCTTTGAAAAGCGTCAGTTTGACTCGTTTACTACACTGTGCAAATCTGCGGGCCAACATGTTACAGCGGACACACAGCGCCCTACGTTCCCTCTCCATATCTACTGAGTCCGACAAGTTGTCAGTGACCCAATGGCCCAAATACTTGAATTTGTCAACTTTTTTAAGTTCAGTGCCCCCGAGTGTAACGGAAGGTACACTGCGCTGACACCCTGCCGTCCCAGCTCGAAATACCATGAACTCACTTTTAAGACAGTTGTATTTGAGTCCATGAACTTCTGCATATTTTTCACACATATGAAGCAGCTTCCTCAATGCACCAATCGATGGGCTCAGCAGCACCATATCACCAGCGTAACTAATATTATTAATACAAACACCACCGAAGTAGCATCCAATATAGGTACTGCTGAGCTCCTCGATTAGACTGTTCATGTACAGGTTGAAAAGTTTGTGCGAGCTTAACCCCCCCTGCCTCACCCCGCATTGCAACCTGTACCTGTCCGACTGCGAACTAGCCCACTTCACACAGTTGCTCCGATTGTCATACCAATATTTAAAAATGGATATAACTTCAGGAGGCAGCTTAGTGTCACAATACAGTTTTTTCCACAATAGGTTGTACGATACTAGGTCGAACGCTTTCGACAAGTCCAAAAAACAAGCATAGACTGGGATTTTTCTAGCTGTGTAGTACTGTACAGTCTGTTTGAGACAAAAGATGGCACTCTCTGTGGACAGACCCGGCTTAAAACCAAACTGAGCATCGTGACTCCTAATGTGCTCACCTAGTCTTTTATCCAACAGACTATCCAGCACCTTGGCTATAACCGTCGCTAAAGATATAGGTCTGTAATTGGACAAGTTGGAAGCATCTCCCGTTTTGTTTTTTATTATGGGCACTACAAGTGTGTACATCAAATCTTCGGGTAGGTAACAGTGACTCATACAAAGGTTAAAAAACATCGAAAGAACTCTAGGCAAGTGCACCCCTGCATACTTCAGGTGCTCGATGCTGAGATCATCGTGACCGGGAGACTTACCTCTAACCATTGCCTTGATTGTAGAGGCGACCTCTCGCGCAGAAAATCTAAAGGTTAAGTTCCCGACAGGACGACACCCAGCACCGAACTCATGCGAGTCCCCCAAAAGGGGAGAATCTACTTTAAAATGCTTTCGGAAGGCATTCGCTATATCAGTCGGTTCATAAATACCATCTATGCTCACAGGAAGACTCTGCTTTGGATTCAGTTTTTTGGTATTATTCCAAAATTTTACGAAATTTTTATCAGTGTGATTCTGTGCGATAATATCTAATTTAATTTGATTCTGATGCTTTTGGCAATATTTTAATTTAGCTTTGAAGTATTTTTTAGTGGCTTTCATGTTATCGTAAAAAGAACCAAAATTAGGTTTTCCATATTGTACCCAAGACTGGTACCAAAACCGAGCCTCCCTATGAGCGGCACTCACGTGTTTATTCCAACCAGTTATGTATTTATGTTTTTTATTTTTCTTTACAATATAGCTACTTGTAGCGGACTCTTTTAGGATACATATAATGTTACGGTACAAATCTGTTATTTTTACTCTGTGGTTGACATCTGAACACTTTTTATCTGCACATTTACAAAAATCAGCAGGAAAGTCTAATAAACGTAATTTGCTATTTCATGCATCACTATATATTTGTATTTGATAATTATCTCTTTCCCCCCAACGAACTTTATTACAATACGGAGTTGAGGCTACAAGTTTTGACTTGACTTTATTTAAATTGCACTCAATTAACAAAGGATAATGGTCAGACCAATAAACATTATTACATAAAACCAAAGCATTGTGTACAATGTGTCGCACGGCATCAGTAACCAAACAATGGTCAAGCCATCGGCGAGAACCGTGTGCATCGCTAATATACGTATAGGTATCACTAGGCAAAATTTCCATGTCAACATGCGTGGTCGTGCCACGACTGTTCAGAGCAAAAGTTTAAAAGTTCATGTGAAAATTGCTCACCGGGATGCGCATTGAAGTCCCCGAGTACGAATACTGACTCGAGGTTGTTCGTCTCAACCAAAGCACTTATTTCACCCATACACTCCGTGAATTCCGTAAGATTCAACGCTGTGTCTGTAGGCATATACACAGAAATCACTAACAGCGACTTACCACTGTCGAGAAAAACTTTAACAGCCGTCAACCGCACACTGACATTCCACTACTGACACACTCGGGAACACGGACTTCCTCCACAGTAGTGCAACTCCGCCAAACGGCCTCCCTCTGAGTATATCTTTAGATGTATCTACCGCAGATTTTCCAGTAAAAGCGAAGTCGTCATCTATGGTCCCCAGGTATGGCAGATCATGAGGTAAAAGCCACGTTTCTTGTAGAGCAATAATGTCAGCTGTCCGGCACAGACCTCTCAAGCAGTCAATCGAACGGTGTAAATTTTTACAGTTAAAAGAAATGATCTTAGTTGTAGCAGCCATTATTGTTGATTAGATTTATTTGGCACCTTATCACTCCGGTATCTTCTTTTGAAGTCTACAAAACGTCTAAATACAACCCCTTCCGGCCAAAATTCGTCATGCATAAAAACGGACATTTTGCTTTTTGGGACAAACACTTTATAAGCATCATATTCTTTTGACGTCTTCATATTCATTTTTTCCAAGTCGACCGGCACTTCAGTTTTATCTCTTATGTAACTCATAATATCCGTCTCTGTTACATCCTTCGAAATGTTGTAAATATACAACGGAATCCGAACATCTGCCGCTTTAAAGTTGATATTGAAATTCACAACTGCCTTACCTTTATTACCAATAAATCTGTTTTTCAATCTCTTCTTTTGTACCAAGATCCACTCTTCCTTATTTATTTCTTGTTTCCATTCACCTTGTTCTAAAACTTGAGAATACGATTTTCTATTATTGATACGTTTGTGGTCATTATAGCAGGGCCCGGCCGTCGGTAATGCAGTCGCAGGTACTGTCGACGCATGAGTCATAAGGCCTCTCGCCGGCACCGGGTTGTTTACAAATTCAACTACTCTGCTCTCAGCTGATTCGGCACCGTTCAATGGCGGCGCTGCGCTAAGCAGCTGTACGGGTGTTGAATTATTTTCATTTCTACTTCCCTCCGTGGTCCGTTGATGATAATGGATTTTTGAATTTGGTGAAAGTGATGAGCAGTTACTTAAATGTAAACCTTTTTCATTGCTAATAGGATGCATCGCACTAGGGCCGCTGTTGCATTCGAAACTATCTAATAGAAAGGCGCCTCTCTTAGGATTTATATTTTTGGAGAAGTTATTCACATTAGATGCCTTTTTAAAGTTGTCCATGTCGTGTTTCAGTTGCTCCAATTGTTCTGTACTCACATAGCTTCGAGAAATTTTATTGATCTCCTCACGCATTCTCAATAAATCCTTAAGAATCTGGGTTACATCGACGTGATCGAATAGAACCGGTGGTAACTTTTGCAGCTCTCGCGCAACGAAAATGGGTAGCACTTCAGGATCCGTTTCCTTAAGAGTACAGAGGATATCCTCAATATCACGTAAAGTCTTCCCATCCCGTTTTCTGTTCTTCATTGACTTTGACAAGGACTCGTACAGTAGTCGTTTTGCAGTCACAATATCACATTCAGAAAACGCAGTAGCACAGATGCGGCTGATGCTTTCCTCACCCATAATATCAATTTTATTACAAATGAAGGCAAGCACTTCATTAATTACAATATTACAAGTTACACACTTCACTGTTTTAGACATTTTGCTATAACGTCAACTCGTTATCCACGACCGTACGCAAGCGCGTGCGACGCGTCACTGACACACATCACATGAGAATATTGCGTTACCTAAAAACTAAATTCAAAAACGATTCCTTAATTCAATACGAAAAATTATACAGCAAAATATTAAAAAGAATTATTCAAACTGAAAAACGTAAATATTTTATACACAGAATTACAACATCTAAAAATAAATACAAGACTATGTGGACCATAATCAACGAAAGGACAAAACCCCTCAAGAAAAATAGACAACACAACATAACTATAAATCGTAACAATAAAATAATTACATGCCCAAAGACCATAGCGAACCTATTTAATAATTATTACATTAGTATCGGCAAAAACGAAAACATTTATAAGCCTAAAGTACAGAATTTAGACACACTTGTGAACTCGTTTTATCTGGATGTTGTCACTGAGGCAGAGGTAAAGAAGGCTATTTTGGGCCTAAAAAGGAACAATACATGCGGATACGATGACATACCGGCCACATTAATAATTCGTTGTGTGGATGAGTTTGTATTCCCTTTAACGTACTTAGTAAATCAATCCTATGAACAAGGAATTTTTCCTCAATGCTTGAAACAAGCTATAATTGTACCCATTTTCAAAAAAGGCTATAAGTCTAAAGTAGTCAATTACCGTCCCATAGCCATACTATCAGTTATATCAAAAATTATTGAAAAAATAATATGTAAACGAATTTACAGGTTTTTTGAGAAATACAAGGTGCTTAATAAGAATCAGCATGGTTTTAGAAAGAAACACTACGACATCAGCGGTGCTCGATTGTAGCTTTGAGATTCTGAATGCACTAAACGAAAATAAGTGTGCTGTGGTAGTATTCATGGATATTTCGATGGCATACGACCGTGTTCTGCACGAGGTACTTTTAAAAAAGTTAGAACAACTAGGTATTCGTGGAAATACAGTTAAGTGGTTAGCGTCTTACTTAAAAGACAGAAAGCAATTTGTACAAATTGCACACTCAAATAAAGGTATTTTGGAAAATGTTAATTCCGAAATCTATACACTTTCAGGTTCGATACCTCAAGGTAGTGTGCTAGGGTGTTTGATGTTTTTGGCGTATATAAATGACCTGTCACGTGCCACAGCACACAAAGTCGTACAATTTGCTGACGATGCTACTCTTATAATATCTGGCGATTACAATGACATAAATACATTACGCGATGAAATAACATCATCAATAAATAAAATAGCGAAACATCTGCGGGAAATAGGTCTAGAACTGGATTTGGAAAAAACTAAAATAATGCAATTTAGACCGCACCAGAGATCAGTACTACCCCTCAATGTTACATTTGTGACACTAGGCATTACCATGGATTCCACCTTGTCTTGGAAACCTCACGTGAGTACAGTTGTTCATAAACTTAGCAGTTTCACGTACGCCCTATATGAATTGCGTAAATGTACAAATGCTCAGTGCGCGTTGACTGCATACCATGCGCACGCTGCAGCCTGGATCAGATATGGGATCGTATTTTGGGGAAACTCAGCCGATGTCCAGGAAGTATTTATTTTGCAAAAGCGCTGCATTAGGGTGATCGCCAACCTGTCATCTCTGGAATCATGTAGACCGCTGTTTGTAAGACTAAAGATTCTTACGGTCAGTTGTGTGTACATTTACGAGCTTTGTAGATTAGTTCGTACCAGCCCACATTATTTTAATAGAATATCTGACCTTCCTCGACGCTACGCTTCTCGCCGAGAAAACAACTTATGTCAGTTAACCCCACACCTTGATCTGATTAAAAAAGGGCCTTTCTTTATGGCAATCAAGTTGTATAACCACTTACCCAACTCCTTAAAAGCCCTCCAGGGAAGTAAATTTGATAGTAATCTTAAAAAAATTCTAATCAATAAGGCTTACTATTCTGTAAACGAATACATTGACGAAAAAATAGGTTAGGTAAATAAATAAACATGACATAAACCCATAATATTAATTAATGTAATCTGTTAAGCTATTTTTGTATTTAAATGTTACTATTAATTTATAAATAATATGAATATGAAATGAATATGAATATGAATATGAACGATCTGTAAGTTTTTTTGGCATTCTTAAAATATAAGACTAGTGAACGCCTCGTTGAACATTTTATTTGTATGTAAGGATGCGCATGCAGGTTTCCGTATCGGAATTTCTGATGAGAGAACCTTGAATGGTAATGTTGCATTACATGAACAGGGTCGGGCGGCGCGGGCGCGGGCGCGGGTGGTGGCGGGGGCTTGGGCGCGGGCGCGGGGTCGCCGCGTCGGCCGCTGGGGCTGGCGTGCCGTCAGCGCGCGCTGGTGACGGCGCTGGTGCGGCGGCTGACGGCGGGCGGCGCGCCCCGCCTCGTGCGCTGCCTGCGCCCCGACCCGCTGCTGCGCTCCTACCGCTTCGACGCGCCGCTGCTGCGCCGACAGATCCGCGACCAGGGGTGAGCTGTTCCACTCCTACCCATACCGATCCTTCTGTAAACACCGCACTGGTCGTTGATATTGTGCCGGCGCTTCGCGTAACTGTTCCTGTTTGCTTTTTGTAAACTTTTCATCGATCCGTTCTTTTCGTTCCTTATAAAGCACTATAAAAAAATGGTTGTCTAAAGTCGGTTTCCGGACTATAATTTTAAGTGATAACGTGTCGTTCGTTTTTTTCTTTAGGGCATTTTTGTAGGGATTTTTGTTTCGGTTCGTTCGAGTCCAAGCAGACCTCCGTAGTATTGTAGGGTCCGCGAAGATGAGCCAGGGGAAGGGGATAGGACGGGGCTCAAAGCTCGAAGGAACCCTCGACCTCATCTCGCACACCGCGGAACGTAGGAATAACTCGTAACATGACGTAACACGTTTTCGTGCGTGCAGCCGGTGTTCATAGATTTAAAAGACGTCATCTTCTCATAAAGGTCAGACTTTTGTCTAGTTTACAAAATATAAACACGAATAGCCAAGTGAAGTGCCGACAAAAAATGAAACATAAAAAATCACAGTACATTCATTTCGGTTAGGATAATGGACATGGCCCTGCTGCGACGTAACGGATGGTGCGAGTGGATGTGTGCGCGAGCTCTGGTCGCTCGGTATGGGCTGCTCGCGGGGCCGCGCCCGGGGGCGGGGGCGGGGCCCGGGGCAGGGGCGGGGCCGGGGCCGGGGCCCGCGCCCTGCGGCAGTAGCGGGGACCCGGTGCGGGCGGCGCGCGCGCTGCTGCGGAGGCTGCCCATACCCAGCGCGGAGTTCACCTACGGACGGACTAAAGTGTTCATCAGGAGTCCGCGGACGGTGGGTTACTCTTTCATTATTTATTTTTTAACTTCCCATTTTAAAAACATCAGTCATGCAAACCAGCACGGATTCTGTACGGAACATAAATCAGCAGCAACCAATCTTGTTTCGTATGTCAATGAACTAACGAAATCAATCGACTCTGGCGTAGAAATAGATTCCATTTATACAGATTTTAGCAGTGCATTTGACAAGGTTGACCACAATATACTGTTTATGAAACTGAAGCGCTACGGAAGTCATGGACCCCTACTGCTATGGCTCCATTCTTACTTAGAGCATCGGTTGTTAAGGGTAGTTGTGAACGGCTACAAATCGAAACCATTCCTCATCTCGTCGGGACTCCCCCAGGGTTCGATCTTGGGACCAATTCTGTTTCTCGTTTTCATTAACGATATCCCTAATAAAATCCGATAGCAGCTGCTCTCTTTTTGCCGACGATTTAAAGTTGTATCGACCGATTAAAAACGAGGAAGATATACTTTTACTCCAAAAAGATCTAGACTCGGTATCGGAATGGTGCGTAGACAACGGCATGACTCTTAATGCAAGTAAATGTCTATTTATAAAATTTACCAGAAAGACAAAAAACATTAACGATTCTGTCTATACTATTCATTCTACACAGCTAACCGAAGTGGGTTCGACTCGTGATCTGGGCATTGTAATTGACAAAAAGCTCGGATTCATTGAACATATTAACGTTATTGTTGCAAAGGCATTAAAAATGTTGGGTTTCTTGAAACGCCTATGTAAAAATTTCCATAACACCGCAACAATTTTATGCTTGTATAAGAATTTGGTGCAAAGTATACTAGAATACAGTTCCCAAGTCTGGAATCCACAATATCGAGTCCACATTGATAGAATCGAGCGAATTCAACGTAATTTTACGAGGTTTCTTGCTTTCAAAGACAGGAAGTGTCCTTACCGTGCGGATTACCACACTCGTCTCAAATACTTCAAACTTCATACCTTAGAAAAGCGTAGATTAACCGCGGACATTTTATTTTTACACAAATTACTTCACGGCAATATTGTTGCGCAAGACCTTCTTGCGGAAATTAAGTTAAAGGTTCCCAGAAAAATCCCCCGCCAACCCATCAAATCTTTCGTAAACTGTCCCTTTAAAACAAAATTAGCTTTACCGTTTAACAGAATTAAAGATGCATACAACGAGATATGCCATGATGTTGACATCTTTCATGCTCCACTCAAAGCTCTCAAAAATCATCTGTATGGTAATGTTCAAACCGAAGAGTAATTTTTTTCTGTTAAAAGTATAAGTACCTACCTACATATAGTCAATGTTGTACATGCCTGCAATGGCAATTCACACGGTTGAATACTACCTGCATCTTAAATCTTTATTGAAATTTGTGAAATTGTCGATGGTATGTCAAATAAATAAATAAATAAATTAGATAAACATTGGTGTCAATTCTGGCGTGATTCTCTAAACTTAAAACTAAATTTAAGGTCAGTCTCACCTTTTCATTCCGTATAGAGAAGGACAAGGATGCACTGTTGTCAAATTTAAGTTTAGCTTTAGAGAATCATGCCAGAATCGACATCATTATGTTAATAAGAAATTAATCTTTTTTTTTCCTCATTGTTTGTATGAAAGTTTGTATGAATAAATGTTTTGATTACGATTTTGAAAGACTGTTTGCCACCTAAGTTTTGGATCCTTTACAGTTACCGTGGTCGCGAACCTTAATCGCTTTTTCTTTTATATTATTTTGTACCCGTTAAGTCTAGTGGGAATTCCCACGCATGTTTTAGATATGTGCTAAGAAAAATCATAATTTATACTTTACCATAGCTAACAGTATTGTGTATATATGCGGCCAGGTGTGGGAACTGGAGGCGTTGCGCGGCGCCCGCGTGGAGGCGCTGGTGTCGGTGCTGCAGCGCGCGTGGCGGCGCCGCCTGCACCACACAAGGGAGCGCGCGCAGCGGGTCATCGCGAGGGCATGGCGCCGGCATAACGTATGCGGACCCCTATTTACAATTTCACTAGAACTATAACTATTTAATGGGGGTGCATTGTGGGTAGGGTTACCATCCGTCCGAATTAATCCGGACATATCCGGACTTTTAGACTATAGTCCGGACTTTGCGTTAACAACTAAATTTAAAGAGTTTTTAATTTGCAGGCCACGCGTAACTTACCCGAACGACAAACTTTACAACGTCGGCTGCAGGTAAGATTTTATTTAATACATACTGGATTATTGTTTAACATGTAATATTATTTAGATTTAGACATCTAGCAGTCAAATTCTTAGAAAATAGAAAAACCTAAATGTGTGATTATTTTATTGTTAGAATTTACTGAGAAAAATAGTTTTACAAATAAATATGTAGGTAAATACCTGAAGTTAGTTGTTGACTTCACGAAATAGTATTCCCAATTTTGATATTAATATGTATATATTTTCTCTTCAGTATTAGTGAAAGATATTTTTATTTTTTAATGAAATTTGAGGTGCAAACGAATTGTGTTTTTCTTTCGTTCTACTAAAAGTCTTTGTGAAAAAACGCGCCCATTGTGCCCGCCGTCGTGATCGGCCGTCAGAGTTCGCCGATTTAAATCGCTGCCGCGTGTAGTTTGAGCGCGAACTATCAGATTCGTTTGCGTATGATCGAACACTCGTCGCGTCGCACTCGCAGGGCGGCCCAGTCGCGACGGTCGCGGTGGGCGTGGGGCAGGAGGCGGCCCGAGCTGCGTCGCACCTTCGCTCGTGGGCATGCGGCGTAGTATGGCGCGCGTGGTGTGCTTGGGCCCGACGCCGCTACCTGGGCTCGCTGTGGGCGCGCCTGCCCCCGCGGCACCGCTCGCCCGCGTGCCAGGCCTGGCCCGCCTGCCCGCACCCGCGCCTGCTGGCCCGCGCCGACGCGCTGCTGCGGCACCTGCACCACCGCTGGCGCTGCCGCCTCTACCGCGCCAACGTCGACCAGCTGGCGCGCAACCGCATGAGGGAGAAGGTGACATGTCATGCTTTAGATCCACATGGAAAATGCGTATGGACCTTTCGGTGCTTTTCAGGGCTTTCGATATCTAATTTGACACACTTATAATGGCACTGACAGTTTTTTTATACCAAATTAAAATACTCGATGTGACTGACGGCAATTCATTATGCTCTAATCAAATCACTATTAAATTAAAATTAGTTTGAAAAAGCCATATGGAATCTTCTATTTTAATTATAGAGCAAATGATAAGTCAATAAAAAATTCCCAGTAAATACAAATATGCGAATGGAATAAGTATGACGCGCGTATTGACAGGTGACGGCGAGCGTGCTGTTTAAGGACCGCAAAGCGTCGTACGCGCGCAGCGTGGCGCACCCGTTCGTGGGCGACTACGTGCGTCTCCGCGCGTCGCTCGCGTGGCGGCGCGGGCTGGGCGCGGGCGGCGCGGGCGACCACTACGTCGTGTTCGCGGACGTGGCCGCGCGCGTGCCCGCCAGGTATGATGAGTATCAAAAACAAAACGGCTCTCAAATGAGACCCTTGAGGAATTCCTGAGGTTATCGGAAGAGATTCGTTCACTTTAATCAATGTTTTTAAACAGGTTACCTCACTATGCAAATAAAACTGACAGACGTCAAATTTTACCTATTAAAATGGCTCGACCGTAAGAGGCAAAATTTCATATCATTTTTATCTCGTCGGGGGGTCACATCAGAAATAATGTGATGATCTGTTTGCAGAGGTGGCGAGGGAGGGTCGGGCGCGGGCCAGGCGGGCGCGCGGCCCGTGCTGTGCGTGGTGTCGACGGGCGCGCTGCTACTGCTGGAGCCGCGCTCCCTGCGCACCAAGCGGCGCGTGCCCGCCGCGCACGTGTACCGCCTGTCCCTGTCCCCGTACCACGACGACCTGCTGGCCGTGCACGTGCGCGCCGTACGTATACTGCACGCGCACTACACTACACTACACTACACACCTGTACAGTAATAACGTTGATGATATGTGTGTGCAGTGCGCGGGCTCGGAGGAGGGCGGGCAGTGCGCGGCGGAGGCGGGCGGCGGGGGCGGCGGGTGCCTGGTGGGCGGCGCGGGGCGGCGGCGCGGGGACCTGCTGCTGCGGACCGTACACGTGCTCGAGCTCGCCACCAAGCTGTTCCTCGTCGTGCAGAACGCGGTGCGCGCGCCGCCCATAGTCTGCGTCGCCAGGGAGTGAGTACCCCGCATGCAGCATGCGGCATGCGGCGGGGGCGGGCGGCGGGGGCGGCGGGTGCCTGGTGGGCGGCGCGGGGCGGCGGCGCGGGGACCTGCTGCTGCGGACCGTACACGTGCTCGAGCTCGCCACCAAGCTGTTCCTCGTCGTGCAGAACGCGGTGCGCGCGCCGCCCATAGTCTGCGTCGCCAGGGAGTGAGTACCCCGCATGCAGCATGCGGCATGCGGCGGGGGCGGGCGGCGGGGGCGGCGGGTGCCTGGTGGGCGGCGCGGGGCGGCGGCGCGGGGACCTGCTGCTGCGGACCGTACACGTGCTCGAGCTCGCCACCAAGCTGTTCCTCGTCGTGCAGAACGCGGTGCGCGCGCCGCCCATAGTCTGCGTCGCCAGGGAGTGAGTACCCCGCATGCAGCATGCGGCATGCGGCGGGGGCGGGCGGCGGGGGCGGCGGGTGCCTGGTGGGCGGCGCGGGGCGGCGGCGCGGGGACCTGCTGCTGCGGACCGTACACGTGCTCGAGCTCGCCACCAAGCTGTTCCTCGTCGTGCAGAACGCGGTGCGCGCGCCGCCCATAGTCTGCGTCGCCAGGGAGTGAGTACCCCGCATGCAGCATGCGGCATGCGGCGGGGGCGGGCGGCGGGGGCGGCGGGTGCCTGGTGGGCGGCGCGGGGCGGCGGCGCGGGGACCTGCTGCTGCGGACCGTACACGTGCTCGAGCTCGCCACCAAGCTGTTCCTCGTCGTGCAGAACGCGGTGCGCGCGCCGCCCATAGTCTGCGTCGCCAGGGAGTGAGTACCCCGCATGCAGCATGCGGCATGCGGCGGGGGCGGGCGGCGGGGGCGGCGGGTGCCTGGTGGGCGGCGCGGGGCGGCGGCGCGGGGACCTGCTGCTGCGGACCGTACACGTGCTCGAGCTCGCCACCAAGCTGTTCCTCGTCGTGCAGAACGCGGTGCGCGCGCCGCCCATAGTCTGCGTCGCCAGGGAGTGAGTACCCCGCATGCAGCATGCGGCATGCGGCGGGGGCGGGCGGCGGGGGCGGCGGGTGCCTGGTGGGCGGCGCGGGGCGGCGGCGCGGGGACCTGCTGCTGCGGACCGTACACGTGCTCGAGCTCGCCACCAAGCTGTTCCTCGTCGTGCAGAACGCGGTGCGCGCGCCGCCCATAGTCTGCGTCGCCAGGGAGTGAGTACCCCGCATGCAGCATGCGGCATGCGGCGGGGGCGGGCGGCGGGGGCGGCGGGTGCCTGGTGGGCGGCGCGGGGCGGCGGCGCGGGGACCTGCTGCTGCGGACCGTACACGTGCTCGAGCTCGCCACCAAGCTGTTCCTCGTCGTGCAGAACGCGGTGCGCGCGCCGCCCATAGTCTGCGTCGCCAGGGAGTGAGTACCCCGCATGCAGCATGCGGCATGCGGCGGGGGCGGGCGGCGGGGGCGGCGGGTGCCTGGTGGGCGGCGCGGGGCGGCGGCGCGGGGACCTGCTGCTGCGGACCGTACACGTGCTCGAGCTCGCCACCAAGCTGTTCCTCGTCGTGCAGAACGCGGTGCGCGCGCCGCCCATAGTCTGCGTCGCCAGGGAGTGAGTACCCCGCATGCAGCATGCGGCATGCGGCGGGGGCGGGCGGCGGGGGCGGCGGGTGCCTGGTGGGCGGCGCGGGGCGGCGGCGCGGGGACCTGCTGCTGCGGACCGTACACGTGCTCGAGCTCGCCACCAAGCTGTTCCTCGTCGTGCAGAACGCGGTGCGCGCGCCGCCCATAGTCTGCGTCGCCAGGGAGTGAGTACCCCGCATGCAGCATGCGGCATGCGGCGGGGGCGGGCGGCGGGGGCGGCGGGTGCCTGGTGGGCGGCGCGGGGCGGCGGCGCGGGGACCTGCTGCTGCGGACCGTACACGTGCTCGAGCTCGCCACCAAGCTGTTCCTCGTCGTGCAGAACGCGGTGCGCGCGCCGCCCATAGTCTGCGTCGCCAGGGAGTGAGTACCCCGCATGCAGCATGCGGCATGCGGCGGGGGCGGGCGGCGGGGGCGGCGGGTGCCTGGTGGGCGGCGCGGGGCGGCGGCGCGGGGACCTGCTGCTGCGGACCGTACACGTGCTCGAGCTCGCCACCAAGCTGTTCCTCGTCGTGCAGAACGCGGTGCGCGCGCCGCCCATAGTCTGCGTCGCCAGGGAGTGAGTACCCCGCATGCAGCATGCGGCATGCGGCGGGGACAGGCAGCTGGTGGGCGGCGCCGGGACCTGCTTCTAGTTTACATTAAATTTTAAATCAGGATAAGCAACGTGCATCATGCATTCATAAATAACAAAAAATATAAGTGCCCGGTCCATGTAGATTTTTTCTAGTAAAATTTTATTTAGATAAAATACATGAGTTCAAAATATCAAACACCGATCATTTCGTTGAGACTCTTTTAAGGGATATATTATAATAATGAAAAATCAAATAAACTTTTAAAATCTGCGATCGTTCGGAAATGGGTTTTTTGTCAATGAATATTTCAGGCGTGTCGGCACTATGTCGATATAAAACTGGTATATATGTATGTATACAGATTCGAGGTGAACCTGGGCCCCCAGACGGTGACGGTATCGTTTCACGCGGCGCCGCACGAGCCGGCCGCCGCCCCGCCCGCCCCGCCCGCCCCGCCCGCCCCGCGCCTCGTGCGACGCGGCTCCCGGCTCGACGTGCTCGTCTGACTATCCGATCACCTCATGTGAGACAACCCAACGATACTAAACACCATACATACACCGCGTGCGCTCAAAATGTGTCCCAAACAACAAGTGTTTGAACGCCCCTCGAGCACATCTCAGTTCACAATCCGGCGCAGATCGTTGAAAAATCAAGATACCGCAGACCTCCGTGAAAAAATGTAAAAAAAAATGTGTATGTCAGCTCCGACGCACGACTGGAGTTTACTTCTTAAGTTCGATAGTCAAACCGGACGCAAAAAGAGTTTATTTAACTTAAAAAAGATTGATACTGTATGAAACGGTAAATTAACAAATTAATGAAAATAATATCCATATATCAATATATATTTATTCATTTCATATACATTTATTATAACTAATCGACGAAATATTTTACATTAAACTTTTTACACTAGTCAATTTCAGATGTGCATAAATAAAGGTACGCTACGATACTGTGCTACGGTGTAGCACTACGGCTGCGACAGCGTAGACAGTAAAAACGTAACGAGGTCATTCATCGATAGATTTCACTCCTCACATTTTTCTCATACCGGGCCCTTTATATATGCAAATCGATTCTTAACGAGTAAACTCCAAAAATTATAGTATGTAAAGTATTGTTTTTTCGACAGGTATCTTCAGTGTTAGTTTACTGACGCATTTGAAGCAAATTTTGTTCTAATACTTATCATAAACTGATTTAATGAAAACAAAATTGTGATATTCAAATTCATGATCTGTTATATAGCCATCTCTTGCTCGCGTTCCGTAGCTCTTATATTGTTAACGGCTCGTTCAGAATTGTGCGAAGTGTCATAGAAAAATGATCTGTATTATTCCGCATATAGCAATAAGAAGTAAAATTTTACAAGCTTGCATTTCGAACTGTCGGAACTCTTTGACGCATGCGTTTTAATTGAGACTTTGTAAAGTATATATCAAAGATGACTTTCAATGTTTAAATAATGCCTTATATTGTTTTTGACAACGCGATCATTTCACGGAGCTCCGAAGATCGTCCAATGTACCTTTTGGGCAGGTTTTAGGCACGATTTTGTTCATGTTACTGTATCTAGGATTTTTAATATCGTTGGAGACAACCTTACTATACCGTACAGTACGCGCCACGGAAGATAACACTTGACGAGCGCCGGTCCCGGTCCCGCGCCCGGTCCCGCGCCCGGTCCCGCGCCCGGTCCCGCGCCGCGCTCTCTATCCGGTCGCCCGGTTGGCTCGCCCGGTCCGTTTCCCCCTCAGACCTCATTCCGCTAAAGAGACCTAAATCCTCTCCTACGCATGTCAAACCATGCGGTGCATTAAGTCTCATCTTTCGTGGCGCGTATTGTACTATATTGTCTGTACTCAACGAATAACAAATTATATGGAATACGAACTGCGCTAAAACTTGGTTCCACGCAAACTGTAACAAAGTGGGCGGGGCGAAAAAAAATGCGATCAACACATCGATCATGAGATTGGTTGGGAGTTCCGTGTCCATAACGATATCTTACAATGAATAAATAGTCGAATTGAATACGATATATTCTGTCAATTTGTTATGTTTTGTCTGTGTGCGTGTCGCGTTAGTATGAGTTTGCAACCATGTTTTAACGGATTTTGTTAGAGAGTAATGCTTCCATATGATTTCTAATTCGTTGGCTGTATTGTACTATACTGATACTGCCTCGGCTAAACTCGACCTTGTGCGCACGGTAATGGACGCATACAGTATTGTAACTTGGCCGTTTTTTTTAATTAACTACCTACGGCCGTGCGTTGCGTAAACACGTGACAGGAGCGCCCGCCTACAGTACTTAAAATAATTTCATCCTCATCGTTTATTGCAAATGTTATACTACTTTTATATAAAAATATAAATTCGTTATAAATGTATGGAAATATTCTATAAAAAACATTTTGTGTATTTAGTTAAATTTTATTCTGAAAACGGCTCAGTTGAGATTTACCCAAAACAAAACAAAAAACCGCGCGATGTAGTATTTTTTTGTTATATTAAGTGAGTTCTCGTATTTAACTATCACCCAGCTTGATCGTCCTTGAAACCGTCTGTATAAAGTTGCAATACTGTCAGATATCATTACCGTGCTGTAGTCGTCAAGTCGAAGCCGAACATAGCTTTCGATAAGAAGTGTTTTCCATGCGTCTCTCGCTTTGTAATTAAAATGCTAGAAATGTATAGCGATGCTGTGACCGGTGTTCAATGATTTGTTAATCTACTCGTCGAATGTAAAATTTTAAGAACTAATCGAGTAATGTTAAGTCGCGATCCACTAGTCGTTAAATTAAAATTAAGTCAAGGCCGACCCGACCTTTCGACTCTGTCAAGGCTCACGCGAATCCGCCGGCGCATCATCCTTTCGGACGGACCGCGTCTCTTCGCTGCCAAATATTATAATTTAGTCGATAATGGTGCCTATGATAATCAAAATTACTAGATATTGTAAGCGGCGGTTCGCATCGACGACGAACGGGCCTCGCGTCGAGTCCCCGCGCGGGGAGACCGTCGACGGCACAAACTAACATAGATGTGAACGGTCCGCGGCGGCACTGGCAGTGTTCCGTCACCGTCACTGTGACGCGACAAACTCAGTACAATGGTCGCGCTCCTCGCGCCGGACATCCGAGCGCCAACACATATCGTGTCGTATTCCAGCCGCGTGTCGCGTGTCACGTGCTGCGTGTCGCGTGTCGCGTGTCACGCGTCACGCGTCACGCGTGGTGGTTATCGACGTGGACGCACAGCCGCGTACGAACGCATCCCACGCACGCGCCCGCGCCGCAATGAGGCGCGTATGTTATAACTCATGAGCAGTGTTGCCAGGTCCAATTTTTTTAAAACGCAGTCCCCTTTCCCTCCTGGGATTGGTGAATCAAATCGAGATGTAGGCCAGTACCGAATGTGTTTCTGTGGCTTCTGCCGTCCCTCGAAGCTGATGATTTTTTTTAGACAATGATAAATTTATTTTATTATAATTAAGACTATCTACATTCTTGCGATTCCAAAAAGAAAATCGTATCCTAAGAAAAGCAGTCAGATTCATGTAGAAAAACAGATGAACAGGAGAAATTTCAGAAATACAGATAAAATAATCTCCTATAAAACGGTGAGAGCTGGCAACCCCGCTCGTGAGCTCGGGCGTTGTTGATGATAGTTGTAGGTGATAGTTACGACACACGGCGGCCTTCGCTCCGGGTCGCTTTACAGACCGCGGCCGCGCTCGCTCCGCGAACGATGCGTACGTTCCGAGTGACGGTTTCCTATTTAAGGCTAGCCGAAATAAGTTAGATTTAAGTCGAGTTGAATAATTGAAGAGTCTAAAGTTTGAGATGTACTACCGCGTTTCACGATGGTCGACCAATAATTGTTTATTGAATTTGAAGGTTTAAGAGATATAAAGGTTGAAAAATTAAATTTTAATAAAGTGCTCGTAATTGATGTCTGAATTGATTTAATTCTCTTATCGTCTCTCTCCGAACGTGTCCCTCGTCCTCGCCGACCACGTCTGTCAGTTGTTTGTGCGAGTCCTGCGCTCGTTTCCTAATATGTAGGACTGAACAAGTCATATTATTATTATTGTAATCGACTTAAGTAGCGATTAAGCCTTTTAGAGATCGCATTAGATGAAGAAGCCGAGTTTGTGAATTGTTACCTGTTACGCCGGATACTGGCGGCGTACTCCGCGCCGCACTCGCGGCTGTTGTATCGCTCGGTTGTAAGTGTATTTCTCTTTATGTATTTTCCCTTAATATTGTAAAGGTAGATTGGGATCGTGACGACTGCGCAGGCGCCCGCTATACTGATGCCTGTTTCGCGACAATATGGTGACTTCTTGTTTACAATGTAATCGTTGCAATAAAAACTGCCGCGGTTGCCTGTTGCTTTCGTACAGATCCAAAGTCAACCTTAGGCCGAATATCCAATGTCCACAGAGGCTCTCGGCCGCGCTTGTGGTAGACTTTATAAAAATTTGTGTATCAACAATCAGTATTATCAGTCAACTAAGACAGCTAAGATAACTATCTCAGTGCTTCATCGGTGCGATATGCGCATATAACAAATCTTTAATGCTTCAAAATACTTCATTTCGGTGCTTTAGTACACCCTTACTGAAAATAATCAACGTGGATGAGCTTTCTGTGGACATAACAGTGTGGACACGCAGCCGGCCGGCGGCGCTCCGCAGAGGTATGGCCTTTTTGTTGAATCATTCGTTCGATACATTATATATTCGTTTAGCTAACTTTTGAATAAAATTCCATACTTTGCTTACTGGTGATTTAAATACAAACTGCGTCTGTTGCAATTTTTTCCTCTACAACGTGGCGTCTGATGTCACGCTCCTGTCATTCTAATTGACAAACATGTGACGTCATTTTAAGCTCAGCCAATCATAGGTGATTTTGTTATTGTGACAATAGGTCAGTTTCATGATTCTGATGATAATATAGATGATAATTTATACTTTACCGAACCAATTACGAATTTATTCAAATTCGAAGAAAATTAACAAACATTATTTGATGCAAAACAAATGATTCAAAAATAGTGCAATGTATTGTGTACAATCGGGCGGTTCGCTCGCTGCGTGCCGCGTGCCACGTGCCAGCTGGAGTGTCGCTCGGTGGTATTCACGGACAAACAGAAATGACTAAACGACGTTCCCATTAAATTGATAACTCTAGAAAGAGAAAAGACAGCCAATGCCTGTACGAAGAATGAGCCGGGTGATTGCTTGTTCGTGTTGGCCAGGGAAGGTTCAGTCCATTCTGTGTGTCGAGTGTTGTAGTGTAACATTGCAGGCGCCGCCGGCCCGCCGCCTCCCGCCTGCCGCCTGCCGCCTGCCGCCTGCCTCAGGGCGCGCCTCACAAGTGCCAACATACTATGTAAACGTTGCGTTATGTTTTCACTGGTTAATATTATGATAATTATGAAGATACTGTTTTATCGTTTTTAATAAAACAACACGTTTTGAATAATTGTTATTTAATTTACCTTAATTATACAGGCTGTTACAGAATTCCGAAAGAAAATTTGTAGGTATGTATTCCGAAATAATTTTTTTTAGGTATCTGAGCGGGACGCAGGGGCGCCTGGGGGAGAGAGGGGGGTCTGTTTCGGTAGTAGTAATCGTACGCATTTATAGGGTTGTCATAGGCAGGTGTAAAACGATATTATTATTAATTTAATAAGAAAATAAAAGTGGTTTGAAAGGCGTCAAACTTTCGTAGGTAATTCTATACAAAGAACACAACCAAACCCTAAAGTTTTATTTCGGACTTTTGTCACACCCTGTATATTACCTGGATTGACGGTCTAACGGCCGATCCCAATATTCAATCTTAGTCGGAAAACTCCAATCAAGCTTGAAACGCTCCAATAAAATCGAGCTGCCGCTCAACAGCTAGTCGAAGGATGTTTTATATGGGAAATTAACAAGGAAAATCCAGTACATTATATTCACACAAACTTTTATTACTAATTTGATAACAAAATATTCGATACATTTTAGATACATACAATACGAAAACAATCAAAATGTCTTGAATAAGTAGGTATTAGTACACAACCTTATGTTAAAGAATTACAGATACGAAGTGGTAACCGCGTAGCGCCGATTCATGCCTTTACATATTTGTAATTGTTTAAATATTCTTCTTTAACGCACCATGAAAAAGTTGATGGTCCGGACTCTAATAAAGGAACAATCAGTTGGACTTGTAACGCAGTTTTGTTCGCATCACTCAAATGATGTTATTCCGTGAACAGAGACAAAAAACAGCATAACAAATCCAAACTTATTGTTCATGAATATTCATAAGGGTGTCCTCGATCTTGACAGTAGTACTTGCTATCAATCTCCTCACAGCTAAGATGTCGATCTCATTTAACGATTGTCAAAAACAACAGACCAGCAACTTCTTCGATAGTGCGTTTCTTGACGATTAATGCAAATAACATACGCAACTCGCGCTGGGTACACCTCCATGGAACATAATGAAGTGTATCGTAGGAATTCACCTGTCATCATTATTAAGTTTTACATGGGAATTCAATGCATGGTTTTCACAATAACTATTTTAGCAGGCTCTAATTTACAAATTAAGGTTACCGTTTCATAAACTGCCCGATGACAAACTGGGTAAATTCCTACAATGCATATTTCTTCATTCCGTTTAGGCCTCGTCAGTGGATACAGTTTGATATAGATAACATCTTTATTGCATTGCAATAACAGCGATATTCGTTGTAGGTAGGTACAAATGCGTCCACCGCAAAGACTGACAGGCCACGTCCATGTGGTTGGTTTCCATTCGATCAGAGCACAAATTGTAAGTTGTATTGTAATAGGCCAGCGACACGCAGACAACCAGACATTCTTATAAATAACTGCCGCGTGGACACTTCATTCAGTCTTCTCGTTACACTCAGCTCGTACAGAACTTTACTAACAACTTAACCTCTATTAGGACATAATGTTTATGTAAATACAATTTAGACCATCATAGTAGGCCCCGAAACATTATACTGATTGCAACTGAAAAAGAGATCGTACTGAGTTTTACAGTATGAAAAGTTACAAAGCAAACATCACAGTAGGGGACTTCACGCGGACTAGCTATAGTCAATCTGACAACGCAACAAAAATATACGTATTACAATACCAAACTGTAAACCATAGGAGACAGCGGGCTGACTCAATATACTCCTGGATGAGCAGACAGTTAATACTGATATGCCGCGAAAATTAAGAATTCCTAAAACCTTTCAGTCGAAAGTACGTTAATGGACCCAAATACGACGATACAGTTGGTAAATCAAGTTGGCTAACATTAGATATCTAATTTCATTACGCTACTTTTCAATTTATTCCTAATAAATACAGATCAAAACCGTAACCACGATAAATGTCATCTTCAATATAATGTATAACGAGTAAACAACGATAGATATGTCTCTATAATTTAGGTACTTTTTTGACGATACAAAATTTACTTTTATCTAAAGGCGAACCACCAAAGCGTGACAGACGCGGGGTTTATTGGTTAAAAACCTAGATAAACACTGTTCCACCGGGTCGGACCGCAGTGGAAGTCCGCATTACCTGAAAAGCCTTATTCCCTAGTAATACTTAGTGCTGTGCTGTAGTGGAATAGATTTTTACTAATTCCTAGGTATGTGGAGAGTCGTTGGGGCCATCTTGCTGGGGCTATGGTTATCGGATGTATTGAAGCGTGATGGCATTCGAAGTAGGGTGGGGAGGAGTAGAGTTGCAGGCGAGTGTGGGTGTTGATGGCGCGGGAATCACTTGATGGAGCAGGCGAAGTGCGCGCGCAGCCGCCGTGCCGCTCCACAGGAGGGGGGGGAGGAGTAGAGTTGCAGGCGAGTGTGGGTGTTGATGGCGCGGGAATCACTTGATGGAGCAGGCGAAGTGCGCGCGCAGCCGCCGTGCCGCTCCACAGGAGGGGGGGGAGGAGTAGAGTTGCAGGCGAGTGTGGGTGTTGATGGCGCGGGAATCACTTGATGGAGCAGGTGAAGTGCGCGCGCAGCCGCCGTGCCGCTCCACAGGAGGGGGGGGGGGGAGGAGTAGAGTTGCAGGCGAGTGTGGGTGTTGATGGCGCGGGAATCACTTGATGGAGCAGGTGAAGTGCGCGCGCAGCCGCCGTGCCGCTCCACAGGAGGGGGGGGGGGGAGGAGTAGAGTTGCAGGCGAGTGTGGGTGTTGATGGCGCGGGAATCACTTGATGGAGCAGGTGAAGTGCGCACGCAGCCGCCGCAGTGCCGCCGCGCCGCTCGACGACGTCTCCTGTCATGCCACGGACACGTTTTAATCGGACATGGATTATGTATCTCAAACGTACGGTCTTGATCACAGATTATTGTTTCATTAATGTCGCTACTGCTGGGGCACAGACTTTCCCTATGGATGGAATAGGGAGATTGGGCCATGACCCACCACGCAGGCCCAGTGCGTGGCCAGTGGTGTGTGGTAACTGCAGAAGCAGGCGGGACTAACGGCTTAAAATGCCTTCCGAAGCACGGAGGAGCTCGAGATAGTAAATTTTTTGTCAACCATCTTATGACCGACCACTGTGAAAATTGCTTAAATTTAACGATCGCAGCCAAACGCGCTAACCGTTGCGCCGTAAAACGAAATATTTTCCTACGGCATCATTCTACACCATTACACCCCTGTGGAGCTCTGGACCCGACACAGAAGGAACATGCATCAGAATATTGCTATTTGCTCTTAAATCTTAGAGAATAGCTGCTGCTAAAGGTACCCTTTGCCCAGGATTTCTCGTACGATGGCTACATAGTGCACAGTGGAGTTCTGCCTATATTGTAGGGAATGAAGGAGGACCCATCTGGGAGAAGACTAGATTTTTATGATCCTGCTATAGAAAAAGTCTTTTATTTTGAAATCAGTCGTCAGTTACTTGTTATAAACAATTTTAAAAAATAGGGTGAATGCACAATTGGAAAGTAAGTAAAAATAACGCTTACGTGGAAAGTTGTTGAAGGTGAAACGTCATTATCGTTTTCCAGGTCATCTGAAAGACAAAGTGTGAAATATAAATACCCTTACTCTTTTCTGACTATGAAACTCAACTACATTATTTAGTACATGTCTCGACAAATATTTTTAAAAATGTACTTTATAATAAGTCAAACATTTCTTGAGTGGATTCGAACCCACGATATTTTGCTATCTGCAACTCCTGGCAACCGCATTGAAGAACACACCGCAATGCTAATAAATGAGTTTATTTTATTCATAGGTCCGATCTAATGATTCGCCGCATTTGATGATAGTGACGGTGGAGTCCAGACGCGAGTTTATAGACGAGAAAATAGTTTGCTTCGATACTAAACATAATGTAGGTATTAAAAAAACGAGCGAGCCTTACAATAGTCGCGTACGATGTGTAACGTTTGAAACCTCACCTTTTATTAATAAAAAAAGAATCAAAAATTACTACTAAAAGAAATAAGCCATTTGAACATTATGTTCTTAAATAAAATCAAATAGCGCGCGCTTCCCAAACTTCCTGTTACACACTTCCGTCCCACTTCACGTAATCACTCCCACAAATTGCATGAAAGTAAGAGCAAAGTTGTTACACATCAAAAACTCGGCCGCAGCTCATGCACGCGTTTAGTGGCCGTCACTAGAGGCTCAATGTGCGCTTGCTCTAAAGCTATGCACGTGAACAGCAGTCGTGATTGAATAGGCTTACCCGGCGTAACATGTACAGCCGCGGAGGCAGACGAGGGTGGTTGGTTGCCGTTGTTGTCGTGGCTGGCGGAGGCGGGTCGGTCACCGCTAGAGGAGTCGAGCTCGAGGGAGGACTGCGACGCGCCCGAGCCCGAGCCCTCCCCCTCAACTTCCCCCTCCCCCTCCGACGAAGTCCATCCGCCCGACCACCCCGCACCGCCCTTGTCACAACCAAACCGTCATGAAAATCATTTAACAATCATTTTTCGAAGTGAATGTCACTAAAATATTTTCCGCGTTTGCTTTTTTATTGTTATTAGAAAAATCAGTCTGTCAACAAACATCTGTGGTTCAGTGACAGAAAGCTCACCTTCCAAGCAGGCGTCCCAGGTTTGATACCAACCGAAAAAAACTTTATGTTTTCAATTTTCATAAGTCAGAGTAATATCTACTATAACAGTAATATTGATTATAAGTAGGTATTAACACTCTAAAGTTTCACTCGTATCGTGAATCCAGGATTCCATGCCCTTCGATCAACAATAACGCAGAACTTTTTTATAAATGAAAAGTTTGTACATTAAGCAATTTTCACACTTGCCGGTCATGAGACGAGTGACCATAAATTTATTATCACGAGCTTCTCCGTGCTTCGAACGGAAGGCATGTTAAGTAGTTGGTCATAGCTGCATCGGCGATTGTAAGCACCCACCGACCCGTAATAGCCCTGCCTGGTGGGTTGGCATAGCCTATTCTATCCATAGGAAAGGCCTATGCCCTATCAGTGGCGCCATCATTAACAGGTTGAAGTGATAGAATAAAGAATGATAAATATGTTTACAAACCCGATGACTCCGTACAGGTGAAGTCATAATATAAGGCAGTAGTGGGGTGGCGCGAACCTATGACATGTTTGACTCACAGTGGGGTACGTGGGAACGCTGTCCTATAGGACGTATTTTATCGCGCCTAACTGTCAAACTCAACGATATTAAATACCCTAGATAAACCACGTGCACTCAAAATGTGTCCCAAACAAGAAATGCTTGAACACCACTCAAGCACCTATTGGTTCACAGTCACGCGCGGACTGCTGAAAAGTCAAGATGCCGCAGAGCTCCGTGAAAAAATACTTGTAGTACGTAAAGTGTCGTTTTTTCGACAGGTATAATCAATGTTTGTTAATTTAACACATTTAAAGCAAATTTTGTGCTAATTCTGACTATAAACTGAATAGAAAATATATGTGATATTCAAATGTATGGTCGGTAATATAGCAGTCTCTTTTACTCGCGGTCCGTACCTGCTATTTTGCTGACAGCGTATTCAAAATTGCGCGTAGAGACAAAGAAATAAGGTATATTCTTATTTTATATTATAATTAGGATAATGTTATATTATTCCGCATATAGCATTATCTCGTAAACAAGCTTGCAATTCGATCTGTCATAAGTCTTTAGGGTAGTTCTCTGATTTCGTGCAAATCGCCTTTACTTACTAATAAAAAAATATATCATGTAAATACAAACATTTCTTTACAGACATATGAACGGAAATACGTTAAGCTAGGAATGCCCCGAATATAAAAATAATATGTTAAACGACAGAAAAGATACAATAATTTTTCAGGTCAAAATCTCACTACCTTCAGTGTCTTAAACAAGGATATTTGTGAAAACCACATAAAAATTCAAAGATTGCATTGTTTTACAGACGTATGATTTATATATAAAATCACACACATCCTAACGATTAATTATGTCGCATTTCATAGATAATATACTCTTCCATGTATTAAAAAAAAAATATCGTAAATTTGTCACGGAAAAAAGTTGATTACCTTCAGCCGTTCTTTAAACAGTTCTTGTTCCTAATCTGTGCACACCAGGATTACGCACCCCCTCGGCCCTGCGCTCACGTCGCTCAGTCGACCCAATAACATCAAGTAGGGAGGACGCGCGCCCAATTTACCATAGTTATAGGTAAAAAAGTGAGCGGGATTTTCGTTTGTCACGAGTTTATATTCTTTACCAGGAACCGCATTGCGAGGTAAGTACTATGAATTTTTCATTAAATCTATCATGCATTTGAAACTTGTAAGGACACGTTGTGTTATTTAACTGTTAATACTTATATCTATATTTAAATAAGGCATTTGAAAGCAAATATTGCAAAAAAATCATTACCCTCAGTATCATTACCTTCAATTACCTTCAGTTTTCAATTTGAAGGTAATGATATAAAATTGAAGGAGGTGATATTTCGTAATAATTTTTAAATTCAATGTTGAATTTTTATTAGGACTAAGTAATGGGACAAAGCATCTTATTTATAATATAATATGTTATAGTAAATATATTGGCGCACTACACTTATGACCTACTAAGTGTGATATCCATTTATTTCAAGTCGCTAACTACAAGTAATCAATAACATTTTAGACATTATTATTAGTTTAAAAGTTTTTGAAGAGCCAGCCTTCATTTGCTTAGTAACTAAATTAAATTGTTGTAATGAATTGAGTAAAATATACAATCTAAAAGATATCAAGATAAAATGATTTTTAATGACTTTCAATGGCTTGAAAATTGATAACGTGCCCATGAATAATAAATATACTCACACTTTTGTTTCACGAAAAATAAAATATGTTAATTTTTTATTTTCATTCTTTTTCTATGTTTCGATTATGGGTAAAATCATTTTATTTAATATTTCATTATATATATAAAACCTTAAAAAAGATACATTTCTTTTTCAGCAAGCAGTATGGCGAAGATTAAAAATAAAAAAACACGAGAAGAAAAATTAGCTCAGGCTAGGCGCCACAAAAAAGAAAAGTACGAAGAATTGAAGAAGGATCCTATTAAATATGCTGAACAAAAAGAAAAAGAAAGATTAAGGTACCTGAAACGAAAAGAACAAAATAAAATCAAAAACATTAAAGACTTAACTCCAAGGCAACAAAGGTTGCAAAGGAAAAAATGGCGTGAAAATGCTAAAAAATATACTGAAAAAAAGAAGAGAAACAAACAGATAGAACAAATGTTGATTGAAAACTCTCCTCCTACAAGCGATTCAGAAGAAGTCAATGCTAGAAATGAACATCCTCAAACACAAGATTTGGACCCTCTAGAAGGTTCATCAGAAAAGAAAGAAAATCTAGAAGCGGCATGCACAGACTGTATTCAATATAAAAGAAAACTGAGAAGATTGCGATACTTACATGTGAAAAAACTTGGGATTTTGAAAAAGAAACTTGAAAGGGAAAGAAATAAACGAAAATCCTTAAATAAAAAGCTAGAAAGAGTAAGATTCGATAATAAAAGGTCTCAGAAAAATAATCCGTCAACAGAAGAGAAAGTGGACTCACTGATTTCTAATATAAATGAAAATAGTAAAGAACAAATAAAAAAGAAATTAATATTCGGTGAGGTTTTGAAAAAAGAATTAACTAAAGGGTTCCAAACTTTAAAGAAGAAAGATAGGCGTCAATTTAGCAATATAGTAGTAAAGGACAGGGAAAATTTTAAGAAACATAAAATATTGCTTTCTACAAGTTCTTTTACAGTAAGAAACAGCAAATTAGAAGCTGAGATTGCAGAAAACAATATTAAACAAGACGTGAATGACTTCTTTGAAGAGGATGACAATAGTAGACTTGCGGCAGATAAAAAGGAATACATTAAAAAGGGCAGAATAACTAAACAAAAACGCTATCTTTCGGATACGTTGATTAATCTCCATAAAAAATTTTTGGCTACTCATAGTTATGCTCTTGGATATTCAACGTTTTGCAGAATTCGACCATTTTGGATCGTTTATCCAAAAGAATCCAACAGAAATACTTGTTCGTGCATAGTACATATCAATATGGATCTTTTGATTAAATCTCTCCAAAAACACAAAATAATAAGAGAAACAAACGGTTCTCTATTACTTGAGAGCCTTTGTTGTGATATTCGCAGCGAAAATTGTTTGAGCAGAAGATGTGAGACATGTTCTAAAAGAGTAATTAATTATTTGGAATTCGAAAATAATAAATACATTAAATATCACGAATGGGGTACACAAATTGTTAAATATAATGTTAAAGGAGAAGATAAATATTCAAAGAAAACAACAAAGTTGCAACTGCAAGATCTGCCCCGTAATTTGATTAAAAAACTTGAAGATTCATTGCCACACTATTTGAAACATTCTCTAAATGTTATCGTACAGTATAAAAATATTGACGCACTTAAAAAGTCCTTGACTCCTAAAGAAGTACTCATTCATATGGACTTTTCAGAAAACTACAACACTAAGTTTCATGAAGAAGTTCAAAGTCGACATTTTGGTAGTAGTCCAGAACAAATTACTCTACATACTTCAGTATCTTACCTTATTGAACCTGAAACGGGATTGTTAAAAACATACAGTATGTGCACAGTTAGTGATTGCTGTAGACATGACGCGGAAGCTATATGGGCCCATGTGATCCCAATATTAGAACATGTCAAAGATGTTACTCATATTGATACAGTACATTTTTTAACTGACAGCCCATCGAGTCAGTACCGCAACCGAAAAATATTTTATATCATCAGTCAGCTCCAGCAACAGTTTCCAGAATTAAAAGCAGTCTCTTGGAATTATTTGGAGAGTGGGCATGGTAAAGGTGCTCCCGACGGTATTGGCGCCGTCATTAAGCGAACAGCTGACAGTACTGTCCGTTTTGGGAACGACCTTGGAACCTTACAAGACTTTTGGAACATCCTAAAGCTAAAAATTAAAAACGTGGAGTTGCGTATGATCACATATGAAGATATCGAGGACAAAAAAATACCGAAAACTGTTAAAATGTTCAAAGGCACAATGCAAGTGCACCAAGTACTGTGGTCTTCATCTAGCTTAAGCATGACTTTTAGAAAACTAAGTTGTTTTTTTTGTCCGAATGGCTGCATATGTACTCACGGATATCGTTTAGGCTATATGGACATCTTAAAAGATGCCAATTGTATAAATCAGCAACAAGATCAAATCTTGCAAGAATTTCTTGACTCCAATACCACTCCAGAACTTATAGAAAACTCATCTGAAAGAATACTAGCTGAAAATGTAATAGGGAGTAACGAGAATTTAGAAGGGAAATTAACTTCAAAACATATAGACCCCCTGGCAAAAATTACAAAATCTCCGAAAGTAATGATACTTTCTGATGTTCGTTTAGATTGGACAAACACTCCGTTTTACAAACCAAACCAGGCTATAAAAACTTGTGCTACGAAGAACTTTTTTAACGCATTTACGGAATTTATAACGAATGAAGGACAGTCAAGTAGTACTGGGAATTCTTTAAAAGAAACTTATAAAATAAAAAGTGTAGAAGACAAGGAAAATGAAATTGGAATAAGAGAATATGAAAGTAGCGATGACGACGAGTTTAAAATATTTTGATTGTGTATTTACATCGATGCCTATGCGTCATAGATATCTAACGTTTATTTAGACTATTATGTTGGCACTATCCCACTTGATTAATAGTGCTAACAGAATAGTCAAAACAACCGTTGACGTTCGATTTTTTTACTGAATTTTAATTTCGATAATATGGTTTTTAGAAGAAAGAAATATTTTTGTTATCTTTGTTTTAAGTTAGACGCAAAAGCTGCCGACGACGGAGACTATAAATATTAAACTAATAATTAGTTAGCGGGTTTTAATTTAAAAAAAATGACAAGTTTTATGAAAGTATTTTATGCTTTTTTTATTTTCAGAAACAGAAATTTTATATGAAAGTAAAGATTAGAAACCAAAGACATGATTAAGTTCCTACTAAGAGTAAGAAAATTTACTTATTAAAGAATTGTCAATTAAAAATGTTATTTGTTTTCTCTTCAATGATAATAAATGTTGATTTATACATAATTAAGCATTTTATATCAATTTAATACTGGTTTTAGGTATCACACTAAAATTATATCATTACCAGAAAACTTTATTTCATTACCTTATAACCAGCAATCCTTACCAGCAGACAAGAAATCATTACCTTCATGAGTTTAAATTTCAGAAGCTTATAACTTCCAAATTTATGGGTGCAATTACGTATAATTACGTCACGATACATAATTATAGCTTTATAATGATTTTATGATGAATTTTTCAACATTTAAAAGTTTCTCTAATTTTGCCGCGATTTACTCGAAATAAGAGAACTACCCTTTAACACATACGTTTTAATTAAGACCTTATACAGTATGCATTAACGGTGACTTTAAATGTTTACGTCATGCCTTATATTGTTTTTGACTACTACGCGATCATCTTACGGAGCTCCGTGGATTGTCCCATGTACCTTTTGGACAGGTTGCGGCCACGATGTTGTTGTATCTAGGATATTTAATAACGTTGGTGAAACTGTCAATTTGTCAACGTTAACGTTGGTCAAACTAGAAATATGACAATTGAGCGTGCTGCGTGATAAAAACGAGCTATTTATCATATCGTGGTATGGGCTAGGCAGGCACAATTTGCATTCTATCACGTTTTTTTATCGCGTCATTGTCAAAATCTCCGGCGCTCCGCTGCTGTCCTGTGTGTGTGTGTATGGGTGTATGTGTCAGTACTCACGAGCCTGGAGTGCGGCTCTATGGAGCGGGGGCGAGTGCGAGCGGGAGGCGGGGGCTCCGCTGCTGTCCTGTGTGTGTGTGTATGGGTGTATGTGTCAGTACTCACGAGCCTGGAGTGCGGCTCTATGGAGCGGGGGCGAGTGCGAGCGGGAGGCGGGGGCTCCGCTGCTGTCCTGTGTGTGTGTGTATGGGTGTATGTGTCAGTACTCACGAGCCTGGAGTGCGGCTCTATGGAGCGGGGGCGAGTGCGAGCGGGAGGCGGGGGCTCCGCTGCTGTCCTGTGTGTGTGTGTGTATGGGTGTATGTGTCAGTACTCACGAGCCTGGAGTGCGGCTCTATGGAGCGGGGGCGAGTGCGAGCGGGAGGCGGGGGCTCCGCTGCTGTCCTGTGTGTGTGTGTATGGGTGTATGTGTCAGTACTCACGAGCCTGGAGTGCGGCTCTATGGAGCGGGGGCGAGTGCGAGCGGGAGGCGGGGGCTCCGCTGCTGTCCTGTGTGTGTGTGTGTATGGGTGTATGTGTCAGTACTCACGAGCCTGGAGTGCGGCTCTATGGAGCGGGGGCGAGTGCGAGCGGGAGGCGGGGGCTCCGCTGCTGTCCTGTGTGTGTGTGTATGGGTGTATGTGTCAGTACTCACGAGCCTGGAGTGCGGCTCTATGGAGCGGGGGCGAGTGCGAGCGGGAGGCGGGGGCTCCGCTGCTGTCCTGTGTGTGTGTGTGTATGGGTGTATGTGTCAGTACTCACGAGCCTGGAGTGCGGCTCTATGGAGCGGGGGCGAGTGCGAGCGGGAGGCGGGGGCTCCGCTGCTGTCCTGTGTGTGTGTGTATGGGTGTATGTGTCAGTACTCACGAGCCTGGAGTGCGGCTCTATGGAGCGGGGGCGAGTGCGAGCGGGAGGCGGGGGCTCCGCTGCTGTCCTGTGTGTGTGTGTATGGGTGTATGTGTCAGTACTCACGAGCCTGGAGTGCGGCTCTATGGAGCGGGGGCGAGTGCGAGCGGGAGGCGGGGGCTCCGCTGCTGTCCTGTGTGTGTGTGTATGGGTGTATGTGTCAGTACTCACGAGCCTGGAGTGCGGCTCTATGGAGCGGGGGCGAGTGCGAGCGGGAGGCGGGGGCTCCGCTGCTGTCCTGTGTGTGTGTGTGTATGGGTGTATGTGTCAGTACTCACGAGCCTGGAGTGCGGCTCTATGGAGCGGGGGCGAGTGCGAGCGGGAGGCGGGGGCTCCGCTGCTGTCCTGTGTGTGTGTGTGTATGGGTGTATGTGTCAGTACTCACGAGCCTGGAGTGCGGCTCTATGGAGCGGGGGCGAGTGCGAGCGGGAGGCGGGGGCTCCGCTGCTGTCCTGTGTGTGTGTGTATGGGTGTATGTGTCAGTACTCACGAGCCTGGAGTGCGGCTCTATGGAGCGGGGGCGAGTGCGAGCGGGAGGCGGGGGCTCCGCTGCTGTCCTGTGTGTGTGTGTGTGTGTGTATAGGTGTGTGTGTCAGTACTCACGAGCCTGGAGTGCGGCTCTATGGAGCGGGGGCGGCGGCGCGGGCGCGGGTGCGAGTGCGAGCGGGACGAGGAGCGGGAGGCGGGGGCTCCGCTGCTGTCCTGTGTGTGTGTGTGTGTGTATAGGTGTGTGTGTGTCAGTACTCACGAGCCTGGAGTGCGGCTCTATGGAGCGGGGGCGGCGGCGCGGGCGCGGGTGCGAGTGCGAGCGGGACGAGGAGCGGGAGGCGGGGGCTCCGCTGCTGTCGCTCAGACTGTCCTGCGGGGACGCGGTCAGCCCCGTACCTGCAGCGGCCTCGCCGCAACCCTCTGTTGATAATTTACCACGCATATTCAAATATCGCTTCTTTCAAGCTGTGTAAGTCGGTTCGTCAACATCTTAACCCACACCGTTTCCACACATCACACAAGTACATTCCGCTATTTTAGTAGGTAGGACATTGCCGATTCCATGCAACCACTAAGCTCCAAAGGTTTGCTAAGTAAATGGGCGGAAGGTGGTAGATGAAGCCTCACACAACCTTGTCGCCTTGTCCAACAGCGAAGTCTGCGTAACTTCACCGTGTCAAAAATAGGTTCTTACATAACTAACCTACCAGCAAACAATTTTTTACAATAGCAACGCTTTGGAATGTTTCAAAAAACTCGACTGCATTTTTTATAGTGAAAAGGGTGGCAATGGCAATCGAAATCACCTGACGGAAAACAGCTTCCTTAAGCTATTGTGACTTGCGAAACTGAGAGTGTCACTACGCGTTCCCTACCTAGACTCCATACTGTCACTAGTGGAGCTGAACTCTGAGAAACTTAAATCACAAAAACAATACACTGAAGAAGAGTGTTTTCTTATTACTAAAACTATAAGGTAATAGTAAAAAAAACAAAAAACGGGTCGCGCTACGGGCTCTTGCATTGCGCAGTCGGGTAAAAAGGTGCGCAGAAAAATAACGTTGAAAAAGGCTAGAACCTGCATTTAAATAGCTGAAATAAATGGTATATTAGGCTAAATTTGACTTAAAACGCGACAAAAGTAACAGTTTAAAAAAAGCATCATCAGTATCAGCTTATTAATTAATTTCCCAACTGCTGTAGCACAGGCCTTCCTTATGAGAGGAATTGGTAAATCGGGCCAAATGGAAGCATACCATTGTGGTTTTGTTGCTGGAGCTTGTGCTGCAGCAGCGGGTAGAAGCCGCGCGCGGTGGCATTGTGCGGCTCGTACTGCAGGATCAGGCGGCAGTACTTCAGCGCCTCCAGGTACTGCCGCCGCATTATCGCCGACAGGAACTACCCACATTATAACAACATCTTAAAGAACATAATAATTATATAAAAAAAAACGTTCTATACGTATAATTTAAACCCATGTTGGGCGCCAACTCATTCAGTGGTTTATTTGCATTGGAACGCAAAGAGGCAAAATCACTTAAGAAGTAACTACTCCAACGAGCGCTTTTTGATTTGATTTCTACAACTAGAATCACATAACACCTAAACCTACCTTAATTTATTTGACATAATTTGTAATTTGACATTATCTTCATTTTGAAATGTATTCTGATTTGACATTATGGTAAAATTGTTCCCGCCTGACATTTAATTTTTTTGACAGACATCTCATTTATTAAATTGTAATTTTAATTTAGATTAATATAAGTATTTAATTAACATTATTGGAATATTGAAATTAATAGTTAACTAAATGAAATAACATAGCATGTCAGCAAGACAGAATATGGCTAAATATAATTTGTATGTTTGTACACCACAATAACCTGTAATCACAATAAAAATGAATTGAATTTGAAGGCCTGTGGTAAGCTCTTAGCTCGAGATTTTCTTAAGCACGGGCAAAAACCGACAATGAACGGATCATCGCGAACATATTTCGATGCTTTTAAGACGTCAGTCGGGGCTTCAGTTCATAAACAATTTTAAGCAAAATACAACAGTACAATCAGTGCCATCTTTGACCAATTGGAGACCCTGGGCATATTAGGATAATGGGGCCCCTATGACTTCCGTTTGGTGATTTAACAGGAACTAGGGACTTTGTATTTGATCTGAGGATCAAAACCCTATCGATCGCGGGGCGGGGCCCCGGGCCCTTGTCCAAAGTGCCCAATGGAAAAGACGGGTCTGAGTACAATAAAATGTATGGGAGAACTTCAGGTGATGAAGATAATTATATGAGGCACAGCAGCTTGCGGCCACTCCTGCTTTGAATTCGCATTTGATAAAGCGGAGTGTGGGTGCAAACGCTCATGTACATAAAATGACTCACCTCGGCTAAGAATTCGCTAGGCGCAGAGACAGCGTCGTTGCCATCGGAGCAATCTTCAGGGCTGGTGGAGTATCGCGCGGGCGGGTCCATGGCGGGGGCGGCGGTTGCGGGCGGCAGCGTCACCACCAGGCGGTGTGGTGGCGGGGGAGGGGGAGGGGGAGGCGGCGGGGGCGGGGAGGCCGATGGGAGCGGGAACCGGCGCCGGGCCAGGCGCAGCGCCGCGCGCGACGCGGTGGCGGCGGCCGGCAGCGGCGGTGCGGGCGACAGGGCGCGCGGCGGGCGGCGCGGGGGAGGCGGGGGAGGCGGGGGCGGTGGTGGAGGCGGCGGGCGGCGCGGCGCGGGCCGGTACAGGCGCGCGTTCGGCACCGGACGCCGGAACACGCGCCGGCTGCGGCTCGAACGCTGCTTCTTGCGCTTAGGCTTCACCGCCGGCCCCGGGTATCTGTGGTTTATTGACATTTTCTTTTACATCGTTGGGATGGACTGCGCTCAAAAATAATCCAGCAACAGGTATACACTCCGACAAACAAAAAACGGGCATGTGCTTTTCACATGCGATAGAAGTGAAACCTACAAAAATGTGAACACGTAAAAGTTCTTTATGACTAGGTACGTCTTAAAAACAAACAAACTTTCCGGCTCCTACAGCCATCAGTTCTGCGGCTAATGTGACCGGCCCACTGCCACTTCAGTTTGCTAGTTCGGGGGGCTATGTCGGTGACTTTGGTTCTCTGTCGGATTACATCATTTCTGATGCGGTCCTTCAGGGATACTCCGAGCATAGCCCTTCCCGTAGCTCTCTGAGCGACTTTAAACTGGTGGACTCGTCCAGCCGTGAGTGTCCACGTCTCGGCGCCGTATGTCATAACTAGGAGGACGCACTGGTCGAAGACTTTCGACTTGAGACATTAAGGGATGGGTGATGTGAAGACTTGACGTAGCTTACGAAATGCTGCTGCTGTTCCTGCCTAATCGCGTTCTATTGTCCTAGATAGACATATTCCTCAACAACCTAGAGAGGTACTACATTAACATTAACAGGAACCAATCCCGGATCAACGAGCTCGTTGAACATGATCTTGGTTTTATCCAAGTTCATCCGAAGACCGATGCGTTTGGAAGATTCAGCAAGGCTGCTCTCCTTCTCCTGTAGGTCTTGCAGGGTTTCAGCCAGGATGACGATGTCGTCCGCGAATCGAAGGTGTGAGATGTATTCGCCACTAATATTTATTCCACGTCTTTTCCAGTTGAGCGTTCCGAACACGTCCTGCAGCGCAGCGGAGAAGAGTTTCGGGGATATTACGTCCCCTTGTCTCACACAACGGCGCAGCAGGACAGGCTCGGTTTGGCCATTCTGGAGAACGACGGTTATATTAGCGGTGGCATACAGACATCTCAGCACCTCGATATAGCGCCAATCAACTTGGCACCTCTGCAAGGCCTCAAGAACAGACCAGGTCTCGACGGAGTCAAAAGCTTTCTCATAGACCAGAAACTCCATGGCCAGGGGCTGGTTATACTCTTTGGTCTTCTGTATAACCTGCCTCACTATGTGAATGTGGTCTATGGCGCCATAACCCCGTCGGAACCCGGCCTGCTCTGCAGGTTGAGCTTCGTCAAGTCTTCGTGCAAGGCGATTCGAAACGACCCTTGAAAACAACTTATAGACATGACTCAGGAATGAAATTGGTCGATAGTTCTTCAGTAAGGTCTTGTCGCCTTTCTTGAAGAACGATACGACCAAGCTCCGGTGCCACGCCTTTGGAGTTCTCCCGGAGAAGAGAACAGAGTTAAATTTACGCCGGAGCTCCTTCAGCACCGGCTTGCCGGCAGCTTTCAGAAGCTCGGTTGTAACTCCGTCCTCCCCCGGGGCTTTTCCATTTTTAAGTTGCCCAAGAGCCGCGTCGATCTCCTCTAAGTCGATGTCGGGAAGATCCTCCGTCACATGGCGGGTTAATGTGGCTCTGAAATCTCTCTCATCCGACGTAGGGTGGGGCGATTGCGACGGTTTCGACGTGACGACTTCTCCATTTGTTTTGGTAAACTTCGTCAGGTGGCTCCTTCCAAGCTGTTGTACGAAGACTTTGGACCCCCGGTTCAGCTGAATTGCTCTCTGTATCAAGAGTGTATTGGAGCGTCGGAGGTCACGTCTTATCAGCTTGGAGATGGAATTATTCAGAGCCTGTTGTTCGGACGAAGTGACTAGTGGATCGTTTCGCCGCTTGTCCATTAGATCCAGTCTCTTTCGAAAGCTTAGACCGCTTACCCGTACGTCACAGCTAGCAGAATTTCGCACCCTCGTCCCGAAGGATTTCTACCACTTGGCCGCGTTCCTCGTCGATGTCAACGACAATTGTGGTTTTCAAGGCAGCGAATCGATTTTCCAGTTTCATTTGGAAATCGTCAGAACCAACGACCGTTTGGAGCAGTTTTGGCTGGAGCGTGGACTTCATCAATCGAGAGCGTTCGAGCTTACAATCGATATTCAGAGTGCCTCTTAGAAGTCGGTGATCACTTCCGGTTTTAAACCTATTGATCACTGAGACATCTCCGGAGTATGTTGCACTTAGTGAAACATGCAAAGAGGCAGTGTACTGTAGTGCTCTTATGAAGGAATTGGTACAGTATAGTAGACCTATCATATTATATTGCGACAACCAATCAGCCAGCAAATTAGCTACCAATCCTGTGCACCACAGGCGCACTAAACACATTGATGTAAAATTTCATTACATACGGGAAGCAATAGATAATGGTAAGATAGAGATCAGATATCTTCCCACTGATTTAATGGTGGCAGATATGATGACCAAAAGTTTGAACCGTGTGAAGCACGAGGGATTTGTTAATAAAATTCTTACTGCAAAAAATAAATGCCTACCAAGGATTAAGAGGGCGTGTTGTAAACCGTAATCCCGGCACATTTTTTGATCACGTTTTGAATTTTAGTTTTCTATGTCTATTGTTTTTATATGTCATTGCTATTTATCTTGTCTGTGTGTTTACATTCATTAAAGATAAAGTGCTATCTTCAAACTAGTTTTTTCTCTTATATAAAACATTTCCTCTGGGGCTGTT